CCATCCTTCTCGAGCATGGTATAACCGCCGGCCTCCGCGAGTTTGATTTCACCAACGATGATGCGGCCTCGTTGCATGCCTTGGGAGACTCAATGCATTTTTGAGATGGCTGTCAATGATGTTGCTGTGCCTGTTCCAGTCTTGAAACAGATCGGTCCAGTGTCGCCCTTGGTCACTTCTTTCACCGTGCGGCCATTGTGAGCTTGATGACGGTAGAGTCGTTGACAGTATTGGTGAGAATAGTGCCTTGAGGGACAAAGTGGTGCAAATGTCCTGTTTCAAGGATAGTGTTGTCGTTGACATTTGTGAGCTGCAGGGAAACGCTACATATGGTGAATGTCGTCATAGCATCTGTCGAAGCGACAGATGGTTTCCCAGCCGAGAATTGACTTGGTGCACTTTCTTTCGGTCGACATTTCTTGCCGTGGCGTTGGTTCCCACCATTCTAGCAAGTCGTCTTTCTCTTGCGACCATGTGTGAAATGCTTAATGAACATGACTGTGCCAGTCGCCTCGCTGGCATTATTGTGACGCTGACGAAGCTTCTCATGTAGTGTTGCGTTGTTGTGTTCCCTTGTCAACTGACTGCAAAGTTACTCATAAACCTCGACAATGTTGTAGCGTGAGTCAAGCCCGACGCGTATCACGAGACAAGTAGCCAGCCTCCAACAGTTTAACTCCTTGTGCTTTCATCTTGTCGTACGTCGTTGTGACGCGGACGAAGTAGTGCTGCATGCTCTCCATAGAGCCCTTCTTGAAGGCCCGAAAGTGTCTCTTGAGAACGACGATGATAACTCCTACCTTGGACTGGGACTTGGATTACAATGGGTCCCACAACTCTTCAACTATCTTCACCATGCGGATCGAGCTAGTGGTGTTGTCGTCAATGACAAACGCCAGCGTAGCCAATCCGTCAACTGTCTGCGCTCGTATTCCGCGACGGTGCCATCGTCGCTCAAGGCTTACTAACTGTGCCAGTTACGTAGCTCCACATGCCGGTCTTGATCATCAGTATATAGTGTTTGAAAGCAGATGCGTCGTAGTTACCCCTATGATGCTTCTCGATATTGAACGGGCCCCCCGTCAAAGTCACATTTGCTAACGCTTTGGTCTGTTACGCTAAGTCTCTGGGATGTTCTAGTAAGTCTTGGGGTTTGGGCTCATAACCTATTGAAGGAATGACTCCTTACGACGGAGATAAGATGCTCTGACCTCTTGTTGTGCTCTACGCTACACGACCTCTGGCCGCTATGTGCGCTTCCTTATATATTCACAAGCTGTTGGTTTTCACGTGCAAATACCGTAGCCTGTTCGTTGCTCTCGAACCTTCCATGCCCTTAATGGTATTCTATGTGCTGTGCAGCTTCAACGTGTTTTGCCATGCTTCGCTCCGTTGGCTCGCGCTGTCGCGCTGGTCCTGCGTCAAAAATTGTATGGGATGCTCTGATTACATCGACCGGGCCAATAGCGTTAGTGCCGAGCATGGTACCGAGAATGTCTTAAGGAAATGCAAAATGCTCGGTTCGACGCGAATGACCACCAAGTCAATGGCCTGGGGTGCTCTACCTTTTAAGCTACTACTGTTATTTGGATGTGGATCCTCACAGCGTTTACAGGTGCATACCGATAGTGTGCGATGAGTGTGGTTTGCAGCCACGATGACCCGGCTCTCTTTGCAACACAAATTGATCTGCAATGGTGCCCCCACCTCGCGAACGGGAATGATGGAGGACACATGGAGGAAATGAGGGAGATGGAGGCTTAGCATGTTGTGTCTGGAATCCTGCAGCAGCCAGTTAAGCCCAATAGTTTGGACTCTTGGTGCAAGAGTCGTCACGGTTATTTTTAGAATTATCGAGGGTGCAGCGTGTGTGAAAGAGGAGAAATGTGGTGCAAGTGCTGTGAAGGTTGAGAGCACTTGCCCTGGTGTGCTGGGCCAAATGTCATTCTTAATGACAGCGTCATGGTCTCCGGATGTGGTAGAGGATAGTTCAGCCGAATCCCTTGCATCCATGTTAGACAACAAGCAGTTGCTTTTGTCTCATCTTCTTTACTGCTCTCCGCTCCGGTCCTTGCGCAACATGTCTTCGACATATCGTCTCTGTCACTTGCGCAAGTCTCCTTGGGACTATTTTTCAAGTGCTCGTGAACTAAATATCGGAGTAATCAATCAGAAGGGATCAAGAACACCATGGTATGGTAGATTGTGTAAAGCGGCCGCAGGTAATGAAACCATCGGTGCGACTAGGTGTGTATAATGGCGGCGCTGTCAATAGTACGGTGCGAAATGTGTTGCAGCGGGCCTTGCGTATGGTATTCGAAATGACCGCTGCGAATTCCCGTTGCTTGACATGCAAAGACCTTGTGCAAAGGGCTCTGAGTTGTCGTTGGGTGACTCCAACGATGCATATTTCCCCTGCGTCATGCTTCTACCTGAGTAGCATTGAACCAATACTTCTAACAGGCATCGCTCTCACTCTCGCTTCTTGTCTCTCTTTCCCCTCTGCCGTTCAGCCTTGACCGGAAGTGTCTCGCATATAACATCCACATTTCCTGCTTTGGTAGCATTTTATCGCGTAAACTCCTTACCATCGACAGAAGGACCACTTTGACCTCTTGACCCTGATCCTCCGCAGTCCAATGCATTGGTAAAGGCGGTGCCGCACGGTCCAGCAAGGGGGTGGAATTGGAATAAAAAGAAGAGCATTTGCATGTATTTCACTCCTGAATGGAGAGAGGAAAGGCTTGCTCAGATACCCATTATTCTGTACATGCACTTTCATTTGGCGAATTGCTTCTGGAAAGCATTCGCGATATGTGGGACAGTTTAGCCAAGCTGTTTATCTTCGGTCCATTCGCTTACGTAAGGATGGATACGTAAGATGTCCATACTCGAACATTGATGTCAACACATACTTGGACACTTGGATTTGAATGTTGATCATTACAGCTTACGACTTCTGTTTTCATGACAATCGATGCTCACTCAGGTCGCATTGCAGCTCCCTGGAGATACTGCCTGTAATTCTGAGAACTTCAGTCGATTACGAGCCATGCAGGCGTCATCTTCTGTTTCCGCAACGGCGCTACCGATCCCGGCATTCAACAAATTAACAGGTTGGTGAATGGCACCCATGTTCTCGCATTTGAATCGTAGCCATTACAAGTCCTAACGGCCATTTCCAATCGAAATAGGAAAGCGCGTGGTTCTCGCTAGTGCGAGCCCCAGAAGAGCTCAATTATTAGCAGCAGTGGTAAGGGTGGTCAGGTCCGTTAGGAAGAGAGATAAATTTTTGAAGACTAATGACGCCGGCCTTCGGCTCGGGCAGGGTCTGACGCCAGAAATTGTGCCGTCAACATTCGAAGAAAATCTGCCGAAGTCAGAATTTAGAGACGATGCAGCTTATGAGTATCCAGTGGAGACGGCAGCATCAAAAGTGAGCACATGATGACTCAGGATGCCAACATGCCTCGAGAGCAGCCCCCGCTGAGCTGATCTGAGCTTTCGGTGTGACAAGGGCATCGAAGTGTATCATCGTTTAAGTGTGAGCGGGCGCGACGAATTCAAGGACGAACCTCACTTTTAACAAGTTCATTCCTCTGTAAGAGCAGCAAGATGTGAACCCTCCAGACTTTGTCATCGCGGGTGAGCGACCATGCGATCTGATATTGTGGCTCGCGCACTAATGCATGCACTTTTGCTTCTCAACGGTCAGCGGATACCATCGTGTTGAAGGACGGCGAGATTCTGGAGAAGCCAATTGACAAGAACGACGCACTGCGAATGCTACAAGATCTCAATGACGGGAAGGTGCATTGAGGGCAGCGAGCATGACCCTGCGTACCGGACACTGACACCTCATCACTTCGCAGTGTGAAGTGGTGACCGGGGTAGCATTAGTGCATCCGATCCTGACCGCGCCGGGATATGTGGTTCGGTGAGCCTACTCAAAACAACAGTGGTCCGACTCGGCTGACTTCCCTGTGACTTGCAGACGATTGACGGAGAAGGCCACAGTCCATTTCGGTCACTCTTCTCTCGAACTTCTGACCGCATATGCCGAGTCTGGGGAAGGCCTCGACCGTGCAGGTGCTTTCGCGATACAGGTAAGGGAGGAAGCATGTGGTTAAGGACGGAAGACAGCCCTTGACCGACGTCATTCTTCTCAGGGTCTGGGTGGCCTCTTTGTGCGCGCAATTGAGGGAGACTGGAACACCGTTGGTGAGAACTCACTTCATTTCCAAAGCAGCTGAATCTCCCACTGATTAGCTTGTTTTTCGATTTGCGGACGTAACATGGCAGTGGGTTTTCCCATATATTCCTTCTTTGCCTTCCTGCACGAGTTGGCTGAAGATGGTGAACTCGACGTGTAGCAACCGCACATTGCATCTATGCTGCAAGACGTATGCTACAAAAAGCTCATCGCGTCCTCCTGGCTGCTTGCAAATAATTGAGTCCCCCAGAAAATCCAAGTCCGTCTGCGCTGTGTGCATTTTGTTGTGCAGTGGCCGATTCAACGCTCCGTTGGAGCTGTTGCTGCTGCATTCGTTCTTCTCTGTTCCGCTGCAGAACGGATCCTTCCTTCTCGAAGCTGCGCTGTGTCTGGGTTCTACCAAACCTCGCTCCTGAGGCGATCGCTTCTACAACTGCATAGCGGCTCGCATTTTCGTGCTCCGCGCGAAGGGCATAGTATGACGCCAATGTGGTGTGATACGCAGCGGAGAGTGATAGCTCGTGAGCTTGATGCAACTCGAGAGTTGCAGTTACCACACTGTTCAGAAAGTTTTAGCTGTTGTCAGGGTGAAGAAAGCTTCAATTGAACGCCTCTGTGGATGCCTCACTCTTCTGGTCCAGGATTTCTGCCCCAGTGCCTGAGTTCTTTCGCCTTCCCCATTCTCGACGACTCAGCTGCTGAAATGCTTTCCCCTGGCTCCACCAGAGTCCGCGGCGTCTTGGCCTCCCAGGGATGGTCACGGTAGAATTGGGCTCGAACTTTGTCTTCCAGATATGTGATCGGCCGAGGGTTCAAGTTTGGAATGGCTGATCGTCGATCTGTCTTGGTCGGCTTTCGCCCGCGTTCGATTTTCTGTATGAAAGCATTTTGCGACTTGCCTGGCCTTGGGAAGCGAGCAGGGAGCGGTGCTGTAGGGTGCTGTAGCGCTGCAGCATACCACGCCGGCTCCGCTTTGATGAAGCCCCCAGCGATTAACCGCGAAACAGAATCTGCAACTTGCGGCGCCACTCGTCGAGGCATCTTGAGCTGGAAACAGGAAAAACAAATCCGATAGATGAACCTGGAGATCGGGAGAGATCTCAGCAGGCCGCTAGATGGGTTCTTACCAAGGTGAAGGACAGTCAAGGTCAAGAAGTTGAGACGTGGGTGCAGGATGCAATGTGTGCGAAGAGAATGAATGAAAGATGCTGGATTATTGCTAGGATGAAGAAGATAGAGAGTCTCATGTTCTTCATATTGTTACGTAATCTTGAATGTCGACCCACACGACTCTTCACTCTCACACACCAGGATCACGTCTCGTCCATCAATACAACTCGACATCTTGATCGCTGCTGGGGTGAGAAAGTGAGGACGAGAACCGATACAAATTGCTCACTGAAAGAAACGTCTCGACGGTCCGGACAGACTAAAAGGCCATACATCAACCTGAAGTAGTTGCAAACGCGAGTTAAACAAAATGGGCAGTAGCGGGACGAAGAGGATTCGTGTGGGTATTCAAGGATTGCGCTGCACATCTGTAGCGCTGATGCTGATGGTGTAATAACGGTTGCTAATGACCAAATCATATGAATTCTAAGGGCCTATCAATAAGTCGGCCGCTCCTTGTGGGGACAACAGCTACACTGCTTTCTCCGGCCGACCGAATCGTGTCTCCCCCAGATCACACGCACAGATGGACAGTGGCAGTACGATCAGCGGCATCATACCCATTGCCACCCGTGCAGCCCTTAGCTTCAGTGAATAACTCGGAAGAGGCTGGAGGGATAAGTACCAGGGGAAGAGAAACGGAAGCTGACTATCACAAGATGGTGGGAGGCAAGGATGACATTTCCTACTTCATAAAACGCGTTCAGTTCAAGCTTCACGAAACATATGCGCAAGCGACGCGCAGTGAGTAAAGGCAATATTCCTTTGGTATGAGAAGAGAAGCTTACATATTCTGCTCACTTCCGAACAGACATCGACAAGCCACCTTTTCAAGTCACCGAGACAGGCTGGGGAGAGTTCGAGATCCAAATTAAGGTATTCTTCATTCCGGAAGCGAATGAGAAGCCCGTGACATTCTTTCATCATCTCAAGTTGCACCCATGGCTGCCGCCTGCCTCGCTTTTGAATCCTCCAGCGGAGCTTGCACCACCAGCTGCCAATCAACATCCTGCTGATCCTGCTGCTGCAGGGGCTCATGCGGCGTCGACCGCAGCCTCAGCGCCCGCAGAAGCTCTGTCTGCAGAAAGCGCGGTCCCTCCCGATGCGATGTCTTCTGTAGTATCAACTTCCTCAGCCGCTGTTGATCCGGAGGCATCCATTCCTGTACCATCAACTCCGAGCGAAACGGTAGCTCCTGCTCTATCCGCAGCTGCACCAGCAGCTGTAACCGCGCCTCTTCAGCCAATGCCTACCCTCATCGAGCAACCGCCCGTGGTACATTCTTGGCAGTACGAGGAAATTGTTTTCCCAGAGCCTACAGAAGCATTCTACGAGATACTTGTTGCGCATCCCCCTTCTCCGTGAGCGTTCATCCTTTGTCTGTGCCGAACAAGATTGGATTTGCCAGGACTGATGTCGTGGACCTTGCGCGTCCCTGTTTTTCAGGTTACCCGCCTCATCGGCACAAGCCTTTACCGACCCGTCGGCATACAATGCATATTCGGCGAAGAAGGCTTTCGACATGACAGGGACAAGCGCAGCCGAGGGGGCAAATCAGACGAGCCCGGGACTAAACGTTCCTCCGCATCCTCTGCATAATCCAGCTGGGCAGCTATTTGATGCACTTTCGCAGGAGGCAATTGCTAGCGAGACCAAGCGCCTCGACGACGCGCGAATAGCAATCGTCAATGAGATCGAGCGAGGGCGGTTGACGCTCATTCAGCGGGAGCGGGAGCTGAGGAACCTCAAGACCAAGGTGGCTGCCGCCGTATGACTGTCATTTAAGCTTCTACACCCCAGCTGGCGCACCCTTGCCCATGTATCATTATCAATCATTCCGCGCTATTACAGAATGTAAAGGTGGGAAAGCCTCTTTTGCTGAGAGCACGACCATCTGACGCTCGTGTGAGATATATCCTTTCATGTAACCCTGCAGATGGCACGATCGAACGTCCGCGAAAATACATCAGTATTCCGGCGAGAAAAAGGAAAGGCTTTTCGAAAAGACACACACCTTATGAATAAGAGTGGCTACGTACCACTCTGTCTCTTCGATGGCGAGCTCGAGCCCGACCCAGGTCAAGGCGCGATGCAATACCTCCAGTGGAAGCCTGGTATTTCGATCCTTTGCGAGCCAGACCTGCCTGAAGAGCGTGCGCAAGCAGCCTTCCCTGGCACGTTCCATGGCAATGTAGACGCCTTTGATGATCAGCGCACACTCGATATTAGGATCAGCCAGCGCTCGGTCGTACAAGCGCACGTCGCCGCGGCGGAAGGCGGTCGTGAAGCGCGCATACAAGGCACAGAGGCGTGGAAATTGGGTGAAGATGAGTGGCGCCGGTAGGGAGCCGCGTAAGAGACGGATCGGTATGAGGTATTGCAGGATGAGCCTACCACGACGAGAAAGTAATTGTCACGGTCAGCGTACCGAGCAAGCAAGCTCGACCGTGGACCCAAACACACTCCTGATTGTCGAGCTGTGCGCGATGGCAATGCTCAAACGCAAAACTCAAGTATTCTTCTGACTGTTCACGCAAGGATGCGATAAAGGTATTTGGATGTCAGCGACTTGACACGACCGTGAGACTTTGGGAAAGTAACAATTACAGACTTTGGTGTAATCTTCATCGAGGAAGGCAAGAACACCCGTGTAGAAGCGGAACGATACTTGATCCGCCAAGCTGTACGTTTCAAGCGGTGGACATTGCGCTGCACTGAGTGCTCGCAATATGTTCTTGCACAGGGGCGTCGATTTTAGCTGTTCCGAAGGAAAGCAGGTGATTTCAGTACGGACAAGGACCGGGCGGTGAACAATCAAAGCATTTCGCACCTTGAAGTACGTGCGAAAGACCAGATTGACGATGGCATATGTGCCCCACTTTCTGCTATCTTCCGGTTCGGACAGTCGATCGGCGGCACAGGCTGTGAACGCCTTGTTGAGCTGCCGCGCAGCTTCCTCCAAGTGCTTGTTGCCTAGCGCAGATTTACCGCCAGCTGCAGCCGGCACATCGAATGCAGCTGCAGCCGCGGTGGACGCAGAGTGAGATAGAAGGAAGGCAGCACCTTCTGCGTTGTCTAGGCGCGAGGCCAAACTGAGCAGGTCACGCAGGAGACTAAGCAGGAGGGGCAGGGCCCATCTTCCAGGCGACAAGCCTTGAAACCAGCGCAGGAGGGTCGAGACGAGCTGAATCTGCTGTTCGAATGCGAGGTGAAGGTGATGGGCGCAAGCAGACACGTCGAGGCCCTGATACTGCTGCTGCCGTTGCTGCTTGTTCCATTTGGACGTGAACGAGTCGGGCGTCAGCCCCCCTTCGGTGGCTGCGTGGTAGAGATGCTGCAGGCAGGTGAGGTGCGCATTGCACGAGGCCTCCCAATGATCCTTGAGGTACCCTTTGCACTTGCGCAACGCCGGGAAGATGCGTATAGGCGGAATATTCCTGACCTTGTGCGTCAGCTCGTCGGCGATGAACGAGTGGTTGCTGAAGAGGAGCGCGAGACTGTGACCGTCCTGTGCCTGATCGGCTGCCAGCACGGCATCTGCGTACACACTTGGCTCCATCGCTCGCTCCCCTCCCACAATTTCGTCCCAGCCGCTGGTTCTCGGCTTGCAGGAGAGCAAGCCAGAGTCGGGTGAGTTTCCTTGAGCTCTGGCCTCTTGTCTTCTTATGTACACGCATCCATGCGCCTAAGAAAGGCATCTGTAGTACGAATTACAATCGATGTGTGGACGCTTCCGCAACCAACCTAAGCCGACATGCGTCGAAATGTAATGCTTGTCAACCGTAAGCTTTTGCACCGAGTGGAAGAACCCTACTTTCAATTGCACACTATCAAATGGGTTTTGGCCCGGGAATCAATCAATGCTTTCGCTCCGGCCGAGTAACATATTGGGAATATTGATCCTACCCTCATGTCCACCCATATGAGCCACTCAAGCATGCCCACTTGGATGGATGGATAGATGGGCCATTGATCCAATGATCCAATTGCCCAATCACAGCTCCTTGGTTTGCGCACCCAGGGCGTGAAAGAGGAGAGCCGTGGACGACCCTCGTATCGGAGGACTAGGGTAGTACCGCCTCCCCAACAGATTCGCCGCCAACGCTGAGTACCGATTTTCAACGCGGCCGAAGGGTCTTCCGACGGTGAGCCCCTCGTTGTCGATCAGTCTTATATGTCGTTTCACGCCGCTATGGAAGGAAGCGCTGCTGAATGATCCATAAGCCTTTCGTTGACCTCAATTCTACCCTTACAGTAGTGGAGAGGCTCGTGCGTAAAGATGTTATCTTCCGCCGACTCCAAACGACTGCTGATCAACCCGCAGGCAGCAGCCATCGCCGAACAAGAGGAGTGCGAGGCTCGAGCATTCAACGCTGGAATCGAGCAGCTGAAAAGGCAAGCAACGCACGGTCGAGGGGATCATCCCCATGACGACGAGGCTTCCTCTCACTCTTCCCATTCATCCCATTCGTCTTACGCCGCACGGCACGGTATGGCGGGTGTACGACCGCCGGCTCCCATTCTCCCTCCCTTGTTCCAGGTCATCAGCACGCTCGCCTTCCTCTTTGCCATACAAGCTCTTGGCTTGTATTTCTTCACAAAAGGGTTCCTCCTCACCCGCATAGAATTGGACGGTGTCAGCACCTGCCCTCCCACTCCCTCCTTCGAAACTGGCGCCGACGAGAGCATCGAGTGCACGCTCCCACCGCGCTATGGCCGCTCTCTCATCTTTGTCGTCGATGCGCTCAGGTATGACTTCATCGCTCCTGGGCCTGGCACGGCGGAGGAAGGTAGTGCAAGCTGGCCATACGACCCGCAGGTGCACGCTGTCGTCACAACAGTCGACACACTTTTACACAACGAGCCGCGCAATGCGCTCGTCGCGCACTTTGTCGCCGATCCGCCGACTACGACGCTGCAGCGCCTCAAGGCACTCATGACCGGCGTTTTGCCGACCTTCATCGACGCCGGTGCTAATTTCGGTGCCACAGAGATTGCAGAGGACAACCTACTTGCGCAACACCGGCGTAAGCTTCTCACCTCCACCGTCACCGCCAGCTCTCCGAATGCTACGGTGACGCATGTGGGCATGGGATTTATGGGCGACGACACGTGGATGAGTGTCTTTCCAAGCGCTTTCGACTCTGGATGGACATGGCCATACGACTCGTTCAATGTCGAGGATCTCGATACAGTCGATGCAGGCGTAAAGGCACATCTGCAGCACTTCCTCCAAGCACCCAACGCGACGATGAAAGACTGGCGCCTCCTCGTTGCTCACAACCTCGGTCTCGACCACGCTGGACACCGGTATGGCCCCTCACATCCGGAGTTGACACGCAAGTTGACCGAACTAAACGACCAGCTCGCATTCATCCTGGAGCATCTTCCCGACGATGCTCTCTTCATCCTCATGGGCGACCATGGTATGGATGCGCATGGTGACCACGGTGGTGATGGCGAGCTCGAAACGGGTGCGGCCCTGCTGATCTATTCCAAGAAAGCTTGGCAAGCAGCGGATGAAGGTGATGCGACGACACGCTTCCTACAAAGGAGACGGGCCAATCTTGTAACCCGTCATAGCGAGTATGCGCAAGAGCTAGATTCCGAGCCCCTGTACCGGCCCTTCCGACCGTTGGCACCGCCAAGCAACGCAACAACCTCCTCAGTCCGGCCTTCGCCGCCGCTACACCGTTCCATCCCGCAGATTGACTTTGTCCCCTCGTTCGCACTGCTGCACGGACTCCCAATTCCGTTTAACTCGCTCGGGACGGTCATTCCCGAGCTATTCCCTGGAGACCTGTTTCTCCGAGCTCTGCGCGCCAATGCGCATCAGATTAAGCGCTATCTTGTGCAGTACGAGTCGAAGAGCCCAGATTTTAAGCGGTTTCGCGAGGAGCTACACGAAGCATGGTCCAAAGCGGTCGCGACCGATAAGCAAAGGAGCGCTGGCGCCGACGACGGCCTTACAAGGGAAGCTCACGAAGACGCGGCTATCGATGCATACTATGCGTTCAACCGCCTCGCTCTTGCGCGGGCAAAACAAGTCTGGGCACGCTTCGACTTTGCTTTCATGGGTGCTGGCTTGCTCCTCCTCGCTACTTCGATCGTTGCCGCCCTGCGCTTGCAAAGCGCTCTTGCTGTCGTTGTTTGGGAGGATGCGTCTGGCTATGTAGCTCACCCCGCTGTCACCACTGCGCAATCACCTGCAACAGCGCTTGAAAGGGTAGGGATGCGCGTTAGGCGAGCAGCCATTGTTGGTCTCAGAGCTGGCACGCCTATTGGCATAGCGCTCGCTGCTGGTCTTTGGGCGGCCCAACGCCAAGGCGCGGTCCAGGTAGACCTCAATATTTACGGTGCACCCCTCGTCCTCGCGTCCATCGCGCTGACGGCAACCGCCGCGTCCATACTATCCAGCAGTGCCACCGCGATCAAGTCCTCCTGCGTGCCGAGCTTTTCGACCGCGATCACCATCCTTCTGATTATGCTTCACGCCGCATCCATAGGATCAAACAGCTTCCTCGTCTGGGAAGACCGAGCGACTGGGTGGCTCTTGCAAACTGTCCTGTTGCTGCGTGGTGTACGAGCTATGCGAGCACCAACGACAGTTGCACGCGCCAAGATGGGTGTCCTGGTTGCGATCGCGATGATCGCCACCCGAGCGATGATCAGCATCCGCGTTTGTCGCGAAGAGCAGGCGCCGAATTGCGAGACTACTTTCTACGCGCAGAGGCTGACTTCCACCTCAGCGGGTGACAGTCCATCACCCGCCGGTCTCGGTGGCAACGCCGCCGAGGGCAGCACAACGGTCAATAGTTTACTCAGTAGCGTGCTAGCGTACGCCAGCGCTTATTTGCTGCCACACGCCGCGCAACTGCTACTCACCGTCGTCCAGTCAAACACCAAGCTCATGAAGCTGTTCTTCTCCTGGATCATCCGACCGAGCTTGATGATGGGTAGCGGATACTGGATGCTTGACACACTTTTGACGCAGGAGTGGGTCCACAGCAACGATAAACGCGTCATCGGGCTTGCAACATGGGGCAAGCTGGCGCTTGCGAGGTCCACTCTGTGCTTCCTTCTTTCCTGCATTATCATTATCTGGCCGTCTAGTCCCCTTCCTCTGGAGCTGAAAGTGGAAGACGCAAACGGCGCGCAGACGCAGGGCCCATCGCCTGCTCCACCGGTACAACAACATGTCAACTCTGGCCCAAAGCAGCGAGCCACAATCGTCGGTCTACGGAACGTGATGGGCTCGTCCTACCTGATCCTCTTCTTTTTCATCTTCGGATTACAATACCTGGTCGCGCAGCCTATGGGTCAAGTTGCAGCGAGCCTGTCGCTACTCGCGCTGCTCTGTCTTGTTGACATAGGAGCCAGCGAAGCGATACTATCGCATACACCTCAATCTCTCACCCCAAGTGATGCCGTAGCAGGAGCGGCAGCACGACAAGATGCCCCGCCTTCTCCTGCTGGTCCTTTGCAAATCCTCAGCCTGGCGCTTCTGGGACACTTGACCTTCTTCAGCACAGGCCATCAAGCAGTCCTGCCATCGATACAGTGGCGAACCGCGTTCGTCGGATACCGACAAGTTACACAGCCATTCTCGGGCATGCTCGTCGCTCTCAACTCGTTTGGACCGCTCACCATCCTACCAGGCCTGTCCATACCGCTAGTCGTCATGTGGCAGCAGGCTCCGCGACCTCGAGGCGCCAGTGCTGCCCCGATGCCGACGATGAATTACTTGCTACGCGCAGGGCTGCTCCTCCTTGTCTGGCAATCCTGCATGACGCTCGCTAGCTGTGTATTTGCCGCCGGCTTTCGACGTCATCTGATGCTCTTCAAGATCTGGGCCCCGCGATTCATGCTCGCTGGCGTAAGCCTTGTTGGCGTTCACATTATGCTCATCCTAGGCATCTTGGCAGCCGGGATCATAATGAGCAAAACAGCGCAGACGCTCGGCACAGACTTTGCTTGTGTGCAGGAGCCACAAGCAAAGTCAACCCCTGCAGAAGCTAATTGACATGGAGTCCTGTATATATCCGGCATAAAGGACTTAAGACTATGTAAGCTGACTACAGGTAGCTCGCCCATCCGATGTCTATTGCAAGGAAGCACACCGTCGTGAGTCTTGGGTCCATTCCGGGCGTGATTCGAAAGACTCACACATCAAGGCAAGGTTGTGAGAGGACGTCGCGTCTCTGATAAGCGCATCCACAAGGTTCGGCGTGGAGAGGGACACTTCGCCTGACGTGCTGTGCGACAGCTTCTTGTAACCTTCCAATTTGCGGCGAACTGTGTGAAGTGCATGGCGAGCCTCTAGCGTTCGCGGATCGATCCCTCCATGTCGATTCTGTAATTGAAGCTCACGTCAGCAATATTTTCATGCCACGGAAGCCACTTGGCTCACTTTGTTTTTGTAGCGAAGATCTGGAGTCCACTCGACGAGGGGATCGTGGATCATAGCTTCGAGGACACTCATCAATGAGTCTTTGTTGTCTCTGAGGATCGTCATCGAGATCTCAGCCGCCTTTCGGAACACACCTGCGCGCGAGAGAAACGCCAAGGTTGTTCAGAGGGTGCAAAACATCAAATGTCCAAGCTGACCCACCATCTGGCCCAGTAACTCCGAGTGCGTCTACCAGGTTTTGCGTCAGGCGGAAGGGAACCCTTTCCGGAATCTCGAACGTCAAGCCCTGCAACCCCATGCTGTCAGTGATGGAGGGCAGAGAAGCGTGTACGTGGAGGTCCTCACCTTTTCGAACAAACAATTCAAGTCCACATGAACAGTATCGCCCGACACGGAATCAAAGAGGATATTTTCGCCGTGGCGGTCTCCCAATCTGCGAATGCGAAGCGCAATCAGAAGGAGTTGCACCCTTTGAAGTGAAGCGTCTTTGTGCCTCACCCGAGAACGTGGCCGACCATGGACATCACCGCAAGTGTCCGTGCATAGCGCAGCCGCGCACCCAGCCAAGCAGAAGGCTCAGGGAATGTGGCAAGGAACCACTCATGGAAGACAGGCGGGTATCTAGGAGGGAGTAGATATCATTAGCCTTCGCCAATCATGGACCGAACGTCAAAGACATTCACTTTGCAAGAGCTTTGTTCTCGAAGACCATAGCTGCCGTTTTGTGATTGGCCTTCTGCTCCTCGAATGCGTTTTTGACGTCGGGGCCCTGCCGTTTGTCAATGTCAGCGAAACCCCGCAGATTACTACTCTCTTACACTTACATAGAGGTGAATGTTGCGAGTTGCGTACAGCTTGTGCAAAATGTGCCGCAAGCCGACTGTATTCGGTACCCATTCGATGAGGCCGCATTCTTCATTGAGCGTCACGACCGCGTACGTGCGAATATCTGCAGCGGTCAGGAATCGTCAGCGTCAATCACAAAGTCAATTTCGACATATCTTCACCACGTCCACTCACAGAGTTTCCTCCTACGCGAGTCAGAATTGCTTTGCAAAAGCTTGTTGATCATGGCATCAAAATCCATCAAGCGGGCATCTTTGCGGAGGTCGTCCTTTGGCTTGCAAAGGAAATTATAAGATGCGCCATCCGTCCCTAGCACAGTCAACTTTCGTGGCTTTTGCAATGAATTCATGATCTCGACCACGTCATCAAACCCTTAAAGTAATGATTAGCCCACACGTTCACCGTCGGCATGGCGCACGGCTTCGAGCACTTACTCTGAATGCAGGGCAAGTTGTCAGGGAATGGCTGGTGGTCTCTGTCGCTGATGTTGTTCGCTGGTAGTCCGACAACGAGAGAAGATTGCAACGGCAGCAAGAGATGATCGCTCTCAAGTGAAATAATTTTGGGGAACTCTTGTGCCATGCTCAGGACCGACACTTTCTGTTGCACAGGATGATCACACAGAAGCTGAAGCTGTAGCGCCATGAGTAGCGCTTGATCGATCGCTTTGACGACAGAGAAGCCGCTCTCTGTTGACCGGACCTTGCTCCGGCTTACAGCGGACCTTTGCTGCTCCTCAGCCCTCTTGCTGGCCTTTGCCTATGTAGTAAACGGGGTCTCGTTAGTGATCGGTCATACTTGGGATGCGTCACACACGGCCTCACTTTGACTTTGTGGATGATCTCTTTGAAACGTTTGCGACGTTCCAGATCTTTCGATTGACAGCCACCGACCACTGCCCACATTGCTTGCTGGGGGTACTCGTCAATCACCTTTCCGATCACATCTTGTAATAATTTCCAGACTGAGTCGTTGCGATGGGTAACTCGGCAGACGAGCTGGGCGAAAACAGCGAGCCACTAGAAAGGACAACATTGCAATGAAAGACCGACTCGTAGGCGGCGACAGGGCAGAAACAAACGCACCTGGTAACCGGGTATCCACGCGTGTGCTTTCCGAATATGGCTGTTGATGTCACGGAAAGCTGTGACGGCAGCATCTTCCCCTGTACCAGGTGCACTGCACAATGTCAAGCAAGGTGATGTTAGCAGTATGAGATGTAGTAAAATGGGCTTCACTCACTTTTGTGCGGCGCGATTCGCTTCCACCACAACCTCATTCTCTCCGGCATCAAGCCAGATTGTGAGGATACGAGGCAAGGTCCGGAAGAAGTACTTAATACCATACTTGAGGGCTCTAAGCAGGTAATTGACTACTTTTGCATCAACCACATGCGCGCTGCCGTCCGCAGTGTCGCGAGATATGTCCGCGTAATGTCCCAATTGGTACCACGGCCTCTCGGCTGTTTCGTCAATTTTGGCGGTCCGTCTGTAGCTTTCCAAAACCTCGTTTCGGCTGTACCTTCCGGTCGCTTCCATGAGAGACGAGCGCAGCAAGTTCGCTTTTGCAATATCCGACTTCGAGGCGTGATATCCGGCCAGCTCGGAGGAAGGGGTCTCGAAGGATGCGAGGTTATTGTTCATGACCTGTATTGCGGCTTGCAATTGATCATCCAAACGCAAAAGTTTTGCCCTTTGTACGAAGGAGAAACTCGCATCGAGCCTCGCAGCTTGCAGGACTGCACTGTAGGATGTCTGACGATGATCCGCTCTGCGCGCAAATTTGGACGTCTGGATCCAAGCTGCGGCAACGGAAGCCTTGTTATCTTTCATTACGCTCCTGAGTGCAGTTCTATGTGCACTCAGGAGCACCTCTCGAACGCGGAAGGACGGAAGCGTCTGAGCGACCCGATCCGAGAGTAGAGCAGTAATGTCTTGCGTGCCTTCTTTGTGGACGAAAATTGTCTCCAGATCTTGGATCACTTGAAGCTGCAGAACGGAGTCGTAGATGAGAGCGTAACGAGTCTTGCCTGCTGCAATGATGGGGCGGCCCAGTTGTTGCCTGGCATCCCTCAGTGCAGCCAGCACGGCGACCTGGTCGCCGCTCCGCATGGCCAGGAGCAGCCTGGCAAGTGCATGCTTGTCGCTAGTGGCATTTGGGAGATCGACTAAGCGCGCAACTTCGCCCCATTGGGATAAAATGCAGGCGCCTTCGACTTCGAATTGACCAAGCAGCGACTGCCAGTCCGGATTGTGGCTGAGTGCGCCACGAATGTGTGTTTGCATGGTGTCTAAGAAGACAGAGTTGTCAGTTCTACGCAACCAGCTGCGCAAGACTTTTGTACAAATACTCACCATAGTGTCCAAGGTTGCGCAAGCAATTCAGCAACCCGAGGTGAAGTTTGGGCTCGTCTGGAGCCTGCTGAAGCTTGAGCTCCCAGCAACTCTGCGCCGCAGTCCAACGGCCCGTACTTTCGTGCTCCCTAATCTGATGCTCGAGTGATGGAGAACGGACCAGGGTCGATATACCCTCCATGCCGTCCGGTTCGTCAAGACATGCATAGATGCAGTGCATTTTTTCGAGTTGATCCTGCAATCCGGTGGGTTCGACTTCTCCTTGGTATTGGCGGATGGTCTGCTCAAAGTGCAGGAGCGACCTTGCATAGGATTGACTCTGGAAAGAAGCCGTGGCTAAGAGCTGCTGTGGGATCGAGTCAATCACAGACTCGATGACAGATATCTCTTCCCTGGGACTCCGTGTCGACGATCGACGTTGTTGTTTTGCATGCTCCACCCGCTTTCGATGCAACCAGACACTCAGATGATCCATCAGGCCAAAGACAGTCTGTATGGGTGGAGTCTTGTCAGCTTTGGGGCCACAATAGCTCAAAGATGTTGGCAACCTACTTGAGCCATCATCAACCGTTGATTATTGTCCTTTCTCCCTACGACCTGAAGCGTGAGCACGCCGAGAAATTCTTCTCGCACTTCGTCACGTCTCTGTTGAGGTCCTGAGATCAGCACTGTCAATACGAGGTGCGGCAAAATGTGCTGCGCCACTGTGAGATCATGCTCCAAAACCACACCGCGGAAGACGGAGAACACTGGTTCTGCCGGTGTACCTTGGGTTGCCTTGATCAGCTGACTGGTCCACGTCTGCAGCCATTCCCTGTATGAGTTGGTGTGGTGAGAAAGTGGCAGCTCCCGCGGTGGGGCATCGATGAATTGAATGGAGTACCGCGATTCTAGCAGCGGCGCGACCGTGTCAAGCATGTGGCGAGGAAGGGCTTGCCACCGTGCCTTGGTCTTGACAGGCGGAGCTGCTCTGTTGTGCATTGGAGCAGTGTCAAGCAATGCCGTCGAAAAACCACAGAACTTAAGCAGCTCTTGAATCGCAAAGGCCAGATTGGCTTGATGCTTGGTGTTATCGGTTGCACGGAAAGCTTTGACGAGGACGTCCTTGATCAGATGCAGAGCGAAATCGGTAGCCTCATCTTGGTCTTTGAAGTTGTTGAGGATGATCCGAATGGGCTCATCTTCACGGATGTCGAGCCGATCAGGGTCAATGGCCCCAACGCATCCTAGACATTGGAAAGCGAGCTGGGCGATGTCTCCTGACGAGGCAGCCTCCATCCTTGCAAGGATTGCCAGCAGCGCAGAGATGATCGAACCGGCTAGTGGATCGAATTTGTTGCCAGAAGCCAGTTCTTTAACGAAGTCGCGTTCGCTGAAGAGGAAACTTTGCAGTTCTCCAAGCGCCTGGAACAAGACCGCAGCGCTGTCGTTGTACAAGTCCTTAAGCAAGCCCGTCAGTTGTTGTCGCTTGGTAGCCCTTGCTGCAAAGTTCCCCTTAAGTTGCTGAAGCGCAGTCACTTCTTCTCGCATGCTTTGCGAAGTTCGCACCTGACTGAGAACTGTCTCGGCCTTCTCTTTCAAATCCTTTGGCTGTGACAGGAGATCGTTGATCATCCCGATCGCCTCGTCCTTTTCTGCTTCATCCATCGTATCCCAAAAGGAAGACATCGAGGCGACAGTCTGGCCGAGGTACAGCTCTAGATCAGATGCCTGCAGCACCGAGATGAGTTTGCGCCAAGTCTTTAGGACCTCATGGCGGAGGTCGGCATTTGCAAAGTTGGACGTGAGGGTCGCGATAATCTGTAAGAGAGAAAGTCTAAGGTGGTGAGCACATGGCGGATCTTCGGAGGGGAACGATGAGCACACACTTGTGGCGTAATCGACGTGATGAAGTACCCCACTATGTCGATCAGTTCTGACAAGCTCTTGACGACGGCCTTCTTCTCGGCCATGGTACGGCGACCGTGGCCAGAATTGAGATCATCGTTAAGCCAGGCATGGATCGCCATGCTCTCCGCCCCGAGCCACTCGCCGAAGGTGCGCTTCTCTTTCTTAACTTTCAGTGTTTCATAGACAAAGTTCAGGCCAGTGAAAGCCTGCGCAAATTTCTGTCATTCTATTCCCACAGTGGGAAGAGCAGGGTCACGAGATAACACTCACATTGTGACGCCGCTCTTCGTATCCGAGATTGATGACCAAGTTTCCGAGAATTTCTGGCAGGTAGCTTCGGAGCATCTGGTCGAAATACGCCGCGTCCAGGTATCGTGATAACTCTTGAATGCATTGCTTACGAGCACGCTGCTCCTGAATGAGGCACATGTTAAGGATGGGCACCATGCAATCGATGCATAGCTTTTTCTCTTCTGATCCCAATGCTTTCGCCACCGATTGCAGCGAGACGCGACTCTTGGATTTGATCAAGGCAGGGACAATATGTTGCAAAGTCGCTTGCAGGAACTTGGTTTTCGTCATGCCCGTGAGGCGAAGGACCTCAATAAACAGGGACGGGACGGCCATCATGCGGCTAACGACGTATACGGAGACTTGCTCTAGGTGCGGGAAGAGCAGCTGAAAGGTGGTACAGTGGTGATATGCGGAGAGCGCGACAATCTGACTGTAGGCGGCGCTCCGGGGGAAGGGCCCGGCCTCGAGTGTTTCGACGAGCTTGAGGATCGTAGGACCGAGGAGAATGTCCGACTTGAGGCGACCTACCCTTCCCAAGCTGTCGATGGCCGCCTCGACGGCTCGGCCATCTCCAGATGCTAGCAGGTCCGAATGCAGAGTATTGACGCACTGAAGCACATGTCGTGCGTCGCTCAACTTCTGGTGGCTGAGCATCCGGTCGAAACGCATCGCAACGGCCCACACCACCTCGGTCGCAGCGAGGCGGCAAGACCTCGATTTGAGCATCATGGCCTGCTTTAGCATTTCGAAGAGGGCGATGCTGTCCATCTCGGAGAGGAACTGGTCTGGGCTGTGGCTCAAGATACGGCCAAAGCCGACGAGCGCGCTGCTGATAGAGGGTAAATCGCGATCCTTGCTGCTGATGTGCTCCTTAGTGGCAGCTGCCAGCTCATCGAGGAGGGAGCGCGCGACGCTCAGGACACTCGCGATGCGGCGCACCTCACTGCCATTATACTCGGCTTCGCAAACTTCGCAGCGGACCCAGTCAGGCTGTTGCTGATCCGTCGTCCTAGCAGCGTCTCTGCACACCCGCAAAGTTGCTTCTGCGAAGGTCGGTACATCTCGAAATGGGTCTGAGAGGACAGCGATGAGATCGGGGATCTCTGCCTGCGTCGTGGCCGAAGGTTTGACAGGGTCACGCTGGTGGGTGTGAGCCCCTCGCTTTCGCTTGAGGCTCTTGCGAACGAGCAGTCTGACGCCGTTGTTCTCCAAGTTCTTGATCAACTTTGGAAGTTGCTGCACTTGCGACGGAGGCATCCATTGTGGCGCCAAGTCTTCTCCATCAGGTGTAGATTGGGCTACGGCTGCCAGGCAGTCGCTCAAGACGGAAGCTTCGCTGCGGCTGGACGAGACGAGGATCTGCCACGCGCAGGCCTGTCGACAAAGCCACGAAAGAAGGATAGCGTCAGCTGCACGCCCATACTTTTCGCTTTTCGTCGCCTATAGCTCACCTTTCTTAGATAGACCGCCTCGAGCTGGCTCTTGTCCAGCCCATCTTGTATCGGCTCACGGACGATCTTTCCAAAGTGATGCAAGCGAGGTCGCACGAGTGCCTCGAGGGTGTTTTGCATGTGGGCATTATTGCAGTTGCGAACAGACACCTCCGAGAGCAGAGTGATGGCTGCGCGCCAAATCGACGGCAGCGCCCCCGAACTGGCGCTAGTGTTTACGGCAGGAGCAGCACACACGGTGTCCACCTCTGCAATCGCCAGTGCAAGGGCCTTGCCAGCCAAGTCGGCGATATCCGCTCCCGAGACAGCGCTGAGCAGGGAATGAACAGCATGCAGGCGCACAATCGTGCTTTCTGCCTGATGTGCGCCTGCACTGGGCTTGGCTAGCGCGTCAGCTGTCGAAAGGTCGAGCTCCCAATTGGAGAGAAAGAGCTGCGTAGCCGCATCGCTGAGGTTCGAAAAGTAGGGCGATAAGAACTGTGAGAGCGGGTGGAGGAATGCGACGAGAGAGGCGAGCAGCGCACGCGCAAAACGCCCTGCGTATGCGCGCTCCGTACCGAAGCGGAGTGAAAATGTGAGGTTGTCTTCGGGTAGCCAGAGAAAAGCTACGCTCGATTTGTCAGATTCTTTCCGTGCGGTTGACGCTTCCACATCAATGCCTTGCTGGAGCACCTGCACAGTACCATCTTCATTCGCGGCGGGTAGATCCTCGGCGATCTTGTGCAGGGAGGTACTGCTTTGCAAGAAAGCGGGCTGTCCGCCAGCTGCGAAGGCTTGCACGCTGACAGAGAGCATCTCACGGAGGACTTGCTTTACCTGTTTCCGCGTTGCTGTGACGGTGCACGTGTGCTTGCTGATCGTAAGAGAAGCGTTGAGCAGTTCAGTTCGGAGTTTCTCCATCTCCTCGCGTCCGCCGGCTGTCGAGGCAGTCTCGGGCTGTATGCTCGCTGCAGCGGCGAGTATGCGTGGGAGCAGCCAGATGGCGACCGAGACGACTTGCGAAGGGTCGCTGCGGTCTCCCAAGTCGAAGCGGTGTGTGAGAAGCTTGGCATCCTTTTCGATGCTGCTGACGATGAACGCCAGGGCGGAGAAGATGCCGAATTCGACCGCGCCGCGCCCTTCAGAAGCGCTTGCTTCTAGTAGCACCGTCCGTTGTGCATCTGCAGGCGCGAGCGGAGAGTCAGCGGAGAGAAAATAAATTACGAGAGGAGTGTAAGTCGCTCACAAAGTTCACTATCCTTGTTAAAAGCTAGCAGGGGCAGGAGATAGCCTGTGGCGAGCATGCGCAACATGGCATGCTTGGAGACTTCCTCTCCGAGGGGCCGGTCCACCAAGCCTTCACTCCGCTGAGACGGCGTTGTTCCAATGCTGCCATTTTGCTGCTGCTGTGTAGCTTGGGTCGCTATCCCTAGTCCAGCGGCAGCAGCGCCGTCTGCTCCCAGAATGCGGCATTCATGCTCGCGTCCACTCGCTCGAAGCTGGCGATATCGGTCCTTGCGCTGCAGGAGGAGGTTCTGGATAGCCTCGAAGGGTGGTGCGGACACTAGCGGCCACGTCATGTTAGCGGCGGTGGCCTCTCAGGTAGATGAACCTCGCTTCATCGCGCAGGCGAGCCATGTCAGGGAGACAAAGTGTACATCATCGTCCCATGTCCAAGTCGGTCTGTCAGACGATCGTCTGTGCTCTGTCCAACACGTAATTAACACATGCGCACTTTTTGACGTGCACGCATGCACACACAGCGCACGTGAGAGACTCGCGTGACGCGTCGCGCGGTCGACTTCACATTGCCTCGACATAGGAAGCTCCCTCTATCCTTCTTCCTCCCTTTCTCGCGCCCGCCAGGACGACACTCATAAGCCCGCATTTTAGTTGATTTTTCGGATCAGCCAAGAGGAGTATACATGCCATAGGAGCGCACCACCCGCCACTGACGAACATGGACTTTCAACGACGCTCGGACGCTGCCCCGCGCGCTGGTGCCGGCGCGGCGGCAGGCCAGGACATCCTATCCGGTGAGCAGTATAGCACGGGTCCATGTGCGCGATCTGCTTCGCGGGCATGCAGCTGCTGATGTTGATTTCCTCTGCGAACAGTGCTGCATGATTTGTCCACGCTTCTGAACACTGGACTGGACAAGGATCAGCTCAAGGCGTGCGTGGACCTGATTGAAGATGGAGTTGGCCCCGAAGCAGTTGCGGTGAGTGGGTTAGCATGCGGTGCCCAGCCGACCAGGAGACGGTGCCACTGAAGCGAACGGTATTGAGGACGTGCTGATCATTGTGCGCGCCGCTTGGCTCCGTAGAACATCGTCAAGGAACTGAGAAGCAGGGCAAGCGACAAGCCCTGAGGGGATGCAAAGCCTGCATGCACCTCTGCCGCTCAGCGTGTGGCGCCATCAGTATGGACCTGACGCGTCGCGGCACGATCGCCCGCGTGCCCACCTGCACCATCCCTTCATCAGCTGCTTACTGCTATTTGCGCAAGCTGACAAATACCACAACACACTTTCGCTCCCGCTGAGAAAGCGAGCTCGTTCCCTCGGAGCGGAACCGGGTCTCGTCTTGCAGCTGGCTCAGCATGGCACCTGCTCAGAGCGCGATCCCGTGTGATCGCCCCACTCTCGCAAACACACACAAGCAGCCGGGTGGCACGCGGATACTCTTGGAGATTCCAGCCCATATCTGGGGTTCGCGCCGAGCGAGCAATGTCGCTGTCGCACGAGCCCTGACCGGCGCGCTCTGCTCATTTCAACAGGGCGCGCTCTTTCTCTCTCGCTATGCACATGGCGCGCCTGACGCAGCCGGTCGAAGAGGATGTTGGCCGCCTGCCGCAATCGATGGATTGCGTCGGTTGCGCTCTGTCACAACGTTAATTGGGGCTCAGAGACGAGTGGAACACATGACGAAGTGCCGGGAAACCGACATTCGTTTTTTCTCCCGTCTTCGTTTGTGCATGCGTGTATGCTGTGAGCATGGCCAAATAGTTGTTGAATGCAATCGTTTGAGCTTGCCTGTGTGACGCGTCCGACCTACAAGCCTTTATTTCTTGGCTTCCGCCCAAGGCGTGTGCGACTGATAGAACCCCACCTTGGGGGGCGCATTCCAAAGCAATCATTTGCCTTGGAGATGAGACGGCTACGAGCGGGCCACACGGACATATTGTCGTTTGTCACCTGGCTGCTGCTGTCATGGTTGTGGGGGCGATTCTGTTGACCAGGGAGAGAGACCCACCACTCCATTCAGACGACGTTCTCCGTATGTAAAATGTTTGACAAATAAAGTGTCGCAGTGCTGGCTGGCGGAATGGGGAACCTGGCCACAGCGCACAATGTCACAACGTCACAGATACGGAGCAATATGTTTGTAGATAGGAGATAGATAGCAGGGGTAGACAGCCGAGTCTACCCGAACGGAGAGTCGGAATTTGAGATTTTGACTGGTGCAGTGCCGGATGAACTCGACTCCACTCGGCTCAACAGACGCCTATCTATCTATCAGGCCCTGCATGGGTTGAGGTTGGAAATGGCATGGCGCCAGTGTATGTGTGCACGGTCGGTGCTTGACTCATTCTGCACAGCCAAAATCGAGAGTTCGCCGTGCGGTGCTGTGCTGTTCGGTTCTGCTCTCTCTACCTTAGGCATCTGCATCCGCCCGCTGGCATCTCCAATGGGTCTCTGCTGGATGGGATGGATGGGAGGGGATGGGTTTTGTTCTCTCCTCCATCGACCCGTTCAAATCCCCATCATCACTCAACGCCATCTCAGTCTACCTCCAAGACGCATACACCCCTCTGCATCCGGTTAACCTCAAGTCTGATCTGCAGCACCATCAATACAAAATGGCGAACCCATACGCACGCAACCCTGGTGAGTCCCGACCGACCTGACCCGGCCGCGCACGGCTCGTGCGCAGATTGGAGCGGAGGAGCAAATTCAATGAGGTGCAACAGAACAATTGCCGCGGTTCCGCAGCTCTTCTTGCGTCAACGTGGGAGTGAGGGTGACCGAGAGAGCACCACAAGCTACCCTCGACGCTAGAGGAAGCGTACCTGGTGCGGCCGACCCTCGCTTTATGAGAGATATCTGCTACATCAACTCTGCCACCCGAGTCGTGTGAGATGCGCTCTCGTGTTTAAGGCCCATGCTAAACCCCAATCAATGCATCCTCACCCTCCCAACAGGCCTCGCCAACACCTACATGACTCTCGACCAGAGGGGCAAGGTGCAGGCCGAGTACATCTGGATCGACGGCGATGGCGAGATCCGCGGCAAGACCACCACGGTCGACAGCCCGGTCAACTCAATCAAGGACCTGAAGGAGTGGAACTTTGACGGTTCCTCCACCAACCAGGCGCCCGGCGGCAACTCGGATGTCTACCTGCGCCCGGCGGCCATGTTCCCAGATCCGTTCCGTCTGGGTGACAACATCATCGTGCTCGCCGAGTGCTACAACAACGACGGCACGCCCAACAAGAGCAACCACCGGTACGCCTGCAAGAAAATCATGGACCAGGTTACCGCCCAGAAGCCATGGTTCGGCATCGAGCAGGAGTACTCGCTGTTCGACATGGATGACAAGCCCTACGGCTGGCCCAAGGGCGGCTTCCCCGGTCCCCAAGGCCCATACTACTGCGGTGTCGGTGCCGGCAAAGTTTACGCACGTGACCTCGTCGAGGCCCACTACCGCGCTTGCATGTACGCTGGCGTCAACATCTCCGGCATCAACGCCGAGGTCATGCCTGCACAGTGGGAGTTCCAGTGAGTCAAGCATGGGTCGGAATCGTTCGCGCAGGGAGGAAGAGAATCATTGAAAATTCTGGTCTTCTCGCAACCGTCCAGGGTGGGTCCGTGTGAGGGCATTTCCATGGGCGACCATTTGGTCATGGCAAGAGTGAGTTCAGGGCCTACGTCTGTAAGGTGAATTTCTACGATGCTAAGTTTGGATTTGTGCACTGGTAGTATCTGCTCATTCGCATCGCCGAAGAGTGGGGCGTCAAGGTATCCTTCCACCCCAAGGCTGTTCCCGGCGACTGGAACGGAGCTGGCTGCCACACCAACTACTCGACAGAAGACATGGTGAGCAGCAACATCTAGGCTGAGGAATATCTACGTTCGCGCTGACACTGCTCCCAAACTTTCAGCGCAACCCGGGCGGTATGAAGGCTATCGACGATGCCATCGAAAAACTGTCCAAGCGGCACGAGGCTCATATGTGAGTTTGCTTCTTCTGTTAACTTGCAAGTGCCATTTGCGCTGACAAGCATTGCCTCCCTTTCAGCGCGGTCTACGGCGCGGACAATGAAAAGCGTCTCACCGGCAAACATGAAACCGGCCATATTGGCCAGTTCAGCGCCGGTGTCGCCAACCGCGGCGCGAGTATCCGTATTCCGCGCCACGTCGCGGCGCAGGGCTACGGCTACCTCGAGGACCGCAGGCCGGGTGAGGATATGACACGATGGATTAGGCTTGACCTTGTGCACAGGCGCTGACCTTGGCCTCCTCTTCACCGCGCCGCAGCGTCCAACATTGACCCATACCAGGTCACTGGCATCATCGCTGAGACAACGCTGCTGCAATAAGCGACTCATCGATATCTGCTGCCTCTGTTTCGTTTCTAACTTTTTGCGCGGGCTGGGAAGACACGAGCGCCTATGGGCGAGCGAGAGCGACGAGGAAAAGAGCTCGTAGAGGCAATGATACGCGGCCTTGGAGGGAGAAGAGGAAAGAGACTATCTTGAACAGGACAGGTCAAACAGAAAGAGTGGACAGCGGGAAAAAAATAAAGAGTCAGGTTTCCTCTTTCTTGATAATGTGTCGCTTTTCTCTTTCGTGTCCAACTGTACATTCCCTATTTCAATGATTCAACGCCTGCTTGCGATCACGTGCCATTTTCGATAGAATGAGTGGGCGGCCTGCGGAGGTGTTTATTGCAAGCTGGCGCGGGTCTATTATACATGGTCCAGGTCGCCAGGCACGTCATAGCGAGAATCTGAGGACGCTGTACTCAGTACGACGGATCCAGTATCGAAGGGGCCCCCTCCGCGGAGGTGATTCAGCTCGGCCGCTGTGCAGGTGCCCTCTCGTATGTACACTCGACAAGGCGAGCAGATGTTTTGGACAATCACGAAAAGTGGGTCTGGAGAAAGTCTAACACTTGTTCTTGATTGGATCGATTCTGGCCGCGCTCGTTGTATGAGGAAATGGCACAGCGGCAGTGTCTTCTTCTGTGGAAGCGGCTGCGGGGACGCCAGCAGCAGCAGCCTAGCAACAAATGCGAGCGCGGCCAAAATATAGTTGACCAAAACCATTCCGTAAGATAATGACGGCAAGAACACCAGCAAGCAACACTCTGCAACGTTGACGTTCATATATACGCGTTTCATCCTCTCCCCTTTGTCGTTCTTTCTCTTCGTGAGCGCACCCGTGATTCAAGAGGATACTAGCTAGGAAGAAACAGCAGCAGCAGAAGCAAGCAAGCAAGCAAAGATGGTCCGCCGCTCCTGCTGCATCCCAGGGGTCGTCCTGTCCTGTGAGCATCCCCACCACTCCCCCTTAGTGTGTCTCCCTTGCGCCGAGGGTACCCCAGTCAGCCCGATCTGTGCTCATCATGGCTTCATCTGATCTAATTGCCTTGCCTTTTTTCGTCGTGCCGCAGTCCTGGGTATGGCCCTTCTTCTGCTCTGCACCGTCTCGACGCCGCTCGCATGGGGCTCCAACTCGAACATCGGCTTCGTCCAGAGCGGTGACCTGCTCAACGACGCGGGCGAGGGACTGATCGACTACACGGACGGCTCCAACACAAACCGCCAGATCCAGTATATCACCTTTGGCACGTATGGGTACTGCACAAAGGGAGTCGGAGAGTCGAGCTACCGCTTTTGCAACAACCTGGGCAGCGCGTAGTAAGTTGGGCTGCCTCTCCCTTTCCACACCGCCTTCTTGACGAACAGCACGTGCCCATTCCATCTTTTTCTTTGCAGCGCGGTTTACCTTCGCCCTTCGGGGAATGAAACGACAGCAGCGTACTCACAAACCGAGATCAAGTCCTCCTGGACACGAGGTCTGGTCCTGCACATTGTTGCCTTTGTCATCGCTGTCATCGCGCTCGTTCTCGCGTGCGTGCCGAACATGATGATCCTCCTCATCTCCAGCTTGGCCCATCTGTATGTACAAAGGCATAGCCTTGTTTGTCGCATTGTCTGTCACGCTGACTTTCCTCCCGGTCTCTTCGTGTTTTCCACCCCCCGCAGCCTCGCAGCGCTGTTCGCACTCATCGCGTTCATTATCGACATTGTCCTCTTTGTCTACTCGCGCAACCGCATTCAGCAAGTCGCCCCTGGCGCTAGCGTCTACCCATGGATAGGCTTTTACTGTGCACTCATCTCGTGAGTTCCTGCTCCGCATAGAGAGTTGAACCAGGACCAGCAGACGCAGGCTGACACACGTTCGCCATGGCCACCTTTCCCTTGCCTTTGCGTCCGCAGCATCCCGCTGCTGGTACTCGCCGGCATCACCGTCTGCTGTGGTCGTCGCGAAAAGGGCGACGACTTCACGGCCAGCTCATCCAAGCGCTCTGGCATCGATTTCGGCGGCATGTTCAAGCGCAAGAACAGGGCTGACGTCAATGAGGGCGGCGTGCTGCTCAGTTCTCGCCAGAAAGTCCTCGAGGCGTTTGAAGATAGCAGGGCATGAGTGCGTTTACACATTCGGGGAACCGCAACATCTCTTCTCTCCTTGTTGCAAGCACGACATTATCACCTGGACACAACTTCAAAATCGGACATTTGCTCTCGCCCCCCTCTCGTTTTTTGCTCCCATTCATGCTTGGGTCGTCTTTCTTTCTTTTCTTTGTTGCCTACCTTGGCTGTCAAGCCTTCATTCCGGCAAGACGTTCTACCTGCGTTCTGACCGGCCATACTAGAGGGCGCCCAACTACATGTTCCCCCATTCCAAATGCAAGTGAACGTTAAATTCCACTCCTGTCTGTTGCATACATCGCGTGTTGGTTGCAGCCGCTCGATGAAGCGGCAATGCCGAGTCCATGTGCCGCCGTGGACTGTTGTCCACAAAGCTCATCTGTAAGCTGCGAGTATGGACTCGCCTGATGGACATGTACCTTCCATTTTGGGCCTTCCAGTAAAACAAAGCGGCCTGCCAGCCAGCCTGTGGGGGACGCGGACATGCGGACGGCTCGCGAGTCACTTGGGGGTTGGTCCTGCTTTTTTGGCTGTTGTAAGTTTGTGGCGCAGCAGAGAGGGGGAAAGAGGGGAATATTACGTAATGTTTTGGCTCGGGTTGCGAAGAAATTTCAAGTCTCTCTATCTTTTGGCAGTTGCTTGTCTACTACCTGGCAGATGTTAGCAGTTCTCAACCCCGTTTGCTTTCGATAAACGGCCCCAAACACCTTGCAAGCTGCGGTGTAAAGCCTCTTCGGAAGCTTTCCCGACAAGACCCGCCCGCCATGTCTTCTTCCGATTTGGGCGATGCCCAAATGTCGTCGGCCTCCTCCACCTCGGCCTCATCGTCTGGCCCATCGACGCCACCTCTGGGGACCGCATCGCTGCCTCTTCCCAAGTCTTTAGCAGACGCCCGGAAGCAACAAGGTCTGGAGTTGCAGCATCATGACATCGCAGAATGGCAGCAGCCTCACACCTTTCACACGCTCGACCTTTTCGAGCGCTTCAGCAACCCCAGCCAAGATGCGTTTGACCATCCAGAGCTGCAAAAACTCGTCGCTCCCCATATCGAGTCGTTCAACATGCTCTGGGCGAGCGATCCCAGCGTGGATGAGCCAGGTCCATCATCAAGAGGTGCGACAACATCTGGTGGTGCAGACGAGGGGCTGATGCAAAAAGCTATCCGCAAAATCGCTCCCAAGGTCATCTACAATGGCAAAGGTGCCAGCCCTGCGCAGTGGGAGAATGGAGAATGGGCAAGAACGGGCGACAGGCTCGAGATCTGGGTCGACTCCATTTCCCTGGGCCGGCCGCAGGTGCATGAGAGAGCGAGGGATGCCAAAGAAAGACGTGTGTTTCCCACAGAGGTGAATGACAGCAACTCGTATCCATTATTTAAATGGTGCTGATCCCCCCTCCCCTCTCTCCGTGATAGGCTCGTGAGCGCCTCGTGACCTACAGGGCTCCCCTAACGGCTCGGATCCAGTGGAGCATCAACGGAAGTCCCCCTTCGACCGAAGTCAGGCAGCTAGGTCTGGCACCAGTCATGGTCAAGTCCAACCGTTGCAATCTACGTGGCATGACGTCCAAAGAGCTGGTGAATAGAGGGGAAGAGCAGAACGAGATGGGCGGTTACTTCATAATCAATGGCAATGAGCGTCTCGTGCGATTTCTCATCGTCCCCAAAGCAAACCACGTCACCGCTATCGAGCGATCGGCCTTCGAGAAGCGTGGCCCTTCGTACTCTCGAAAGGCATGCACGATCCGCTGCGTGCCGAAAGAGGACCTGGCTTCGGTGACCAATACAGTGCACTACCTAGAGAACGGCAGTGTTACCTTGCGCTTCAGTTGGCGAAAGCAAGAGTACATGGTCCCCGTCATCCTCATTCTCAAAGCGCTCGTCGATGCTACCGACAAGGAAATCTTCACATCCATCGTCCAGGGAGACTTTGACAATACGTTTATCACCGATCGCGTCGAGCTGTTGCTTCGAGCATTCAAAAACTACAAGCTCTATAGCGGCGCGCAGTGTCTCGAGTACCTCGGCGACAAGTTCCGCGTCGTCATGGGTGCACCCGAAGACTGGGAGAACATCGCCGTCGGCGCGCGCTTCATCGAACAGGTCGTTCTCATCCACCTCGACAGCCCGCGTGAAAAGTTCCGCATGCTCGTCCACATGATTCGCAAGCTTTACTCTTTCGTCGCGCTCGACTCGTGCCAGGACAACGAAGACTCGCCGCAGCACCAGGAGATTCTCCTACCCGGCTTCCTCTATGGCCAGATCATCAAGGAGAGGGTCGACGACTTTCTCGGCGGCGTCCGCACGCAGATCGCGCGTGACGTCCGCCAAGCATTCGATCCAAGCTATGCTGGACCGTCGCGCAGCAAGATTGCGCCCAACTTTTACGACGAGTCATATCTTAAAAAAGTCATGGCCAAAGTCAACTCGGACGTCGGTGCTCGGCTCAATGCATTCCTGGCGACCGGCAACCTCGTCTCACAGACCGGTTTGGACCTCAAACAAGCGAGCGGATTCACAATCGTGGCAGAAAAGCTCAACTTTTATCGCTATCTCTCCCACTTCCGCTGCGTGCACCGTGGTGCGTTCTTTGCTGAACTCAAGACCACCACAGTGCGCAAGCTGCTTCCCGAGGCCTGGGGCTTTCTCTGCCCTGTGCACACGCCGGATGGATCTCCCTGCGGCCTGCTGAACCACTTCTCGCACACATGCCAGTTAATGACGCGCGTGTCCGATACGACGGCCGTGCCGTCGCTCCTGGCTGGCTTGGGCATGCTCCCCGCCCTATCAGCCGAGGTGCACGCCCGGAAGCACGTCTGCATTCAGCTCGACGGGACCATCATCGGCTACGCCACGCTTGCGCTTGCGAAGCGTATGGCGATGAGCTTGCGCATCTGGAAGACCGAGGGCCAGCGGGGCGTCCCGCTCGACCTGGAGATTGGCTTAGTACCCCTCAGCCATGGCGGTCAGTACCCCGGCCTGTACCTCTTCTCAAACCGCGCAAGGATGATGCGGCCGGTCAAATTCTTGTACAATGGCAAGCTCGACCTTGTCGGCCCATTTGAGCAAGTCTACCTCGACATTGCATGTCAGCCGGACGAAGTCGAGCAGGGCATCACCACCCATCTCGAACTCAGCCCGACGAGCGTGCTCAGCGTGCTGGCAAACCTAACGCCGTTTTCGGATTACAATCAGTCGCCGAGAAATGTACGTGTCTGGATATCCATCCTGTTCTACGTGTTGCATGACTGACGACTCTTCGCACGCCTCTCCCTGCTCACAGATGTATCAGTGCCAAATGGGCAAGCAGACCATGGGTACACCTTCGACCGCGATCAATCACCGCACGGACAACAAGTTGTACCGCATTCAGAATCCGCAGACGCCCGTCGTGCGGCCAGCGCTGCACAACAAGTACAGTTTCGACGACTACCCGAACGGCACAAATGCCATTGTCGCCGTTATCTCGTACACGGGTTACGACATGGAAGACGCCATGATTCTTAACAAGTCGGCTCACGAGCGTGGCTTTGGCTACGGATCGGTGTACAAGAGCTCCATCGTCGATCTACGCGACCTGCAGGGCTCCGCTCGTGGACCGTCAACGTGGCACTTTGGATTCGGGCGAGACCTCAAGCCGGATCATCCATCTCGCGCGGTGCTCGACAACGACGGTATGCCGTTCATCGGTGCACGCATCAAGGAGGGCGAGCCATACTGCGCGTACTGGGACGAGACGACGGGTCGGACAAAGTTTTCCAAGCTCAAGGGCGATGATATCGCTTACGTTGACACCGTGCGTGTCATTGGCACCGACCAGGGGGATTCTGAGGCGCAGAAGCTCCAGATCACCCTGCGCATCCCACGTTCGCCCGTCATCGGCGACAAATTTTCCAGTCGGCACGGACAGAAGGGTGTCTGCTCGCAAAAATGGCCCGCCGTCGATATGCCGTTCTCGGAGAGCGGGATGCAGCCGGATGTCATCATCAACCCACACGCCTTCCCTTCGCGTATGACGATCGGTATGCTGATCGAAAGCATGGCTGGAAAGGCCGGGGCCATGCATGGTATCGCGCAAGATTCCACTCCTTTCACGTGAGTCTTCGGAATGTGCACGCCTCGAGGAAGTGTTCACTTATTGATATGTTGCTCGGCCGCGGCAGCTTCTCCGAGGAAGACACACCTCTAGACTTTTTTGGGGAGCAGCTCAAGGCTGCCGGATACAATTACCTCGGCCACGAACCGATGTACTCCGGTGTGACAGGCGAAGAGTTTGCAGCAGACATCTACCTCGGGGTCGTCTACTACCAGCGTCTGAGGCACATGGTAAACGATAAGTTCCAGGTGCGGACAACGGGTCCGGTCGACCAGCGGACCCGCCAGCCCGTCAAGGGAAGGAAGCGCGCCGGTGGTATCCGGTTCGGAGAGATGGAGCGTGATGCGCTACTCGCACACGGCACCTCCTATCTCTTGCAAGACCGTCTGATGAACTGCTCAGACTATAGCACCGCTTGGGTATGCCGAACGTGCGGAAGTCTGATCTCGCTCGGGTACGAAAATAGCACCATGGCCGGTGTGCAGGCGATCGACATCAAGACAGATCAGTCGGAGCTTCTCGGTCCCAGCGGCGAGTACTGTCGCATCTGCCGAGCGGAAGACGAGCGGCGGCTTCGAGAAGGCGAGCGGCCACTGCAGCCAGGTCAGACGCTAGCGCACAAGGAGAACGGTAGTGCTTTCAAGGTACCCAAGGAGATGGTCCTCCGTCGCGGCGGCTCGCTCGATGTCATCGCTGTGCCGTACGTGCTCAAGTATCTTGTTGCCGAACTGGCAGCGATGAGCATGCGCATCAGCTTCGAGGTCGTGTCGTAAAGCCGTTTTCAAGCAGCGCCCCGTATCTCATTCGTGACTTCGACGAGTCTCGCCCGATCGAAGCCTGTGAACTAACTCATTCTGGCAATCAATGCATATGTAAACGTGAGCCGTACACCAGGTTCATGGTGTGGTGAAAAGCATTAAATTTTTGGGGAGGTACGGCATGAAGGATGGCGTTTGCGGGCATGAGCGCCGCAATGTCTTCCAAATCCAGCTTTGAGGGTGCTTGTATTTGATCTGGCTGAATGGCCCAGTATTCCAGAAGGAAGGGATGACTTCACGGTGGGCACCCGCAGACATGGGCGCTCAACGCTGTTGCTGAATAATTCGTTCTCGCTATCCAACTCGAAAACATACGCTCCCGCCGTCACAACTGCCCTGACACACATGCCATTCGGTCTAGAGGACTAGATGATGCAGGCAAGCAGTGTACACCTCCACCTGGAAGTCCCTGCAAAGCTCCTGCTCGCAAACATGTCGACTCTCCCGGTCACTCAGACCTTGCTATGACATCCATGCCCTTCTCTCCAGGGGGAGTCGATTCCTTCGCTCCGTGTGATCAATGCAACCTCGTTGCATTAATATGGAAGTTGTAGCAAAAGAACATACGTATGTATATATAGAAAGGAGTGGGTGGACTCGACGAGACTGAAACGCGCGACGCCACCACGAGGAGCGCGACCGCAGGCACCTCACGCGAACATCGTGGGCTATCCACACTAACCACATCGTCATTGGTCTGTCATGTCCCATGCACATGCATGTTTGCATAATACCTTCATGGTGCTTGACGCATGTAGCATCGCGTTGAGGACGCGCTGAGGCCTGAATCTGCAAGCGACACCACGTTCTCCTCGGGTGGCGCGACGTGCAGAGCGCTCAGGTCTGTTCGGTGGCCAGTTCGCCGATTGCATCCGTTTTCTGTTGCAAGATGTCGATTGCGAAGATGCCATAGCTGCGCCAACTTGACTCTGCCGCACATGGCAAACAGCAACGAAATTTCCAGCCCCAGGACACCTTTCGGAACGACTATAATCGTAAGCCTCGCATAGTACGCAGGCGCCTGCGTCCCCACCGCTATCGCACGTTCAATACGAGGGCCGCCCTCTGTCGCGTTTGAACTTCTTTCGAAGCCCCGTGTGCGTGCCGAGGTCGAATCAGCACTTCCGCCACCATGCCCGCGCAGCAGCACGGCATCCATGCAGCTTCGGCGGCAAGTGGGCCTACTCAAGCTTCCAGTAAATCACTGTCAAGGTCACGCTCTCCGTCGACGAAGAATGCGGCCGAAGGCTCACCGGTGGCCGCAGTGAAGGGAAAGGGCAGAATGATGGATGTGATGTCAGACGAAACAAAAGAACGGCAATCGCCGAGAGCCGCAGGGAGACAACGAGTTGCCCCGGAAGAGGATGATGTGCCGGCGAGTGTCTCGCCTCGATCGCCAAAGCGGGTCGCGAGGTCTAGCAGCAAATCTCCAAAGGGCGGAGCATCACCGCACCCGGCCTCTCCGACTCAACTTTCAACACGAGCAGAGGCAAGCAAGAGGTCCGATTCCATGGCAGCACTGAGCCCAACGGGCTCAGAAGCGGTAAGGCGTGCCATTAACCCGCGAAGTGCGATGGCAGCTTTGACCGAGTCGCCGCCGTCGCCATCGCCATCGCCTATCCTCTTCTCTCGCGGGGAGCTTTCAGGTAGCCCGGCAGCCAGGCCGAACTCTTCAATAAGCGCTGTCGCCGCCAACCCTTCAGCTCTGGACCTTGCTTCTATTGCAGCGCGCAAGGGAGACTCGCCGAGAGGGTCCATCACGTTGTCGACGACTGGGCTGGCAAACCATGCTCCCTCCCCCATGTCGCCGATACCTGACCGACCCCTCTCAGCCGCTGGGACTTTTTCGAGCATGGATCTAGGAATGAGCGGCATTGATTCAGCAGTAGTGGGTCGGGATGCTGGCACTTTGGTCTCGATGACTCCGTCAGAGGTACCTTCAGCCCTCACGCTGTCATCTCTGCCGACACCAACCGATGACGTCCGCGGGTCGGCGATGGTAGACGCCGACTCATCATCGGGGGAAATCTCGTTTGAACAAAGACCTGCTTCCACTGGAGACATATCTGCAGGGTCGAGCTCGACAGGTGAAATCTCTTTGACCGATATGACCATACCCGAACACGAGCACCTCTCGCCCGCCGCCACCATCTCACGAGGGCTCTATCACCAGTGCGGCACTGCGCGCAGAGTCAAAGTGTACGAGCTGCAGAATGATAACTGGTTCGACCACGGCACGGGATACTGCGCCGGTGTCTACGATGAAGAGCACGACCAGGCGTTATTGGTCGCTAAATCGGAGGAGCTGTGCCAATACATGAGCCTGCCGCCTCCGCCAGCGGAGGACGAGAACCGCGAACCAGGAGGGATTCCTCGCGCAGAAGAGGAGGATCTTACGAGCCAGTACATCATTGTCGTCTCGGCACAGTTGTCTCCGGAGGAAGTCCTTCTCTGTACGCAGGTCGTACGAGAGGACATCTATCAACGCCAGCAGGATACGCTCATCGTCTGGACAGAGCCTGGCGGAAAGGATATGGCCTTGTCGTTTCAAGAGGCGGAAGGCTGCAACGAGATCTGGGAATTCCTGAGTGAAGTACAGAAGCACTTCAAGATCAACGGTAAGTACGGTCCATCCTCTTTTGCCGTGTTGCGAGGCCTGACCGCCATTTTCTTCGGAGTAGGAGCCGACGATGGCGATTCGTCAGAGCCAGGGCAACCCATGTCGCGAGAGTTGGGATTCGAAGAGTCTTTTCAGACAGGCGAGGAGATGCTGAGCATGGTCGAGGGCGACCATATTCTGCCCGAGCCGACATTAGGAAATGTCGAACAGATCGACTTTGCGGTGCGGGAACTTGCGAGCCGGCCGCCTCAATTCCGCGAGAGATTCGCAGAGTGGCTTCTGAAGACTGGATACATCAAGAGCATGATTGAGCTCTTCCATGATGCAGAGGACTTGGAGCAACTCGGCGTATTGCACAGCCTCTGCTCCATCATGCAGAACCTCTGTGAGTGCTCAAGTTGCGAGATGACTCGGACATCGAGCTGGCACTTATGGGCTTACTTCCCTTGCAGTACTCCTCAATGACACGGTCATGTTCGAATGGATCTTGCAGGACAACGTCTTTCTCGGTGTCGTCGGGATGCTCGAATGTGAGATTCTTCGCGCGCATTGTTTTTTTGACCGAGGCTGTGCTGATGCCATGCCTCAAAATCCTATCAGACGACCCGGTCTTCCCTCGTGATAAGGCCTCATTTCGCCAGTATCTCTCTGACCCTGGTCGCTTTCGACAAGTAGTACCCATCACCGACGCCAACATCCTCACCAAGATCCATCACACCTACCGCTTGCACTATCTCAAGGATGTCATCTTGGCGCGCATTCTCGAAGATGCTACTTTTTCGACGTTGCAGTCGATTCTGTTCTTCTATCAAGTTGACATTGTCAGCTATTGCGGGGGTAATGAGGACTTTCTCAGACGGCTCTTTGCGGTGTTCAAGACGTCGGCGCAGCGAGGAGATGCTGCGGCGGAGCAGCACAAGCGCGATGGCGTCATCTTTCTCCAGCAACTTTGCAACATGGGGAAGACCATTCAGCTACACTCTAGGATCAGCCTCTACCATACGCTTGTCGAATGGGGCTTGATCGACGTCATTGAGTTCGCTTTCGATGCTGGCGACGCCACACTTCGGAATGCGGCGGCCGAGATGCTGATTGTCATCATCGAGTATGATGCAAACAGCGTGCGGCTGCGCATTCTCGAATTGAAAGACAAGAAAGAGCGGACGCTTATGGCGATCTTGATCGAGCACTTGCATCGCGATGGTGACATGGGTCTCAAATCACAAATCGTGGAGATCTTGCGCACCCTTCTCGACTGTGGTGACGGCTCGAATACGACAGCGTCGCAGGCCATGATGCAACAGCAAGTGCTGGGTAATAAGCAAGGCCCTAAAGCAGATCCGGAACGCTTTTTGACAGCATTCTATGAAGAGGACTGCGAGTTGTTGCTCGCACCTCTCAAGCAACTGCCGGATGTCATGACGCTGCCAAGAAGGTCCCGACTGCCTCCGATGAGCTTAAGCAGGTCCGCTCTCTTTGGACATCTGTGCGACTTGCTTTGCTTCATCAGCACCTGCCATGGCTTTCGAAGTCAGTACTTTGTCATCACCTCAGAGGTCTCCAAGAAGGTTGCGACGCTGCTGCGGAGCAGAGATAAGCACGTTCGTTGCGCGTCTCTGCGCTTCTTTAAAGCCTGCCTCGCCAACAACAATCAGTTCATCAATCGTCACCACATCAAGATCGAGTTGTTCGAGACGCTGCTGGACATTGTCGAAGAGGAAGCGGATCGCGACAACCTCGTCACTTCGGCGTGTATTAGCTATTTCGAGTATATGAAGCAAGAAGCAGTTATGAAGCCGCTGATCAATCATATTGCAGAGAAGAACCAACCCGCTTTACAACGCTTGGCCAGGCATTCGACTGCAGGGAAGGTGTTCAGCGAGCTGCTCTCCCGATGGGAACAGTCTTCGAGCTCATTAGCAAGTAGCAAGGCGCTGATACAAACGAATGAGGATGCGCGGAGGGTTCCGTGGGTCTTTGATGGGCAGCGTCCATGTTTCCGTGTACTGACATGCTCTCAATTTCCGGAACGCAAAGTCCGAAGCGACGAGGTGCGACTACGAAGGCCATGGAAGCCGAAGCGGAAGAGAGCTACTTCCACGATGACCAGGAGCCAGAGGCATCCGGTTCTGAGGCGAAGGTCATAACTCCCGTACCGAACCTGGTGCCGTATGCCGACGACGATTTTGACTTTGACGTCACACCGAGCAGTACGCCATCACAGAACAGTGGCTCATCGTCAACGCCAGATGCACAAGGCTCTGCGTCGGTAGCCGAGACGAGCATCGAGGATGCACCGATGCTGCGACTCGGCGAAAAGCGAAGGCGCGAAGAGGATGAGGACGCGCTGGATATGCTGAGTGCCAAGCGCAAGCAGGCACCACCATCAACAGATGCCAGCGCTGATGCAGAACCTCAAGCCAAACGCCAGAACCAGGATGGCTCTTCACCTGCCGCGTCTACGATTTTGGGGGATACTGAGGGAGGGTTCATCCGCGAGGAAGCGCAGGAAGTCTTGGCATTGCTGCCATCGCAGGCGGCTGGTCCAATTCCTGTTTCCAGTGAGCCCTCCCTGTCACCTCGCGTGCCAGGTCCAGCTTCGTCGAACACGAAGAAGGTGTCGCTCGCGCTGTCACAGTCAGCAATCAAGATGGCGCAGGATAGTAGCACCGGCGACGGCGAGAAAGGACGCAAAGAGGCGGCGAGAGACGGTAGCGGGAGTTAGTGCAGGGAGGGAGACGCACTGTTTGTGTCGCCAGCACATTTGGAATCTCGACATCGATTGCAATGACTGTATCTTAGCAGCAATATAGTATCGGTTTGGTGGGCCCGTTGGGCTGGCACAGTGAAATCGAGGCTTTCACTTCCTTCGTAATTTGGTTCCATCACGCAGAACTAAGGGCTGTGGCTCAGCACAGCGCGCCGCTACATCCGCACTGCAGAATACACCTCGACTCATTCCGTGGGTTACAGCTTCCTTGGTTGAACAATCACTCCCGTTTACCATTCAAGGGTGACTCCCTGACGTTCTCATCGACATTGGAGAGATCATAATTCTCTGAAAGTGCTGTGGAAATTAAGCCCATTATCTGCCGCAAGAGGTCAGCGTTTACAAGAAGGATACATCCCAAGATGCAAGGTGAAGAGCCACCTCGCCTGCACGCCCCACCGCCCTCGGCTGCGGCGCCCAAACCCAAAGGCATCCTCAAGAATGCACAGTCACATTCTTCAGGAAATGTCCCAACAATAGGGCCCGCTGAGGGGTCAGACGCTCCTGCGGGATCTCAGGCAGCCAGTTCCGGAGCAGCAGCTGCCGTTGATGGAGGCGAGGCAATGCAGGTTGACGAGGGTGGCACGGGGCCTGGCGGACGGTGCGTTCGGTCAATTCTTTGCGTCATGGCCGCTTGAGCGTGTGCTGACGATCTTCGTAATGGATCTACCTGGGATTATTCGATATCGATAGTCTTCAATGGGACGAGACGAATCTCACACTTCACGAAATCGAGCGCGAGAACATGGCTGCCAGGATGAAGGTTGATGAACCCAAGACTCCCTTCGTGCGAGGCACCAGCTTGGGTCCGGACGACATAGGCGACGACAGTGAGTGTGAACTGTCATATTGGTAGGCCCCATGCTGATCGGACCTGCTTCTGACACTTGAATGTTATGACAGACTTTGCACTCGATGGTTCATCCTTTGTGGCTGGGAGCAGCAGCAGCCCTGCCTCTGGCTCTGTATCCGGATCTCGCACTGGCTCTCGCCGCTCATCCGCTGCCGATCTAACCAAAGCAAACACAGCAGCCAACGCGCGGACGGGCTCCCTCACCCCCGCTGTTGGCGACGGTGACGCCGATATGGCCGTCGACAGGGTCGCCGCCGGCGTTTCTGGCACGACGGGCGGCTCCTTGGCGAGCAGTGATCAGGCAGCTGCAGCAAGTGGTGGATTGGGCATCAAGGTGCCCAGTGATATAGGAGGTGATGGCGACTCGGAGATGGCGGCTGCTCCCCCCGTTTCACCTGGTGGATCGCAGTCCGGTCAGTCGTCACGCTCAGCAGCATCAGCAACGGGCCGGCGTCGCTCGGACCAGTCGCGCAGCCCTAGCTTCAATATGCCAGACGGGACAGTCCTCCTGCAGGGGGGCTCGCGAAGGAGGAGCAGTAGCTGCCGCTCATCCAGCGCCCGCCCTGATGCTGGCGAAGCAGCAGACTCAACCCGTAATGGTTTGCGGCGCGAGCGCGACGACCGTGAGATCGTCAATGGACATGGCGCTGCACTTGCTGACGGAGATGAAGAAGCATTCGATTCGTCAGAGGGGGAGGAAGATGTGGACGAAGAGACGAAGGAGAAGCATGACGCATTTGCAGCCAAGCGTAAAGGTCACTACGGCAATGAGGCAGAAGCGCTCAAGGCGGCTAAGTTGCTTGCGCAGCAGGACGACGAGGACGATGAAGATGATGACGATGACGAAAGCAGCTTGCCACCGCTAGCTGTGCCGCCGCTGCCTGCTAACATTAACGGTGGGCAGTGATACAGAGACTTGGAGGCGCTGAGCATGCTCCTAAAGCAAAATGAACCAAAACGACCCTGACCTCATGAAAATCAAGATTTTAAATTGTACTTTGCCCTCCGATTTTGTCGTTGTCCCTCACGCATGTACCGTGCTCAATTGCTCTATCGTTGATTACGATTTCATTTCATTGCACGATGCTGCATGTCACAAGTCACATGATACTCACAGATGCTCTTGTTGACGTCTGACGTTCGTCGATGCTAAATTTGCAGCTTTTTGCAGCATGACCGGCTGGGAGGATGAACGTAATCAGGCGACAGGCATCCAAAAGCGAAGTAAATTATGGAGCAAGAGACGCTGTCAACTATATGGTACGAATAAGTTTGGCTTCACAACATGCAAGTTGCAACCTGTCACCCCATATGGAGGGAGTACCATTGCACGCGGCACTCCATGCAACCACTGTCGTTGTCAGACATCGCTGGGCGCGCTCTGACACACAGTGCTGTGATGGTAGTCTCATGGGTTGTGACATCTTCCTGCCGCCGCGGGGCTACATCTCCCCCGGCACCATTCCCAACGATAACGCGCGACTTCGCGAGATGGTAGCCAAGCTCGATGTGCCCGGCATTCTCAGCTTGATTGACGTAGTGCTCAATCAGGTCAATCGAGAGAGACAAGTCATCAGGGGATCTCTTCGCCGAACACATCGCCGAGCAAGTGCTGCTGCAGGCAAGAGCATAGCTGGCAGAAGCAGATGAGCTGATCGACTTCTTCGTACGTGCGACGGCGGACACTCGTGCAGGCGAGCCCAAGAAGGTTCAGGAACGCCATGCGCACTTCAACGGCTAAAACACTGCAAGATGGACCAGGCGTCCAGGCCTGGACAGTAAGGATTCGAAGTGCTTGCGCCATCGACAGCGTCCGGCAAGCGTTCTGCACCGAGACGCTCGGTGTAGCTTTCGCTTGCCTGGTCAATAGCTTGGTCAGTGTCATCGCGAGCCACGACCTAAGGAATGGGAAGGCGAGCCGCGTTTTGGAAAGATGTGATCCGTTTACCGACGATCATTGCTGCTGGCGCGCATGTTCGCTACGCAGCCCATCCTCCGCCCGATCGTTTTGTGCAAGGTGGAAAGCCTGCTGATCAGAAGCGGGCTCTTCATCGCAATGAAGAATGCGGGGCGCGTTTCTGTCTCTCGCCATCCTCATCGACGGCGCCGGCTGCCTTCTGGACGAATGGGCGACCAAAGAGCTCAAAGGCGTCGGCAAAGGTTGGACATCGTAGATGGGTGCGCTAGAATACTGGTTCGAACGCTGGACATCCAGCGACGAGATGTGGCACTTAGTCAGCGACGAGTACACGCAGCTGGTCGACTTTATGCGTCCAGCATGAGGGGCGCACTCGAAGAAATCAAAGATTTGTACGGAACAGACGGCCCGGCAATGGATTGCACCCAATGTTGCGGAGCCCGGGGCGAACAGGGCCGGACCATACGAGCTGGAAGCGAGGACATTGCTTGATCAATACGGATGGAACATGACGGAAGAGCAAGCGTAGAGCATGCCATTGAAAAGCTGAAGATGGGCGATACCTTCCTGTCGTGAAATAAATTAACAGCCGCTCGACCTTGTATCTCAACTCCAGTCGTCACGGATCGACACATCCTTAACGTGACTGGGGCCAGCAGGGTTGAGCTTGAAGCGCTCGAGCAAAATGTGGATATCGGTAACATAGCGTAAGTAGAGTCGCTGCCACAAGCTTTGTGGAAAGCAAACGCGAGGTTGCAGTCAGCAAATACATGACATGGAATACGTTCTGTGCGTGAGCGAGAGGGTACGCAGGCTTTTGCACAAAGCACAAAGCACGAAGTCCTAAAAGAGTTATCTCAAAACCGAGCTTTCCAGCGGTTTTCCAAGCGAGAATCAGAGTCAGGTACAGCGACCAGCCAGATTAGAGGAGAGCATTGCTGGTCCAAGCAAAGCGTAAAGCAAAGCACTCTTCTTCAGACTCGGAAACACCCCCTTGTCACTGTGTGGCTCAGATCCAAATGACTTGGGGGAAGACACCAAAGGTGCTGCCCATATCTGCTTTATGACCATTGAGCAGCCTCGGATGAGCCCCAGAATCCAGGCTCGCTTCGATCTTTCAAGAAAGACTCCATCTTCTGTGACATCTGTGTCTGATACGGGCGCTGCCCGGTTGCAGTAAGACCGGCTCCGCGGTTCGCAGATATATGGCGCATATGGATGAATGAATATATGCCAGGTACCCAATACCCTTGCATTGAATACATATCAATTGGGGTCGTATCGGCGTTGGTGTCGCACGGATATCACCGTGGCTGCAAGCCCGAAACACGGTGGAAGCTGCGATCGCGAGCCCGGCGATGATATGTTCAGTGCTAAAGTCAAACGGAAAGGATGGTCGATGAATGATGATACCCATGGTGCTTGAAGCCGGAAGACACACCAAATTCTTTGGATTCATATATAAAATTACAGCCTACGCCGTGTACACCTGTCAGAATGTTTCGTTTCAACGTGATACTGATTGTGGTCTGCGTTGCAGCGGGCGGTCGTCTACTGCTATTCTAGCTCACTTTCGTCCTCTGCTTCGTCACGATGAGCGATGGGAGTGCGCAGGACTTCAGCTGCAGAGTCAAACTGCACGACTAACGTAGTGGACGACATCTCTCAAATCTATTTCGAGTATCCCCTCTTCCTCCTGGCCGTCGGATGTAGAGCATGGCCCGTCCTCAAGGATATCATGTCCCATCAGTGATATGTTCAGCACACCAACGACATCGATCGCGAATGTCTGCCACGCCTCCTTCAATCGTGCTTAGCTGCCGACTCGGGCTTCCAAGCATTCCTTTCGCCAGGCGCAGCTTCGAGTGCAGACTGACATCCAGTTCCTACGCTCGAACTGACCTTTGACGATGTCACGGTGATTGGCGCTCAAATCTAACCTATGCGGTGCCCAGTGAAAACCGGTTGGCAGTATAAAATCTGGACCGTCGAAGAGGACGGATTGGTTCATGTCACTACCGAGCGATGCAAAGGTACCTGCTCATTTCTTATTGCACAGACTTGCAGTCGTCCAAATAGGCCAAGTTCCGTGTCGCTGCTGGCTCAATCCTTCTGATTCGTCATCCAGACCAAGAGAACGGCGTTTCGCAGGAGAGGCCAGACACATCGTGCCGTTGTGAAAAGCGTACGGTCCAACTGCGTGTCGAGAAACTCCCCGCATCGCAGAAACGTTTGGCTCCTGTTTGAAGATTCTTCGTTTGTGACAACTACGATTCTTCTCAAGTTGAAGGGTGGATTTGCCAGTTCTGGACGGATGTCCAAGGTGCGTGAATTGCCTAGGCAAAGAGATCCCGAGCAGGGCTGAACAGGACAAATCGTTCGCGCCTACAAACACCATCATACCTCAGTCTGCTCTTGCTGCTGGCCCGTCGCCGTGTTGGGTGCTGAGCGAGCGGCATCGTTGAGGATGTGCTTATTGAACTCTTTCGAAGTTGGCACGAGCCTTCCAAAAGGTATGACAGGCGAGTGTAAGGGTTGAAAGGACGGATGTGCAAAACCGTCAGTTCCTTGGTGGAATCCGGAAGAGTCATTGAGCAATGTTTTGAGCATCGCTCGTCTCCGGTAGCAACGCGTGCGCTTGGCATCCGCTACACGCTGCACAACCTTTGGCTGATCCTCTGCACTCCGGCAAGCAATGCTTGCCTTGGGAAGCTCTCACCAATGAGGATATTGGTTGATACCAGTAGCGAGGAAAGATGTCAGAACGGCGATCCCTGCGCACCAGTTCCGTTGAATCCTATATCAGCATAATCACCGTCGGCAAGACGCTGGTCAAAGCGCAGAAGTGTTAGAAGGAGCACAAAGCGCTTGCCAAGGGAATAGACACGAAAATGGGCAGGGAGCAAGCCTAGGCGTTCACACAGACAACGTAGTTATCGTGCTTCATGTTCTTGTAGGGAGCGGGTAATTGGATATCTGGGAAGGTTGCAGTGTCCATTTAAAATGAAAAGTGCCGTCGACGTCTGCGTCTGCGTGGGTATGAAGCGACGGCGGTCTAATGCCCTCAGAAGAAAGGGCAAAATGGAACAAAATGCAATTGGGAGATGGCGAGTGGGATCCGAGAACGGCCATCCTCTGAAAGCCCGGTACATAACAGATATGTTAGAAGCAGGGTCAAAAGCAATGGCGACCACGTTGCAAGCAAAACACTGACTGAATCTGGCTGGAATGGAAGATGAGTTCGTTCCTGGTGACCAAAAGACATGGGTGCTTGGAGGTCCTCGCAGGGTTAAGTCTCGGCCGAGAGTGGGCGGCCTACATGTCTTTATGGAGTGTACTTCGATAGAAATACGTTATTCAGATTGGAAGGCCCTCGGGCCGAGAGCCATGATCGATATCATTGTCTTATGCACAAGGACTGCACCTCCCAAAGCTGTTCACTCACCGTCACGCTGAAGGGCCCCTTGGGCTTTGAACGGTGCCAGAAGCTATAGGGGACGGCCAAATGCCTTTCCACACAAGTTCGACCGTGGAAAACAGGCGAATAAAGCAGAACAATCCCTCTTCGCCTCGGGAGCCGATTGCGACAGGTCGTCAGCATGGCGGCACGTCTCCGAATTCCCACACAGCTCCTCTCGACCGTCTAACCCAGAGTCTTCGCCATGAGCTGATGCTTACTACACCTGCACCGATAAGGCTTCCAGCTGCATCGCTCCGCGCAGTGGCAACGCAACTGCTGCTTGTGGCGAGCGGAATCCGACGCGCGCACTTGGTCGACGCATTCGCGCCGTCCTTGCCGCAATGTACAGCGCTGGGGCGTGCTATCGCTTACGCGCTGCCTGAAGACCACACCAAGGATGTAGTGATTCTGGTAATCGTCATGCCTGCTTGGGATGGCGATTCCTTGCCGCTGGAGGATGCCAATACTCATAAGCAAGTCTTCGTTATCAACCGTGCTCTGCTGCAAGAGCAACGATCTTCAGATCCACCAGATGTGGCAATCATCGACGTACGCAGCAACCGGGAAAGAAGAAGACCAGAAGTACTTCCAAGAATGCCGAACGGCCTATCGGAACTGGTTTTCCGCGTCCAAGACCTTTTGTGCAACGACCAATGTGGCGACCACACAAGAGGGAGCAGCACGAGCAAGGGCGGTGGCAACAACAGCTCCTCACTGCCATCTCTTCCTATTTACACACTTCGTTCACGAGCCTTTGCTTCCCCAGAATCCTCTCATGAGTTCGGAAGTGCGAGTATCGGACTAGCAGGATGGCTGCTCGAATATGCGGCTCTCTTTTCGCTCTTAACTCCGGCCGGCACTTCGCGTGTACCGATTGAGTTGAAGCGCTTATCGTCTTCGTTGTCGCAGCCATGCGAAGCCGCTCAAGATGGCGAACAGGCGTTCAAGGGACCTTCCCCAGGAGAATCAATAGACAGCTACGGTAACAATCTAGGAGAGGAGGACTTGATTCTCTTCCGCAGCAAGCTGATTCTCGCCGCTGTGGCTGCCGAGCCGGAGGACATCGACGTGATGGCATTCAGCATACCCACTTGCTGTCTTTCCGATGCTGCTCGCTGTCTTGGCCTGGTTTCCGATGACGATGGCGATGCTGAGCCAGGGCAAAGGATCGCATCCAAATTAAGGAGGACGTTTCAAAGACGTCTCGAGCTGCATCAACAGCAGAAGCGGGGACAGGGAAAGCGCTCATGGCTGCAAGGGGCGACGATACGTGTCGACCTATCCACGCAAAAATTGCCGCTTGTCGCGCTCTGAAACGATGTGTTCTGCATTTATGGAGGTGCGGTATGCATATGCTTGGAACAGTCTATCTTGCGTGTGTTCTAATCTAGAAGAGCGAGCACGACCGCGGAATGTGTGCAGTCGGGCAGCAAGAACGAGGCGAGAATCCTAGAGATGATATTGCTCTGCAGCTTGCTCTAAGCGGTTGTAGATCAAGCTGCCGCAACGACGATGAAAGCAGAACGAGAAAAGTTGGAAAAGCGCACACTCATTAGTAACAAGAAAGAGGATGAAAGACAAGGAAGGAAAGGACTCACAAGATCAAAGCGCTGCTTGGCGCACTACGCAGACACGTGATTCCGCAGCCGGCATAGAGTCCCTTGACTCCCTTTGTATTGTATATCTTGCGGAATGTGTTCATGAATGATGTCCTCCCTTCCTTCCCAGAAGTGGTGCCACGTGCAGAATGTCCCAATTCCTTCTCGGTCTGCATGGTCGATTTGACGCTATCCGCTGGGAAAAGAACGAGGTTGTAACTGATACCTGCGAGCGCTCCGGCCGTGATGAGCTGCAAGCTGGATAGATCCTTCTTGGCCACTTGCTGCTGCATCTCTTTCCTTTCCCCGACACCTGCTCCTGCTCCACGCGCGGCGCGTATTCCCTCGACCATACGCCTGGTGACGAGCTCGAACGTCAGGAACCACGCAATACCGCCACCTGTCTCGCGCAGCAGCGTGCCGGTCTGGCCGAGCCACAGGCCCCGGACACCCTCGGTTCGTATTGTCGAAGTGAGGATCTCGAGAGGGCCTTGTAGGTTCGTCGGATTTAACCTCTTAATTTGTGCAGGTGCAGCAGTCACAGGGAGAGATGCCGATGCTGCTGCTGCTGATGAGCTTATTGCAGAAGCGGAGATCATCTGCACCTGCATGCGACATTTGATTAGCTCGACGGGCGTGAGGACGAGACTGGTCACAGCGCCCGCGCCCGCCGCTGCGATCGCAAGCTGACTGACGTTCATATCCTCCGGCTTGGCGCTTGCAGCTTTCCCCTCTGTCGCACCAAGGGGAGCCAGGGTGTGCGCCGCGAGTAGACGTAGGATGGCATTGTACGTGAAAAAGAGTGTGGCGTTCTCCGCTACGGCGCCGAGGACGGGCATACTGAGCCCGCGGTAGAGACCGCGGACACCTTCGTTTGCGTACGTCGAGCTGAAGCAGTGTAGTGCGCCACGGTAGTGGGGCGTGCTGCCTGCGCTAGTTGGTGATACTGCTGAGACCAAGGAGGATGTTGAGGATGATGAGGACGCCGCAAGAGGGGGAGAGGTGGAGGATGGTGCAGGGGCAACCTGCTGCGTCTGCAAGCGTACTTTGACCAGATCGAAGGGGTGTTCGAACAGCTTGGCGAACATTCCTGCTATACTGCCGAATGCGACATCGCGCGTGGCTTGCGAAAACTTGCGAGGATGCTCCGAAGATGAATAGGGATTGTGTACCGCCGACTCAGGCTCCAGCGGGGAGTGGATAATGGTGTGCGCATGCTCATGCTGCCAATGGTCCGTGCTGATGGGGTGTGAGCGGTGCGAACTGCATTTTCTCAGGACACACCATGTTTGACTCGCTGGGTATAGCATTGATGATGAGCGGCGAGAAGAGGACGAGGGAGAATTAGAAGACAGGATGTCCAGGCCCATGTCTGTGTCCGTGAACAGCGGATACGCAGGGTCAAGCTGTCGCGCTTTTCCCTTCGAGTCTTTCTTGCTCATGCTACAGTGCTCCTGCATTGTGTTTTGCGGCCTTTGGAGCCATACCGAAGGAGAAAAGTCGGAGGCAAATTGCAAGGTAGACGCGTCACAGGAAGTAGGCATGGCCTTCGCCGGTCGGGTTGACTAGCTCTTCAGACTCGCCGCGGCAAGCACGCTTCTCTCGAGCACCAGCAATGGTGGCCTTACTAGATGTCGACGAAACCGCCCTTCTCATCCTCGAAGATCAGCTGCCATATCCATCGGCATCAGAATGGAGCACCCTATGGAGGCGCAAGGACTTCACAACCCTCGGTAGTATAGTGACAGAGATCAATTCGCTCAGGCCTCATCACAATATCCGTTCCCATGTTTCGAACCAAACCTTTGAGCTCACCTTTTTGTTTTTCGGCCGACATATGAGTTAGGGTTAGCCTGAATCTCGGCTGAGAGACTGGCATGTCATTTTGTTATTCACCAGTAGAACTAGGGTCCAGTTCTTCCTCGAGATCATCATCTTCACACCAAAGTATACCATCCCCCACTCAACCAAGTGCAAATGCTGTAGCCAGTAGCAATCTGTTTGCACCTTGTACCTTGACGGCTCGATACAGAAGGGCACCGACGCTTGCAGGTCGCTTTCCCCTGAGCATCTGCAACCACCGTTCGGCACCTTTGCGAGAGACCTCTGGATTCACAGCGTCCCATCGAACAATAGTTCGTTACCCTTAGCTCAAGGGCCACACCTAATTTCTGGCTATTCCTGGTTTATGAATCGCCTGCCTCGGGCCACGCACTACGCATCTCCACTTCGTAGTACCCTTTTGGCAGGGGTTCCCACCAACGCTGCAATTCCTTTCTTTTTGTTGCTGCAACTCGCTCGGCGACAGATTCATCTCTTCACTCCCTTTCGTCAGAGTCACACGCCGCCTCTAGCCACTTCGACGAGTGCGACTCCAGCTAGATATCTACTGCACGCTCACACTTGCAAAATGTCAACCTCTACTAACGACAAGCAGGCAGCACCGCCTGTCATTAACGGCGAGGCGCCTCAAGCGGCCGCTGCGCCATCGCAGCAGACGGGGTCCGCGGCGGGTCAACCAGCTGCAGCAGGAGCAGCAGCGGACCAAGATGCATCTCAGCAACCTTCCAAAAAGGGGTTGAAGAAAGCAGCTAAAGCTGCCGAGCTCGCTGCCAAAAAAGCGGCCAAGGCCGCGCTCGGAGACGACAAGGCCACTGTTACGTCAGCCAAAAAAGACAAGGCCAAGCCAGCCAAGGAAGCAGCTTCTCCATCTGCCGCCGCTCCTGCCAAGGACGATTGGAAGGACCCGACGGTGCCTGGGCAGAAGAAAGACTTGTCCGCTCCGATGGAGGCGTCGTACAACCCGATCCACGTTGAGTCGAGCTGGTACGAGTGGTGGGAAGCCGCCCACTTCTACGCTCCACGCCCCGTCACCGAATCAGACCCGCATGATCCAGCCAAGACATTCGTGGTGCCTATCCCGCCGCCAAACGTGACAGGGAGTTTACACATCGGGCACGCGCTGACGATCAGCATCCAAGACACGCTGTGCAGGTGGTACCGCATGCAGGGCTACCGTGTGCTCTACAACCCTGGCTACGACCATGCGGGTATCGCCACGCAGGCAGTCGTCGAAAAGCGTCTCGCCAAGCTGGAGAACTTGACGCGTCACGACCTCGGCCGCGAGAAGTTCCTGCAGCGCGTATTTGCGTGGAAGGACGACTATGCCGCGCGCATCGGCAAGCAGCTCCGCCGGCTCGGTGCAAGCTACGACTGGTCACGCGAGGCGTTCACAATGGATGAGCAGCGCAGTAAAGCCGTCGTCGAAGCATTCTGCAGGCTCTATGCCGATGGTGTCATCTACCGCGCTAACAGGCTCGTCAACTGGTGCTGCAAGCTCACCACAACGCTGTCCAACCTCGAAGTCGAACAGCGTCAGCTGGATGGTCGTACGCTGCTGAGCGTGCCTGGCTACGATGCGAAGGAGCGCATAGAGTTTGGCGTCATCGTTAGCTTTGCGTACCACATTGAGGGCAGCGATGAAAAGATCATCGTCGCCACCACTCGTCCTGAGACAATGCTTGGCGATACGGCCGTGGCTGTGCACCCGGACGACACGCGATACAAGCACCTGCATGGCAAGATGCTCGTCCACCCGTTCATCCCAGGCAGGCGTGTGCCCATCGTCACGGACGCCATCGCCGTCGACATGGAGTTCGGTACGGGAGCCGTGAAGATCACGCCCGCGCACGACCCCAACGATTACGAAGTCGGCAAGCGCCACAACCTCGAGTTCATCAATATACTCAACGATGATGGCACGCTCAATGAGAATGCTGGACCTTTCAAGGTGGGTGCCTGTCGAGCCTCTCATGTGTCTGCCTCGTTTCTCAGTTGTTCTCTGTTTTGCTTCGCTCTCCGATACTTTTAACAGGGCATCAAACGTCTTTCAGCACGAAGGGCAGTGATCGAAGCGCTGAAGGAGCGCGGTGACTACGTTGAGACGAAGGACAACCCCATGACGGTGCCCATCTGCTCGCGCTCGGGCGACGTGATCGAGCCGGTGATGAAGCCGCAGTGGTGGGTGAACAGCGGTAAGCTGGCACAAGAGGCGCTTGCGGCGATCAAAGAGCAAGGCATCAAGATTGAGCCGGTGCAGAGCGAGAGGGAATTCTACCACTGGATGGAGAATATTCAGGATTGGTGCATCTCCCGCCAGCTTTGGTGGGGGCATCGCGTGCCGGCGTACTTTGTCAACGTCTTCGATCGCCCCGCTGCTGGCGCAGCCGGGACAGAAGAGAGCGACCCGCGCGAGGATCTGAGCAACTGGGTGATCGCTCGCACAGAGGAAGAGGCGCACGAACAGGCCAAGAAGGTCGCAAACGGCGCCGCGTACCGACTCGAGCAGGACGAGGACGTCCTGGACACCTGGTTCAGCTCGGGTCTTTGGCCTTTCAGCATCCTCAACTGGCCCAACCCGCCTGATGCAGAGGACTTTAACCGCTTCTATCCCAACAGCCTTCTTGAGACCGGCTGGGACATTCTCTTCTTCTGGGTTGCGCGTATGATCATGCTCGGCGTCCACTTGACCGGCAAAGTGCCATTCAAGGAGGTGTTCTGCCACGCGATGGTGCGTGATGCACACGGGCGGAAGATGAGCAAGTCACTCGGCAACGTCATCGACCCGATCGACGTCATCCAGGGTATTCAGCTCGAGGCGCTGCACGAGCAGCTGCGTCAGGGTAACCTGGACGACAAAGAGGTGCAGAAGGCGATCCAAGGTCAAAAGAAGGACTTCCCCAAGGGTATCCCGCAATGCGGCACCGACGCGCTGCGCCTCGCGCTCTGCGCATACACCTCGGCAGGGCGCGATATCAACCTGGACATCCTGCGTGTCGAGGGGTACCGCAAGTTCTGTAACAAGCTCTGGAACGCCACACGCTTTGCACTGCTCAAGCTACAGGACGGCTTCCAGCCTACGTCGTACGGCGCACCGCTGACGGGCAACGAGAGCCTCGTTGAGCGTTGGATCCTCCACAAGCTCGACACAGCGGTCAAGGAAGTCAATGCGAATCTCGCAGCGCGCAACTTTATGAACGCCGTCACCGCCGCATACAGCTTCTGGCTGTACGAGCTGTGTGACGTGTTCATCGAGGCGATCAAGCCCGTCACAGATCCTGCGAGCAAAGACTACAGCGACAAGGCGTGCTCCAGCGCACAGCACACGCTGTACACGTGCCTCGATGAGGGGCTAAAACTTCTCCACCCGTTCATGCCATACGTGACCGAGGAGTTGTGGCACCGCCTACCGAGGAGGCCCGACGAGACGCAGCAGACCATCTCGCTCACTGCGTACCCGGCACCCAACAAGCAGGAGCGCGAGAACGACGAGGCTGAGCGCCAGTTCGAACAGGTCTTTGCGGCTGTCAAGACCGTGCGTGGCCTCGCCACGCAGTATGGCGTAACTTCTGACATTCAAGGTGAGTCATCAGGTGGTCCCAACTTTCTTCATCGTACTCAGAAGGCTAATACACAATCTTTACCCTTTCCCTTGTCTCCACAGTGTTCCTCGAGGCCAAGGACGATGCAACCGCCACGCTGGTGGGTGGGCAAGACTCTGTGATCAGCACGCTCGTCAAGGGCTGCCGATCCGTCAGGGTCGTGCGCTCCGCTGCAGATGTCCCCGCCGGCTGCGCCGTGTCACAAGTGACCACGACGCTGAACGCGCATCTGCTCGTGCGCGGGCTCGTCAACATTGATCAGGAGCTGGCCAAGCTGGACAAAAAGCTAGACATCGTCCAGGCGCAGCTGAGCAAGAACGAGGCGCAGCGCACCCAGGCCGACTGGGGCCGGCGGCCGGAGAACGTGCGCAAGCAAGTCGAGGATGCGTACAAGACCTTGGAGGCCGAGAGGGACGCGATTGTCTCTGCGAAAAAGAACTTTGAGAGCATCAAGGGATGATGCCGCAAGTCCCTGTGTAATGTGTACCCATTAGTATGAAAGCAGCGTCCGACAGTGATGAGAGCTTCGTATTACATATGGGCGTGTTTTGCGAGCCATGTAAGAGCGCCGCGTGCACTGCAGCCGCACGGTCTGCCTTTATTACACTGCCATTTCAAGACTCCACTCAGGCGCTACAAAGTCCATTGTGGCGCTATCTGCCCCTTGCCTTGAGCACTGCGCGCAGTACAACGAGCGTAGGTGAAGAACGAAAGGTGCTGTGCAGCGGTTCGAGGTCCCACCTTGACGAAGCAAAGGCACGATGGGCCAAACATGTAACTGAGCTTCACTCCCCAGGCGCTGATGAGAGCCACGATCCCCTCGCACTTGCCAGGATGACACCAACCTCTGACACAGATGCCGTGCCTGCTGCCTTGCTTATGAGGAGGTCTCGAGCTGGTCCGAGTTGGGATCACAGAATGGCTTTCCATGGCAAATTGTTGGTTATATCCAGCTAATTATCTCCAAACCTGACCAAGGTCAAGCCTTTCTCTATTGAAAACAACGGATTGGCCCGTGCTCTGAAATGTGTCCCGCGTGGCGTTGCTATTATATATATATATAATACTCTGGAGGACGAAAGAGCAAAAGCAAACGATTGGGAAAGCAAAGACGAAAAGATATAGCAAGCAAACCAACAAGCAAAGTGACCATGTCGTACATCTCGCCAGACCTTCACCCCGAGCCAGCGCGGCGCGCTACGGTGCTGCAGCGCGTCAAGTCGGCCACTGTCGAGCCGAGCTTCTTTGCCCTGCTCATCATCATCCTCGGCGTACCCTTTGCAATCCTCGCACAGCTGCGCGGGCTGTTCGGCCTGCTGACGACGCCAGCACGCGTTTTCAACCCGATCGCATGGCTGCACATTGTCCTGTTCGAGCTGCTCAATCCGACCCATTGGCGCGACCTGGCGCTCCAGGCTGCTTTCCCCTCCATCCTCAAAATCAGCGACTCAACCTGGGCGTACGTTAAGAAACCGCTGCTCGAGCAGGCCGACGGAATCGTCCTCGAGGTCGGACCCGGTGATGGCCAGAGTATCAAGTATTACGATTCTAAAAAGGTGAGTTGCAGCAATGGCTCTTCTGCTCACCGCCCATTCAATGCACACGGTATTAAAGGACTCTGACCGCTGATCTGTGTACTCTATACCGTACCTAACTGCAGATCAAGCATCTTTACCTCCTAGAACCCTTTGAGGCACTGCACGCCCCTCTCAAGGCCGCGCTGCACGCCGCATCGTCCGGTGCCGGTGCCGAGAAGGGAGCTAGTAACAAGGGCCATAAAGCATCACCGTCTGAATGTCTGGAGTCCAAAGCAACCATCCTGTCCGCTGGTGTGCAAGACCTCGACATACTGGCTAAAAATGGGATCCGCGAAGAGAGCATCGATACCGTTGTCCTGGTGCAAGTGCTCTGCTCGATCCCTGACCCGAAGGAGCATATCAAAGTCATCTTGAGTTATATCAAACCGGGCGGCAAGCTTATTATGGTAAGTTTTACACCGTGGCCTTGATAGCCCCAAGCTGCGTCTGTTATTGCTTACGGCTCAAATGGAACACCGTGCTGACAAGAGCGCATATATTCACTATTTCCCCCGTCTTTTATCTTATTTTCTTTCCTTTTCCTGGGTCTTGCTTCCTATCACAATTCACTCTCCCCATGCGACGACTATTACCCTGCTCAGTTTGAGCACGTCCGCTCCGCGCACCCACTGACACGCGCCATCCAAGCAGCCTGGACGCCTCTGTGGCGCTTCATGGCCAAAGGCTGCGAGATGACGCGGCCCTCTGGCGCCTGGGTCAGCGAGATTGGTGGTGCGCAATGGGAGCGCCAGTCGCACGAAGGGCCGCTGCTGCGGCCGACGGTCGAGCATGATGGAGAACTCCTCCCACACGATGTCGCTGTCTTTGTCAAGGCGAAAAGGCAATAAACCCGAGCAACAGTAACGGTGCAGCAGCAGTCGCCCTCTCTCAGTAAGAACAGCTCAGCAATCGCAGATGAAATTTGGCCGTGCAATTCGTACCTTGCGGCAAATTATATCACCGTGTCGCGCAATAGGGCAAGCGAGGACGCACCGGCGCAGCCATCCTTTCAATTTTATTACTCTCGCTCGCAATCCGCAGCCCAATAAAACTCAGAATATGCATCTCTTGATTTCTATTGTACCAGGATCAAAGAAGAGCACGAGCAAGGGTTGCATTGCACGCGGTTGTTCTGGATGGAGATGTACAGGGTGTGAAAGAAGCAAAGACAAGTGTGTAGAAGAAACAAAAAGTAAACGTGCACCTCACATCGTGCGTCCATCGCAATACAGATCCAATAGGCCCGCTCGCGCGCAGGGCAAGCGAGACAAGCGATTAGCTAGAAATGAAGGGGGGCCACTTTTCGAGCGCGCCCATCGTATTCAACGCGGTGCCCAGGCAGGCGGGGGTGGCAGGGCCATATCGGAAGCTTGATGCAGCGAACCGGTTCCACTGGCACCGTAGTAGCGCGAATGCGTAGTGTGCGAAAGAGGAGCGTAGAGGCTTCCTGCTCCAGTTCCCGCTCCAGCTGCGCTGCTTGCACCGCTGCCACCGCCGCCATGCGAGGCGTGTTGCGCTCCCCAGCCACCGCCACCACCGCTGCTGGCTGCGCCCCCACCACCTGGCCCGCCTGTACTGCCTGTGTCGTCGTAGGGAACAGACCCGTAGTCCACGTATGCGTAGTGATGTCCTGCTGAGGACGCTGTGCCGTGCGGGTGTTGCGACTGTCCATGACCGGTTCCAGCTGCCTGAGTGGGTCCAGCGACTTGTGTGGGCGTCGCAAAGTTTTGGTATGGCGACGCGCCGACGCTGCTGCTGCCTGCACTCACTCCGCCGGCACCACTACCACTACCGCTGGCACCATGCCCATGTGCGTGCGAATGCTGGTTCTGGTGCTGCTGATGCTGGTATCCGTGCGTATGCGTATTGTGTGAATGAGAGTAGGCATGTGTGTGCGAGTGTGTCGTCGCACCGTACTGTGATCCGTAGTGAGTGGTGTGCTGTACATCGGAAGGCGAGTGATGCGATGTATCGAACGCACTTGAGTTGGTCGTCAAGTTCCCGTGGTTACGGTAGAAACCTCCACTTCCTGACCCGCCACCGACCCCTGCGCTACCGCTTCCACTGCCGTGGTGACTCGCGGCCTGCGTATAGTACTGGTCAGGTGTCGATGCGCCAGCGTGCTGCGACGTGGCATATGAGGAAGGATCAGAGCCTGCGTAGTAACCGCCAGCGCCGGCGCTGGTGGTCGCTGTGCCCGTTGTGCCTCCAAACGTTGAACCTTCATACGGATAGTATGCATTGGAATGCTGGGTTTGCTGTTGTTGTTGTGCATAGTGGTGTCCAGAATGCACACCCGCACTCGTTACACCACCGGGGTCACCAAAGAAGTCGCTGCCACCACCGCTGGTAGCACCACCACTACTACCAGCGGCGCCGTGGTCCGCGCTACCAGCATCAGCTGGCGAATACCCATGTGACGAAAGCGGAGGATGCGGAGGAGGAAGCTGGTGATGCTGAGCTGGACTCAACTGGTGCAGATGGCCGTGCGAGCTGCCGGGTGTCTGGCTCTGTGCCGCAGAGAGCGGGAGAGGCCACAGGCTGGCGCCAGCAGCGCTTCCACCTGCTGCTCCGGTACCGGTGCTGCTACTGCTCTCGGTGTTGTGACTGTACGTCGCAGTCATGGAATCGTGCTGCTGCTTGAACATATGAGGCAGTGGCAAAGCAGGCGCGAGCGTACTGCCGCTTCCATCGTCCATTGTGCCAAGCCCTGCAGCAGTCACGGCAGCTGCAGAGGAAGTGCTGCTGGACGCTTGGCCTTCTGCAGACTTGCGTGGAGTCGCTGACCCTGGCGGTCTGCCGTCTTTCCTCGGCCTCCCTCGACCCCTCTTCGCGGGCGTATTTGGGTCCCTCGTAATGTCCCCATCGGCTCCAGATCCTACCGCTGCAGCAGGCCCAGCTGTAATTGCTTTCCGGGCTGCTTTGGCCTTTTGAGGTAGCGGAAGTACGCTCTTGCCGATGGATGAGTCGACAGCCGATAGGTGAGCATGAGCCGCGAGGAACGGGCTGGGCGCCGCACCCGCTGCTGCTGCTGATGAGCCTTGCTGTGGGTATTGCTGGTGGTGGTGGCGATGCTGTTGTTGCAACTGCGGCGAAAGGACCTGTTGGAGGTAGTTGCTGCTAGATGACGACAGTGACTGCATCCGAGGTGGCGGTGGGTCCAATGTGCCAGCCGGGAACGTTGACGTTAAAAGGTCCGCTCCGGCGCCCGCGGGTATGCCGAGCTTGTTGATGCCTCCTGTCGCGCCTTTCTTGCCGACAGCGTTGTGCAAGGAGCCGTTGCCAGTCAACGATGGCGACGGCGCCAAGGCCGAAGCTGCAGCTCTTCCATCCTGTTTCGAAGTTGCTGTACTCGCACTCGAAGCAGAGGGATTGCCATCCCTCTTGGCAACCGCATCACCGCCCCGCTTCCCACTGGCCTTACTACCACCACTAGCAGCTGCCACCGACGCCTTGCCTGCAGAGCCACCGCCGATCTCGCTTTCGTCGACAGCGTTATCGTTCTCGAGAAAGTTGATCATGGACGCTTCGTTGGACCAGCCACCCCACCAGATCGCGTCGTCGTGCGTCATGACGTTGAGGCCATACCGTGGCGCATTGCGTATCGCGTCGACGAGCCCGCCTTTGCGCAGGCAGACCTGCGTGAAGGCCACCACGTCGGCTGCCGTCGCAGTTGGCGCCAGATCACCACTTATCGCAGTTGATGTGCCAGCGGCCGCCGCCGCTTTACCCCTAATCTTACCCTTCTTAGGTGCTGATTCTGCCGCGGGAACGGGGGCGGGTGGAGGCGGAGGCGCAGCGAGCGCAGGACCCAGCGCGCCAAATCCACCGACGATGCCTGCAAGATTCCCCTGTCCCTGCCCTTGTCCTTGTTCCTGCCCTTGCACCTGGCCCTGGCTCTGAGCAGTGGGTGAAGACGCAGCGGCACTAGCTCTCAGCGCGTCTCTGAACAGCTCGAGCGCTTTGGCGCCGAGCATCTTGCTGGTAGGTGCATAGGCGTTTGACTTGTTGAAGCTCGGGAAGACGAGGTGCTCCGGGCGCAGCGGCTCGCCCTGGTTCAACTGGACGCAGATCTGAGCCCAGCGGTTAAGCGCGGCTGCTGCGTCGAGCGCGGGTTTTTGCGCCTGGTATTGCAGGCGGTAGGACTTAGCGCGACCACGCACGTCCTCGCGCCACGGCAGGCGGATGATGGCGGTTGCGCCGTTACTGCTGTGGTGCAGCGCGAAGCCGTCAGTCCCGTGCGCGCTGAGCTTGTTCACACCAGCTGCATGCGGCGGAAGACCTTCGAAGGAGACATCGCCCCAGCGCAAGTTGAGCAATTCGTCGAGGCGCGTCCAGAGGAGGTATCCAATCGTGATGAACGAGTGCATCATGCAGAGGCTAAGATTGTCCCGGCTGCTCGTGCCGCGCTGTCGCGAAAAAGAGAGTTCATGGCATCAATTACTGTGGCATTTGCTCAGAATAACGTTCGCAATTCTCACAGTCTCGTCAGACTTCTGCCATAAAAAGGGTAAGACCTGGTGAAGGTGCGCATAGAGCAGCGGCTGCGATGCTTGCTTTTGGTTGGCGACGTTGCGTCTTCTGAACAAATCTTCGCGGCTGATGGAGTGATATTTGGCCTTATAGCGCTTGCTGAAGCACGGGTTGCCGGTCTGAAAGCGCTCCTTCTCGTCGCGGATCGAGTCCCACTCCTCGCGCTTGCGGCTGAGGCGGAACTTGAAGAAGGCGACCATGGACGAGTTGGCACGCGAGACGGTGTTGTACGACAGTCCGCGGTCGACGGCATGGTCGAGGTAGAGAAGCATTGCGTCAAGCGTGCGTTCGCTTACGGTGTCGAATGCGTCGGCGAGTGAGGGGTGCGCGAGCGTGAGCCACTTTTTGATCGTGACCATGGTGTCGTCATACTGTTTCAGCGTGCCGACCGAGGGCGAGGAGGTCCAGCGCGATCCGCGTCGGACGCTCTTCCCATCCGACGCGGGCTCGGACGACGAAGACGCCGAGGGGATTGTTGAGCGCCCATCGGCCGTTGCTGCTGTTGCTCTCCCCCGTACTTTCCTGCCTCGCCCTTGCCCTCTACCTCTACCGCGTATGGACGAGCTGGCGCGCTTAGGCGCGTTCTCAGCCTTTGCCCTCCCTTTGCGCTTAACGGCGCTCTTGGCGATATCCTTGGCCTTGCTGGTGGACGCCGATGCGGATGCGCTGGCAGAGGAAGCGGCAGCAATGGGAGTGGTAGCAGTGCCATTCGCACTGTTGCTTCCGCTCCCACTTGCATCCGGGTGCGCACCCATGTTCATGGTGGCGCCCTCGATGCTAGTTGGTTGTTGTGCGGACGCTTCTTTGATGCTGTGACGGGAAGGGCTTGTCATGCAGAAGTTGCAACAGCAGCGCTCGCGGTATGTAGCGCTATTGACTTGCGTGCGCAACGATGGGGACGTGTCCTCTCCGCGTCACGTACGTGTCCAACCAGCGGCAACGCCACGGTTCTACTTGCAGGTGGCGAGAGACACAGCTCGCAGCGTTGACGGAACTTCCTCGCAGGTGCTGCTGGCAGCTCGGTCTAGGATGCCTCCAGGATAGTCGGTGAAGTGTGACAGTTGATGGGTGATGGTCACGAGACGAACCCATGCATGAGACGAGTTTCTCGAATCGATTCCTTTGCCTGCAGCGGCAACCGCATGGTGGCCGCGCGCGCAGAGGACTACATAGGGTGGAAACCCGGGCCGGGAGAACCGTATTTGCCACACTATGAATATAATTTCCTCAGATTGACACCATTCCAACGTGTTTTCACGCAATGACTCCCGGGCCGGTTGAAAACACCCCGATTTGTCTTGTAGTAACTTGCATCAAAGGTGAGAGAGATCCCCGGGACAGCAGCAACACGCGCAAAAGGAGAAAAACCGACCTGAAGGGAACTCTTCACGGCGTTGGAGACCTGGGGACTCTCTCTGCAGGATGAGCAGGGTGGCGGGGATGATATTTCGTATACCCTCACAAGGAATAATGAGCGCATACATGTACATCTACTGCTGCACCTAGTCGAGGTACCCGCCCTTATACATTGGCGCGGGCGCCGCCGACGTCCCTTTACCGCCGCTGCTAGCAGCAGCAGCTGCTGCTCTATTGCGCCTGTCACTTGCATCGTAGCTGAAGGGCCCGAAGCCCGGCTCGCCGCGCTGCTGCACGGTCCCCTGCGCCTCCTGCTGCATGCCATTCCTCTTGTGCGCCTTTTTGTTGCGCTTCCTCTTCCCGGCGCCGCTGCTCTTGTCATCCCCTCCCCCTGCAATGCCAACGTTGCCACCTTTGTCATCGGCAGAACCTTTGCGAGAGCGGCGCGTGTCGATGCGGAACGGCAGCCGTAAGCTCGCTCCTCCATCGTCCCTGACGAATCCACCCGAGATGCGCTCCCTGAGCGACCTGTGCGATATCGGGCTCAAAGACCTCGTAGCGGTGGCCGAAGTACGGGCCTGCTCGCGTTGGCGCTCTCTCTCTACGCGAACCGCTTTGGAGTGCCGTTTTTTGCGATTTCGTTCCGATGATTTGCTTTGCAAGATTCCCGACTCGGTCGCCGCTGCCGCTCCTGCTCCTTCCGCGGTGGACTCGGAATCGGACCCTTGAGACGGCGTGCCTGAGCGCTTGCCTCGGTCCTTTTTCTTCTTGTTCTTTCTCGCCTTCTTGTTAGCGGGCTGACCTGCAAATTCGCTAGCGTGGATCTCTCGCACACTGCCCGAATCTTCATCATCACTGTCGCTGGACAAGGTGATGGCATCATTCCTATCGAAGTCTGCCTGGCGACCATTTGCGAGGATCCTCCCATTATCGCGATCGCCCCGTCGACTGGTGCCTGGGCCATACGGTCCCTCATAGCTGCGCTCGGTGTCAATGTCCCTGCTGCTTCCTTGCATCCTGCGGTTCTCGAACCAATCGCCTGGCCTGCCGCGCCGATTGCCTTGTTGGGCACGAGGCGGTAGGCCCGGCGGTGAGGGCTGACGCCGCCGTGGCTGGTCATGAGAAGACGGCCCTCTGCCATTATGCTGCTGCGCATGTCGATCGCCAGGGTCTCGTCCCTTCCCCTTGCCTGCATTTTTCCTGCTGAAGTACCCGTCCATCAGCGCATCTGGATCGATGACGTTCCCAAAATTGGAATGCGGCCCAGCGCCGAACGTAAAGTCGCGCGATGACAGCCCGCCGACGCTGGTGTCCGGGGGAGGCGGCGGCAAGTCGCGGGCAAATGGCCCCATGTGAGAGACCCATTCGCTGAAAGCGGACGGTTCGCCCGTTGCGCGCATCATCGTCGCGCGCACCTGTGGACAGTCGTCGCCCCAGTGATTTCCCTTCCTTGCACAATTGTAGCACCAGCGTTGCTGCGAAGACACACGCGCGCACACAAGCAAGCCGGATCTCAGTCTCAATGCCTTGGACTCTGCAGCAATCGCGAAAGCAACACAAACTCACTGCAGGATCCCAGTCGCGCCGAGGGCGTGGCAGAGTACGCTCGTAATCTCTTCGATCACCTCCATCGCCTTCGTCCATGTCGCTTCCGCTCACACTACCAGCGCTGTCATCGTGTCTACCACCCTGGTCTTCCTGCAGTCGCCCCTGACGCGCGGCTTCGAGCGCTCGCTCCCGTTCGTGATCATACGTGCTCAGATATCTGTAACGGCGCCAGAGGGTGGGGCACGCCGCTTCGGGGTGATTGGTCGAGTAGCAGCGTGGGCATTCCATCCCTCTTGGACCGCGCGAATTTGGACATGCCTGCAAGCAAAAGTAATGAGGAAATTGTTGAGGGTCGGCGGGATGTCGCTTGGTCGGTATAGAACAGCTGATTGCGACAGCGACTCACCCGCGAAATGTGACCTGTTAAACCACAACGATGACACATGATGGACACCGGACACTCGCGTGTCTGGTGTTCGTCAAATGCCCCGCACGCGACGCACTGATAAGCAATGTCGCTCTATTGTCAGCATGATACAGCAAGAGTTCGAAGGGCATCTCATCTCTGCTCACGAGTATGTGTGGGCAATTCTTCTTAATGTGGCCCTTCTCCATGCATTGTGCACATTGATCCTCGACCTTGGGATCCTCGCCTTCATCATCGCTGTAGTAGCGGGACTGAAAGTCTCTTATGTGTCAGACCATACCATCTCGTGTAGCGTTTCCAGAGTGGACTGAACTCACATCACCGCCTTTGCCGCCTAGCACATCGTAGTGGCCCAGCTCATCATCATCGTCGCCGCGCTGATCGTCGCTGCCTTCGCCTTGCTCACCGTGATCGTCGGTGATCGTAACGTGCTCCGGGAGCAGCAGATCTCCGTGCGTGGAATTTATATTTGCAGCATCAGGATCTTTGGGAGCAGCCCTCTGCGCGCCTGTGCTGGCGTCCATGTCGCCTTCGAGGTCAAAGACAAAGGTGAGGTCGCCATTGTTCAAATCCAAATCGTCCGCAGGATCTTCATCCGAAGGGGCACGAGTTGCCGAGTCATACCGGCGCAGCGCTTTGCGGCGACCTGCTCCGTTGGCCATATTGTCTCGAAGAGCCTGTGGCTGTCGAAGACTGCGATTCGGCAAGCTCGTTCGGTTGTCGAACGGGTCGTCCAGCCCGTCTCGAAGAGCTGCGTTGTCTCCAGCTCCCCAATCGGCCACTGGCGCCGCTAAGAACATGCAACCTAGCCACAAATCTCGGTGCTTTGTGGGTTCCACTCTGTCGCGATTGCCTTGCGAGTTCACACGTCCATTGTCGACTTATACGCGAATGTTAGCACCCAGAAAATCCAGGTGTTAACAAAGCCTGTCATGCCGATGTAGACATGCATACATTCAAGCAACCCATTCGAAAAAATTGGAACTGGCGCGGAACTGCAGATTGTTATGGCGAAGCCTGTTTGGTCGTTAAAAATTTTCAATGTTGTTTCTTGGAAAATTTCCAAGGCATCCTCCAGCACTTTCGATTCATCGGAAATATAAGATCCATTCACCGGAAAGTATCCTGCTTGCACCCAATTTTATCATCTCCTCGAGCATGCTCTTCCATGGCGACATCAAGACGGACAGTTGATCTAGCAACCAATGGAGTGCAGAGAACATGTTATCGGTGCTGCTCATTGTGGCTGGGACTGGCTTGGCAGATCATCGAGCGGCGAGCTAAGGATTTGCGGATGTGATAGATCTTGCAACAGCACAAAAGTGGCAGCAAGCACACACACCCCACTTTGGCTGTGGTTCGTCAATCTTTCATACCGTGCATGACAATGACCAGGGACATGAGATTGCGATGGTAACGGTTCTCTGTCTTCACATTCGATTTTGGATTTGGCTCCCTTTTCTTCGGCTTGATATTGTGGTGCATAGCATTCATTGTGAAGGGTGGTGCTTCGTTGCGAGAATGTGATGCGATGGGAGGGTTAGTGTGGCGGGCCAGGCTCGGCGGAGAGGAGAGAAAAAGCCGGTAGACGGCGGCTGCAATTGAATGTGTCGTTCGAGCGAATAATCCGGAGTGAATGTGTGCGCGTCTCTGTCGGAGGTATCTCGTCCATGCATACGTGTGTGCTTGTACGACGACATGCCCTTTGCATGAGATACCTTCGAGGGAAGCGCAACTCGCAAGTGCACCGTTCCCTTTCATTCATTATCTGTCTGGGAGCTGCTCATTGGTCCGATGGAAAAAGCATTAGAGAGAATGGCTGCTGACATGACTCGATTCGACTTGAACTTGAATCGAACGCGCCACTAGCGCAATGGGCCCTCGGAGCCTTGGGCTCCTCAAGTTCCTGGCGCCTTTCTCCAGCTCGTCTCCGAGTCGGCCTTGCTAATGGCATTGCCGGAGACCGCGCCACTTGCATTAAAAGCACCACCACTACTGGCACCGCCGCTCCCTGGCGAATGGCCGGAGGCGCCGGCAGGCGCATTCGACCGAAGGAGCGAGGTGCCTGAGCCGAGCTGCGCTGAACCGTTGCTGCTCATGCCGCTCGGCGCCTGCGCGCGCCAGCCTGTCGAGGTCGCTCTCCCTGCGACCGAGCCGAGGCTCCCGAGACCGAAACCTGCTCCCGCGGCGGCTGCGCCTGCCGAGCCAGGTGCAGGGAGCTGACTCGACGCTGCACCATTTGCGAACGCGCGCGATGGGCGAGCACCTCCGATTGGCGGGCCTGCAGCAGCGCTTGTTAACCTGCCGCCGAACGGTGAGCTGCTGCGACCTTCGTAAGCGCCTACACCTACACCTGCGCCTGTGCCGCTTCCGCTGCTGCCAGCCACGCTGCCGGTACCAACTACGGAGGTGGCTGCTGTTCTCAGGATGCCTCCGACGAAGCCGCCGCCTCGTGTTGGCGGCGGCAAACCTTCTCTGTGCCGCTGCTGACTGTCGTACGCCGTGCTGGCCGTGTTGTCTGGACTTTCACGGTCCGATTGGCTGTTGCTCCCGCTGTCTGGCTGCTGTTGCTGTTTTTGTTGCTGCTGTTGCTGCTGGCGGTAATGGGGCTGCATTCCAAATGCCCTGCTGCCTAGCGCATACATGCCGTCAGTTGCGGCAAAGCCTCTGCTGGAGCGCGTCGGCTTCTGTGTTAGTGCTTGGCCCCGCGCTTGGACCGGCTGCTGCTGTGTGTGGAGATGGTGGTGATGGTGCGGCTTGACCTTGCGCAACTTTCCGTCCTTGACCTTCTCCTGCGGGTTGCCGCGCATCTTGCTTCCGACGCCCTCCTTGCGCTCGTAGTGCTTCTTCCAGCTCTCGATCTCGAGCATGGGGCATGCGGGGTACCCGACAGCAGTCACGTCCATCTCGGTCGTCTTGAGCCCGTAGCGGCGGCGCTCCTCAGGGTCGAGGAGCCAAGGCGTGTGGACGTAGGCCGGGTGCATGTTGCGCAACGCCGGGATCCAGGTCATGACGTATTCGCCGTACGAATCGTAGTCCTTGGCCTGTTTGATGGTGTTGAACTGGCGCGACGCGCGTGGGTCGTTGCCGACGCCCGAGACGTATTGCCTTGAGAGGCAAAAAGGGAGGTGACATTACATCAGTTGCTGCTGCTGTGAAGGCTCCGCCGTGCCAGCGCCATGTACTCACCAATTGCCGTAGTTGGACGTGGGGTCGTAGTCGATGAGGTGGGACTGGAAGAACTCAGCGCCGATGCGCCAGTCGCAGCCGAGGTCCTTTGTGAGGAAGCTTGCGATGTTCTGCCTGCCGCGGTTGCTCATGAAGCCGCTCTCGCGGAGCTCGATGATGTTGGCGTCGAGGAAGGGGATGCCTGTGCGGCCGTCGAGGAGGCGTGTGACGTCGTGCTCGGGCCCATCCTGCATGGGGTCCCAGCCACGCCACCAGCCGGGCTGGAGTTTCTTCTCGGCCTGTGCCGGGTCGGTAACTAGCTCGAACCCGCCGAGGTGGAAGAGGAGGACGCCGAACTTTTCCGCGACAAAGAAAAAGTAGTCGCGCCAGAGCAGCTCGAAGCGGACCCAATACGTGTTCTGGTCCTCGCCAAACTTGTGCTCGTGATAGTCAAGAGCCTCCCAGATCTGGCGAGGGCTGATAGAGCCGTAGGAGAGGAAGGGGCTCATCTTGGTCGAGTAGGCGTGTCCGACGAGGTTGTTGCGCGTCTGCTTGTAGCGCGCCACTGGAGGTGGGTCGTTACGGTCCCAGCGACTGCTGTCGGCACTCTTGCCGCGAATAAAGTACCACTCGAGGCGCTCCAATGCGGAGCTCTCGCCGCCGCGGAGGGGCAGCGCGCTGGCCGGGTGGCGCTTCTGCAGGATGCTCGGGCCCTCGAGTATCGGCGAGAGGTTGCTGTCGTTGAGCGGGAGGAGGATGTAGCGGAGGATGTCGTAGAAGGAGATATCGCCGTTTTGCTGCGGCGCCTTCTTGGACAACGTTTTGAGCTTCTGCAGGCCGTCGACGTCGACCTCGTACGTGATGTCCAGCTTGTAGTCGCCCGTCTCGGGCAGGTCTGTCGGGAAGGGCTTGAAGCGTGCGGGTGAGTCGAGGGTCGGGCGCGCCATGCGCGCGCCGAGCTGCTCGACGCGCTTGCGAAATGGCGTAAAGACGTCAGGCGTGTCCTTGACGTCGAACGGAAGGTCGACCGGGTGGATGAGCGTCTTGCCATGCACGAAGCGCAAGGGCACGCCGCGCTTGTTGAGTGCGGTGCGGATCTCGTTCTCCACCTGCACCTCGGCGTGAGTGATCTCCTTTTGTATCCAGACGCCCTCGACGAAGTCGCCTTGCGCTTGCAGCGCCGTGACCAAGTTAGCGATGACTTTTTCCGGCTTGCCGAAGCGGATCAGCAGATTGCTGCCGCGTTCGACGAGCCGCGAGCGCAGATCGTATACCGATTCAGCCGTGAACCTTGGGGACGAAACGCACGGTGCAAAAAGCCAGTGTTAGCAACAGTTCCGCGCGAGATACATCCAACCGTGAAAAAATATGCTTGGCTCACCTAGCACGGAAGCCGCTCATCTTCCAGAACCCGTACTCTTTGGTGCGCGCCTCGGGTCCTTCGCGTTTGTAGCCGGGAAAGCCGCTGAGCTCAATCTCGCGCTCGTCAAAAACGTACACGGGCAGCAAGTACTGCGCCTGGCTGTGCAGGCTCGCCTCGTCCGCCCAGCGCGAGAAGGCCTCTGAGTCGCCGCTGGCGCCGGTCGACTGACCGCTGGCAGAACATAACTCGGCGAACCAGGTTTCGCGTGTTGGCGGCGCCGCTGGCCGGTGGGCACTGAAATGCCGTGGTGGAGCAGGGCGAGTCAGTGATCGGCTTTCACCGTGCGCAGTGCTCGCCCTGACTCACTAGTGGAACAGCGCATTATCGTGAATGCGCAAGTCGAGCCGGAGCAAGCAGATGAGGATCGATCTACCACCCTCTTCCTCTGTCCATGTACCTGCGGCCGAGACGGTCGGCCGCGCCGTGCTGGACTGGGCTACTGGCGTCGACATGTCTGAAGTGGACTAGCACTACCGTTCGCGTTCGCTCCCGCGTCAAACCTCGACCCTGGCGCTTCTGCAGGTCTTGCGTTTCGCAGTCGCGGTCGCGTCCACGATTGCGCTTGTATGCTGTCGCGATTGTCGTCGTGCGCACGGAGAATGTACGGGCGGAGGTAGGAATGAACGGACTGGTGCAAGCCTTGCTACGAGAGTGCTGGGTTGAGCGAAAAAGGAAGATGAGGCTTAAATTGAACCTGCGCGTGCGCTAGCTTGAATGTCTGAAGAAAAGGCCCTGACGCTAGAATGGTAGCTTATAGACGGCCCGCTTCCTGCGGTGCGGGGCACAACACGCTGCTTACTTTTGCGAGCGGAGCCGAGCGAATGGTGACGGTGATGGTGGTGATGGTGATGCCCTCGACCGATCAAGTCGATGTTAAGCGGCTCGCAGCTTGCAGCTTCCAGGATAGCCGCGAAGAGCAAGCAAGCCAAACAGCCGACGGGGAAACGTGGGGGCTTTGCGGCTGTGTCCAATCCACCGTTGAAGCAACGGACCGCAGCGCGCTCACTGGGACACACGATCCGATAAGAAGCTGTTGGCAGACTGCCGACGGGTGCGACGACGCTCTCGGCACACGAGACGTGCTTGGGCGTGCTCGTTGCCTTGCTACTGACGGATGGGTGCGCGTAGTGTGCGTGTAGACACGCCGTCGTGGCTCGGGCCGCTCTCTTACTCGGCTCTGCACAGAGAGACGCTAGGGCCAACAGACTGCGCACGCGCTGTGCCTCACAAATAGCTCCTGTTCTGCAATAGCAGCCGGTTGCTGTCGCACCAAGTCGTCCTGGAGGAGATGGCAATGAGAACGCGAATAAAACCAAAGTGGAAAACGAGAGATAGCGCGCTTCCCGCTGGCGTTGTTGGCGTCTCGGAAGAGCCAACAAGTGGTCGAGGAGCTAGAGCCTCGTATCGCACAGTCGAGCTGTCGCAGGCGGGTGGGCTAGCTGACAGTTCGTACCCTGTCTCTCTTCTTTGTCAACGGTTGTTCGTCGACTCGAGCTGGGTCGTGCGTCTGACTATACCGTGCCCGCTGCCAGCAAATGGCGTTCCGGTTGTATATATATATCTCTCTCGATCTCGCGTCCTAAAAAGTCCATGACGATCGGCCAGCGAGCGGAGTTGAATGAACCCTGCCCGCCTGCTTGCCGTTTTAGTCTTGTGGTAGCGGGTGCTCCGAAGTAGGGTTGCTGTCATCAATTGGAAAGTCGCCGACCTTCCTCGGGGTTTTTTTCTCTGCAAGTCATCATCAGCAAGCAGACTTGCTTTGAGCAGCGGTGTGTGTTGTCAATTGCCGGGTGGCGTGGCGGTGCATGGATTTAAACTGGCATCTATTCCAGAGTGCCCGTGTGAAACCCCCAGGCGGACTCACTCCTGTCTAGCCTTGCATCCCCGTCTCTACCGGCAACCCTAAGCCTTTGGCCTAGTCCCTCCTTGCCTGAAAGTCTCGCTCAAGCGCCATCTAGTCTACATTCGTCCTCCAGAGCTCTAATCGCCCAGTTGCGAGTCTATTTCACCCCTCAGCGCGGCTACGCTTCCTATCACCTCCGGCGGAACGAACCATCAAATGCGATCTGCCGTTGTTGGGCTTTTGGATGCTTGTTCAGGGCTCTTGCCCATCGCTCATCATCGCTTCCCCCCACCTACCTGACACTCTCCGTCGCGTTCATGTACTTCATGCTCCGTCACATGTTGTCACACATCCAGAGCTTCAGCAACAACCATATCACAGATGTTGCAGCCCACTCCCCTCTGTTCCCACCGATGGTGCCCACGAGCCTGCGTCATCGCTGCTTGCTACAGGCGTGCCCTGCACATTCGATTCCGGTCGTCCTTGCTATTTGATATGTCGATATATGCATGCATGTATCTGGATTCTCACTGAACTTCCCCACGGAGATATACAGGTACGACTCTGCTGAGCTGCTCGGGCTGGCCCATGGCCCCCAGGGCGGCACTGTGGATGCACATGTCCATGTGTACGTGCAGCAAAAGCATGCGCCTACATACATATGGCAGACATGCTGGTGATACTGCCTCACGGGAGCCTGGCGATGCTCCCTTTCCTGTCTTCCTTCGCTGGCGGTGGGGTACCTATACTACATGTATGAGGAGAACAAAACACCTGTCGCTGCCATACCCGCAGCACTTGGCAGGATCGTGCCAAGACGTCGGTTGGTCAAGGGAAGCTGGTGCATCGTGTTCCATACAAACCGATTGACTGACTGGTCGCCTCGTGGTCGTGGCCTTGCCAGCCGCAGGCTGGACGATAACACACTGCGCTGCAAGCTGTCAAAGGTCCAGGGCAGCATCTTTGCGTCCGCTACTGCCTTCCGACTATGCCTGTGCCTGCCTGCTGCCTTTTCCAGCCTGTTGATAGGACCTGTCAACTACAGTAGGGTTACACGATGCAACTCCAAAGCGAGGAACAACGATACGTGGATGGTCAGCCGAAGCGCTCCAGAAGGGCACAGCAAAGCAGCAGCGGAAAGCCATTGGGAGGGAGTTGAGCCGAAGGCTGGACCTGGGTCGCTGCCACCCTGCCTGTTGCAGGCGAGGAAGGGTGGGGGTGGGCTGAAAGGAGAAACACGCCGAAGCCCGAGGGTGAGGGCGAGTAAGCGCATCAGCCGGGCCAGCGCGTTGCGAGCTTAGCCGGTGCAGCGCTAGCGCAGGTGGAGGGGGGTTGCCGGTTAGATACCGGGTGGGCGCCCCCCCCCACCCAAAGGCCACCAACTAGGGGCGGGAGGCAGCAGAGCAGTGTGCGTGTGCGTGTGCGTGGGTTGGCGTGAATGTTCCCATTCCCATTCGAGCCGGCGTCGCTGGTCACTCCGTCCATCCCAGACATCCTCTTTTACTTCTTGCTGCCCCCCTCCCTTGCACCCATTGCTCTCGTTCGCCTCTCCACCGCTTCGCCACAGGACACCTTTGCACTTCTCGCCGGATACCCTGCCACCCTGCCACCCTGCCACCTAGACGCATCCAACCCCCACACCCTGCAACGCACACGACCACCATGGCTTCCCCGCAGCGCATCAAGACCGACCTGACCGAGCTATTCGGCATCAACCACCCCATCATGCTCGCCGGGATGAACGTCGCAGCTGGCCCCGAACTCGCCGCAGCCGTCACCAATGCAGGCGGCATCGGCGTCATCGGCGGAGTCGGATACACGCCCAAGTTCCTCAAGGAGCAGATCGATGAACTCAAGGCCGGCCTCAAGGACAAGAACGGCGCATTCGGCGTCGACCTCCTTCTCCCCCAGGTCGGCGGCAATGCGCGAAAGACCAACTACGACTACACGGGTACGCTCTAGATCCAGGGCCCGGCCATTCCTCTTCTTTTCCTGCCGCTGATTCCTTTGTTTCTCTCTGTCTGTCGGCCAGGCGGCCACCTGATGGAGCTGGTGGACATCATCATCGCGTCCAAGGCCAAGCTGTTCGTCGCGGCAGTGGGCGTGCCGCCAAAGGAGGTGGTGCAAAAGTTCCACAAGTCGGGCGTCATCGTGTCCAACATCATTGGACACCCCAAGCACGCCGCCAAGGCCATCGAGGCCGGCTGCGACATGATCATCGTCCAGGGCGGCGAGGCCGGTGGGCACACCGGCGACGTTCCCTTCAGTATCATCGTCCCGCGCGTAGTGGACATTGTCCGCCGTGGCGGTCACAAGTCGCCGCTGACTGGAAAGCCAATCACCATCGTCGCCGCCGGCGGTGTCTGGAACGGGCGCTCGCTCGCCGCGGCACTCAGCTACGGCGCCAGCGGCGTCTGGGTGGGCACGCGCTTCGTCGCGTCGACCGAGAGCGGCGCACCGCGCGGGCACAAACAAGCCGTCCTCACCTCCACCCACGAGACGGACATCCGCACGATCATCTTCAGCGGCCGCCCGCTGCGCATGCGCAACACGCCGTACATCCAGGCGTGGGAGGACAGGCCGGACGAGATCAAGCGCCTGACGAGCCAGGGCATCATCCCCGCTGTGCACGACCTCGAGAACGACAAGGATGGTAGCGTCGAGGAGCAGACGCGCGAACGCTACCTCATGGGTAAGGTCGCTGCCGTCATCGAGGATATCAAGCCCGCCAAGGAGATCATCGACGACTTTATCTCAGAAGCAGAGCACGCCATCCGCGCCTCCCAGTCGCTCCTCGTCGCTGGTCCGCATGCGAAGCTCTGAGTGCACCACGCCGCGCGCCCGCACGCGCACCACCTTGGCGTCCCGAAATAAAAATAAAATAAAAGGACTCGGCGCGGAGCGCGCACCAGCATCTATTTCATAGCACCCGCGAACGTGCCGACGGACGTCGGGCGGGCCTGCCTGCACCATGTAAGCACGTAGCATCCATCGATCCCTATGCCACACGAGATGACGTGCGCCTCCGACGCCGTGGCCGCTGAGAGGCGAGAGCTGGAAGTTGCGTGCCAGCGCCAGTACCCCGGCGGGCAGGTGCACAGTGGAATACTAGCATGGCATGGCACCGCACGGCATGGCGGGCGTGTGCGGTATGTACAGATGCGATGTGACTGCTGCCAGGCTGCGGACGAGGGTTTGAAAGAGTAAAAAAGGGGGGTGATGCGATGCGATGCGATAATATGCGATACGATGCGACGGCACGATAAAAGTGCTTCTGCCAATGCTGCTGCGTGTACAAAGATACCGTGCTGAGGAATGTATGTCGTGTATGTGCGTGTGCAAGTGTGCGCTCCCTTTCCCCTCCCCCCACGCGCGCAAGGCGCCAAAACGCGTTGCGCACTGCGTGTGTCGCAAGTTGAAAGTCGCCTTGCTCGATTTAGCAGTTTGATGCGAACCGGGTCCAGTCGATGCTGCGACGCGCGATGGACGTCCGCACCGCCGACCCCTCCTGCCTTGCTTCCCCTTTCCCGTTCGAGTTCTGGTCGTGCACGCGCAGCTCCATGTCCATTTGCTCAGCGGCGGCCTCCAAAACGTCCGTATCCCTGTTTCCGCGCGCCACCGTCTGTCCTGTTTGTGCAGACACGTCCTGCACTCTGCCGCCGCCGCCAGCGACCTCGAACAATGGCATGACGCACGGCCGGCCGTGCGCGCATTGGAACGGGAAGCGCGCCGTGCTGAGCTGCTGCACGAGCCTGCTGCACTGACTGTGCGTTAGGCTGTCGTTGAACACTGAGGAGGGTGCGAACACGGGTTTTTTTTCAGTCAGTCAGTCAGTCACCGCCCAACGATAATGAGAAGGAGGGCGAGAGGAAACGAGACGCACTGATCGCCCCGCGGCATGCTTTGCTCTCGATCAGACCCCGCAAAGTCGGAGGCAGGTAGCGCAACAGAGAGAGCCAACATGACGCATCTGCTGACTCTTCCTCACCCCCGCATGCGTCTCGTTCAGCCGGGCCTGACAGCCCCTCTGTCTGCATGTACTGCTCGCGCTCGTACTGCCGCTGTTGGCGCATCCACCGCACTGTCGCGCGTGCATCCTGTGAGTCCATCTGCAGTACCTCGCGGAAGACAGCAGCTGCGACGTTCGCATCGCCAGCGAGCCGATCACGCACCACGCTCGGTATCGCTGTGATGGTGCTGCGCAAAAGTGCGCGCGACTGCTGCGAGCGAGACGGTACCGGCGACAGCATCAGCTCCTCCTGTTCTTGTGCTGACGCCATATCCTCCGCTGCGATCGTCCACGAAAACCCCCAGAACGCGAGCATTTCACCTGCGATGCCCATTCCGTCGTCCTGTAATAGCGCAGCGAGCTCCACATGCCTCAGCACAAGCGGGAGCGGCTTCTTGATTGCAGCCGCTCGGCTCTCGCCTGTACGGCACGCTTCAAAGTACTGCGAGAAGAATTGCTCGACGCGGATGCGCTCTGTGCACAGCAGTGCCAAGCGATAATTATGTTGTATACACACGCAGGTCAGCGTGTGGGTCCTCCGTGCATAGCATAGGGCCTTTCTGCTCCCTCTGCTTACTCACCGTCTGCAGCGTGTTGGTCGATGCAGATCACAATGCGACCCTGGAAGCCGCTGGCACGCTGATACAACAAAGAGCATATGACAAACTTGCGATCGACTTGCGCAATCACCCTCGCGCTCTTCAAGTCCGCAGATGAGAACGGCAATTTGGTGGTAGAACGATGCGTTGATCCGTATCTATTATCCGCCGCCGGCAGCTTACCGCCCGGAAGTGGCACGAGGCCTTGTGCGCCACTGCACCGATGCTTCATTGCATGGTCATCATCGTCTTCGAGCTGGAAAAAGCGACTAAGGAGCTGGACGCCAGGCACAACAGCTGCGTTCTCTCTGCGTGTATCCCAGCCACGCTTGGAAGGCGATGCACAGTTCGTGTTCTGTGAGAGGTTGGCTATCAAGCTCTCTCTTTCTTCATCCTCATCTGCTTCTTCCACCTTGTCTTCACCCTTGCCAGTGCCTCGGTGACGTGCCGGCACATGGTCACTTCCAAAGACCGGATTCCGCCACTTGCTCAGTGTGGCTTCAAGCCATGTAGGTGTTCCATCAGACCTACTAGACTGGCCGGCTGCGGTTCGCCTCGACAGAAGGATCGACCTGGTCTTGGCGAGCTCTTGTTGATCGTGCGTCGCGGACCTGGCCCTTACAACAGACTCTGGCGTGTGCTGCAGAAAATCCTGTTTTACGCTGTTGCCCGTCCGGCGGTCGACTAGATACCAGCGATGTGAGACGGGGTCTTTCCATCGAATGAGACCCTCGTTTCCTTCTACGGTGTCCTCTGCTGACGGTAGCGCGAGTCCTTCAATGCGCTGCTCCCCTTCCGTACCCTGGAAATGCGCTAGCGATGCCGGACCGCATTCATCCTCGCCAGGAGAATCCCCGGCGGCGGCCTTAAGGACGACATCGCCGAGCTTTCGCCGCTTGCGCCGCTTCCTGTGGGTATCTAGGGGACGGACGGCTCTGTCACCAATAACCAATGGCGGTGTCGGTTGCAAGCCTTCAGCTGTCCTATCCTTGTCTGCTCGATTGGCTCTGTCTTCCGAGACCAAAGCAGCGTTCGATTTCGATTCGCGCAGGTTGATGCCCATGCTTCTCCGAAGGTGTGCTGCAAGCTGGTCGATGATGAAGTTCTGGTTGATTCGGGTTGGCCCAGCATTGGGCATCGAAATGTCAAGGACGATGACAAGAGGAAGCCGCTTGCCGGCAGCTGAGCTTTCTGGGAATCTGTTGCGCCGCTTGCTCAGTTGGTATTCGCCGGCTACTGTGGTCGAAGTTGGTAGAAGCCCTGTGGTCGAGAGAAGGTGAGCAACAGACGAGCGCATTAAATCGTGGAGACCAGTAGAGTGGCCTGATGGTGAAACGGTGCTTCTTGATCGCCGTACAGACGGGTCGTATGCCTCCACAAAAGCCTTTTGCGCCAGCCATTCTTCAAGTGTAATGCCTTCGGGGAAGGGCCGCCCGTTGATAAAAAGCAAGGTTCTGGGCTTGGTCACATTGGCGTCTACTGCGACAAATCCTTTGATCAGGTCTGCAGGAGACGAAGCCCCCATATCGAACACGGTCGCATCATGACTGAGCCGAAGCTGATATAAATCTGAGAATCTCTGATAGACCGACAGAGCCTTTTCGATTCTGAGAAGCCGTTTCCGGGCCAGGCGACCGTCCAGTGCGAAAGTCGAGCCATCCTCTTCGAAGACATCAATGGTAGCATTGAGCATAGGAAGCGAGTGTTGACAGATTGCTTGCTTAATTTCTTCTAGCCACGCTCTTTGCCCGAGCTTTGTGTCCCAGCCTGTACGGTGGGCAGCTGCCATCTGCCGGCGCACAGGGAGGCCTTGAAAGAAATCTCGGACAACAACCCGGGTTGTGAAGCCGGTCTTTACGCCACTTCCACGACCAGTGAGAATACTCGAATTCATTTGAGGAGTTTGCAGCATGTTGTCAGAGACTGCCATGGCACCCCTGCACGGGACTGAAAGCAACTGAGCATCTTGCCCGGATCGCATTGTCAAGATTGTAGATTGAGTTTCACTTGGTGTAGGTGATCGGCTCCAGATTTCGACTGCACCCAGTGCTGCAGCAGAACAAAGGGTGCCTTGACGTTGCAGAAGCAGCTGATTCAAAGCGCGTTGATCAATGTGTCTTTCCCCATGATCACTCTTCATACCATCGGCAAGGCGCAAAGATTCCAATGTTGCGTGCTGTAGTCCTTTGCCATTGTCTTCGCACTCCACTCTCCATTCAGCTAAATTGATGACGACCCTAACACGATCTGCACCACCTTCCCATACCGCATTGCTGAGCAGGCGTACACTCAGGTCGGAGAGGCTTGTGATGCGAAGACTTGCACTGATGAGTCTACTTGTACGGTCATCGAGCCGCTCGATGGCGGTGATTCCACTATGGCCGCCTCCGGGCATGCTGCAGTGCTCTTTGCCCAGTAGGCCATGGCGACATGCCCCTTTAGACCCATATCACCGTGTCAAGCACCTTTTCATCATCCTGATCGTTGGGACGGTGAGGATGCCCACGGAAATATCATTCCTGCAGTGAATGCTGATCGCAGTAGCTGCAACGTACGAATGGAGTGGCGAAAAGTTGTTGACGTCAATCGTCGTCATGGTTACCAGTTCCGAATGATGATCGACGGGGCAAAACCCAAGGTCCTTGTTGCGTTTAATCGATTCAACTCGCATCATTACACTCAAGTCGACCACTGTTCACTCGACCGTCTTTACCGGGGAGATTAAATGCAACTGGATTGCGGCAGTGCTGCAGGGTATGGTACCCAATTCACATGGCCGGGCTTTTAAGCGACCGCTCTGACATTGTGACATGAGTCTGCCCTGGCCGGTCGGGACGGAGCGACATGGTGCGCAAGCTACCATCTGCCAGCGCAATTGCTGAACAGCAAGAGCAAGGTACATTCACAAAACCTGCCCTACTGCCATCAGGAAAGATACTGACGGCGTTTTCATCTTCCGCGCTTGCAGAAATAGAAGTGCTGCACTCAATCCTGGACACAGATTTTGTCAAAGTCCCTCCGAGAAGTGTTTGGAAGAATGCCCCCGCAAGATTGTCTGAGTTCGAGATTACGCTTCGACCCGAGGATGACAGCCTCAAGGCGCAAGTCTCTGCTCTCATGGTGGTTAAGCTGCCCAAGACGTATCCATATGTGCATCCCATCATTTCAATTCAGCAGACTCCAGATGACAAGCGCACGAAAGGAGTTAGCTCGACCGAGCTGCGCAAGTTGGATGCTCATATCCAGCACACATGCTCCGAGCTGCCACTGGGGACCGAAATGATCTGGGAGGTTGTCAGTCAGGCGCAAGAATACATCAGCAATCACCATGGCATTGGGGAGCTAGAAAAGTCCATGCTGAACATCAGTCTAGGTGACCAGATGCGCCTCCGAGCGCAGGAAGCTGAGCAGGCCAGATTAGCAGCTCAAGAGGCGGCCCGACAGGTCCAGTCCAAGGAGGAACAGGAGAGGGCGAAAGCCCTGGCAGATGCAATCCGTCTCGAAGAAGAAAGGAAGGCCGAAGAGATGGAGCGGGTAAAAGAGAGACAGGGCACGCATTTGAGTTCCGTAACACCCGGAACGCCTGCCGTGTTTCGGACGCAAGAGACAACCCCTGGAAACTCGGTCCTGTCTACCGGCACAAGGGTTGAACGCTTCCTCGATGCGATTGCGACAGAGAGTGATCCGATCCATCTCATCCGCGTAGGGCCAATTGTCGCTATCGAGGCTCTGAGAACGCTGTACCTTGCCGACTCTGCACAACCACGAACAGATGCGAAAGCCCCTGTTTCCTGGACGCTACTTCAATACGATATCTGTTCACCACACTACTCCACGCTGACCGGAAAGAAGCAACTCGAAGAGCTGGAATGGGAGCTGGAGCGCTTACGAAGCGTGCGAAGCGAACATCTTCTGAATGTTTTGGCTACATCGCTCACTCGCGGGTCAGAAGATGCCGACGAGAGTCTTCAAGGCTGGAAGCTGCTGATCCTCACAGAGCAACCAGGTGGACCAAGTCTCCGTGAAGTGCTCGAGCAGTGCGACACTTTACCGTGGTCAAAAGTTAGAGATTACACTCGTGCGCTACTATCTGGCCTTCAACTCCTGCACACCAATTCTCTGGTCCACCGCGCTCTCTCTCCGGACGTCATATTCCTTACCAGGAGACGTTCGAGGCCCTCAGTGCATGAAACTTCACTGTTGAAGATCGCCGATGCCAGCTATCAAAAGCGATTAGAAGACATGCACAGCCAAGCGCCCTTCCATTCACCGCCCACGACCGAGCTTCCAGGCAATGTACCGAATCCCTGGTAAGCCCTGCTCTTTATTGTGATGGGACGCATTTTCGGAATGATTGACTCCGCTGTCTTTCAGGCGCCCTCCCGAAACATTGTCCGGCGCACCCTACTCTCGCAGTCAGGACACTTGGGACCTGGGACGCTTGCTGTGTCAAATGCTTTTTGGCCTTGACTGCACCCAGCATGCTGATTCGCCCGCATCTCTCCTGGATGATTACAGAGATGGAAAAGGTACAGAAGTGGCAACAGACGTGAGACACTTTGTTCGCAGCCTGATGAACCCAAACCCGCGCAAGAGACCGACAGCCAAGGCAGCTCTGGCAACGCTGGAAGAACTTATCAAGTTTGAAGACACGAATCAAATGGGCTCATCAACTCTCGCAGGCTCAAAGCATCTGATTCATGCGCTGCGTAAACCTTCGCCACTGAACCCTTCAATGCAGCTCCTGGGGACCTCACCAGATGCGCAATTTAACAGACTTGCAGCATTCTGGCAAGCGGATCGTATGCCCACGGTTGAGCCAAGTGCAAGGTTCTCGAGATATGTCAGCGACTTTGAAGAGATAGAGTTCTTGGGAAAAGGTGCTTTTGGATCGGTCGTCAAAGCAAGGAACAAGCTTGATGGTGTGAGTTTGGACCTGTAAGAAATGCTCTGAGTGCCAAAGTTGAACCTGATAAATTATGATCGCAGCGCTTCTACGCAATCAAGAAAATTCGCCTCAGCGACTCGGCTGAGAATGATGAACGAACGCTACGGGAAGTCACCGCGCTGTCGCGTCTCAATCACGCGCACATTGTGCGCTACGTTACATGCTGGATCGAACAAGAAGTCCTTTCCGATGGCCACACGACGGAGAGTAGTACTAGCGGGGCTCCGCTTTACCGCCCACGACAGAGCGTTACTGGCAGTGATGAGAGAGAGGCAGCTGCAGATAACTTTAGCTTTCGTCTCAACTTTGAAGCAGACCTCGATGCCGACTTTCTCTCCGTCGGCCACGATGCTTTGTCGAAGAATGCGTCTTACCAGGATATCAAATTTGGTGGCGACGATTCTGATGAAGAGAGCAGCTCCGATGACAGTGGGGGTAGCTCAGCGCATGTCGTTTCCAGCGCAAAGCCTTCCACAAATGGCATGAAGGATATATGGAGTCGCCCAGGCATCACTTCGGAAAGCGGCGAAGCTCATCTCGCTACGCGGCGAACACTCTTCATCCAAATGGAGTACATCAGCGGATCCACCTTGCGAGACGTCATTGACAAAGGGCTTTCTGTGGAGGAATCATGGCGAATCTTTCGTCAAATGTTGGAGGCCTTGTCACACATCAACTATTCCATGGGCGTCATTCATCGTGATTTGAAGCCAAGCAACGTGATGATGTCGGGGGACGCTGAGGTCAAGATTGGGGACTTCGGTCTTGCCACGACAGATGTTACCAGAGCACTCGAGGACTCAACGGACGGCGAAAATATGGTGCAGTCGACTGGGGACCTCACGAGCGATGTTGGAACCAATCTTTACATTGCTCCTGAAGTGATCAAGAAGGTCGGAAGGTATGACGCCAAGGTCGACATGTACTCGCTCGGTGTAATCTTCTTCGAGATGCTTGCGTCCCAGAGAGCGTATACGACCGGCATGGAGCGAGTAGCAGTTCTGCGTGAACTACGCACGGAGGAGATCACGCTGCCATCTGCTTGGCCGTTTGATGACCAGGCTCCGCAGACCAAGATTGTTCGATGGCTTCTCAATCATCGAGCGGAAGCAAGACCGTCTCCGATGGAGCTCCTCAAGAGCGACCTGCTTCCCCTTAAGCTCGAGGATGAATACATTGACGAATGCCTACGCTTGATGACCAACACGTCGTCAACGTACCATGATCGCCTTCTGGGAGCTCTCTTTGGCAGATCTGATGTGGACGACGTCCGTGACTTCACATTCGACATGGGGGCCGAATTGGACGCAGACACATCGCTCACTGCTGTTATCTGCGATCACATGCGCGTCATCTTTCAACGGCATGGCGCTGTGCAGTCGCGCATTCCACCTTTGGTGCCACCGAATGAGCTTTATGTCGCCCAAGCAGAGGATCGCAAGCTCGTTCGCATGCTTGACCGCTCTGGCCTGCTTGTCTATCTCCCATTCGATGGACTGCTCCCATTTGCGCGTGCTTTCAAGGATACCCAGACCAAGCGATTCAAGCGCTACGACATCTCAACGGTATATCGCGACAATCCGATTGCTGGTGGACAGCCTCGCTCGGTGATGGAAGTCAACTTCGATGTTATCACTCCGGAGCGAACACCGGCACAGGAGGCAGAAGTTTTTAAAGTCCTGCAGGAGCTCATTGAGGAGGTCCCTGGACTCAAGCATGACTGGGTCATTCAGCTCAACCATCGAGCAGTTCTTGATCTGATTCTGGAGCGCGTTCCAAAGCAGCGTCACGCTGCCGTAGGGTCTACCTTTGCGGCCACTCTGTCGATCAAGCAGACACCTACAATCACGCAGAACCTTCACAACAAACTATTGGACCTACAATTGACGCGCTCGGTCATCGAAGAGCTGAATGCCGCCAACCTATCAGGTAAGCTTTCCCTTTAAGTCCATCTTGCTTACATACATGCACTCAATGACCGCTGACGATGCTCTGAAATAATCAAGGTTCCGTCAGCGATGTTCAACCCCGACTTGAGCGGCTCCTACCCAGCGAGCACAAGAAATTGCTCAGAGCTGCAGTGGACGAGCTCGCATCGATCATCAGCGCAGCGCGCTCTCTCGGCGTGCACCTGCCGATCCTTTTTACGCCATTGCTAGCTCAGAACGCATCTTACTTCAAAGGCGGTGTGATATTTCAGCTCGTCCGAGTGGGCAAGAAGCGGCTGGATGTGCTCGCAGCTGGGGGCCGCTATGACTATCTACTCAAGCGCTTTGCAAACCCCGGCGCGTCTTCTAGCTCTCCACCTCCCCACGGTGTCGGCGTGCAGATTGCAGTGGGGAAGGTCGCTCTCGCCCTGTCTCGATATCAGGAGCTGCAAGTCCCGCATTTGATGAGCAAGGCAGCTGAAGAAGAACGTTCTCTAGGATGGTGGACACCACGGCGATGCGATGTCTACGTCGTAGGCGGCCAGGCAGGCGCTCTGGAGGCGGTCATGGATGTCTGTCGCGAGCTGTGGTCCTTTGGGATCTGTGCAGACTTCGAGAGTGGCACGCTAGATGTACCACCCGAGCGTCTAGCAGCGGCATGCAAAGCAGAAGGTATCCTTCTCGTGGTCACAGTGCGAGCACGACATACGACGCTGAAGGTCAGAAATGTCCTGCATCGCCAGGACGTCGAAGTGGACCGCGAAGAGCTGGTGTCTTGGCTACAAGAGCACCTTATGAGGCAGAGGATGGTCGACCAGCAGCAGCTCGGCAATCAGCAGCTGCTCCACCTCCCGGCCGGCCATTCAACAGGTGGTGGACCCGGTGCATTACACGTCACCAGTCCTCTGCCGACGTCTTCCGCCGGAGGGTTCGGATCCTACCAGAGCAGCCCCTACTTTTCATCACGTGGAGCCTCTGCGGCCGAGAACAGCATCATATGCCAAGTGGTCATGCCCTCGCTGAAGTACCCTGGCGTCGACAAGTATGGGCGTGGGAACAAGGATCGAAGGCAGTCCAAGAGCTCCAAGCAAGCGATCATCGACAAGGCGACGCGAGATGCGCAGCGGATCGGCGATGATGTGCTACGTGGCCGCATGCCGATCATCGCGATTGACATGGGCAGCGCAGAGATGCAGCGCTTCGCTGGAGCGCTATCACTGGACGCCAACAGCAGCGGGGGCGGCGGTGCGGGTGGAAGCGCCAGCGGACAGCTCGCTGGGGCCGCTGCAGCAGGAGGAGGAGGGACAGGCGATGCGATGCGCGCACACTTGGACACCCTACAGAGCACGGCGGACAGAGACTATGCCAAGTTGGTCAAAAATCAGATCTTTGCCACGCTCTCGCAAGGGGCGACTAGCAACGCGGCTGGCAGTGCTCGCGTGATATTGTACTCGGTGCGGGATGAGCGCAGCGTGATCGTGCAGCTGTGAAGGGAGAGACAAGTCAGGGCAATAGGGAGGGTCTGTACAATTGCTCAAAGTATCTTGTGCAAAATTGCCGCATTTATGCGGGACTTCGATAGGCGCGATGCCAGCCAGATGCATACGTGCTAGTCAAGACTTGGTGCTGTCATGCTACATGTCGTGCTCGAGTAGCTATTGGCTGCCACTTCATTCCGACTTTGCTTTCTTGCCCTAGAGAAACAACAAACCAATGGAACACATGAGAGTCAGCTCCTGGCCAGGCGGAGATGTGTAGAACGAATGCACACTCACATGTGCCATGTTCCAGAATCCGCCAAAAGTGCCGTACATGCCAACGGTGAAGATGGTCATGTAGATTCCTGTACGCAGATGCGTTAGAAGAGAGGGTCAGCACGAATAGAGGGGGATAGCTGCGGAACAAGCAGTATTGCCGCCTCCCTTCTTGCCCTTATTCCCGCTCTTCAACCTCCCAGTATTTGATTGCAACTGCCGTAGCACATATTCCTGCCCCTCGAAAGCGCATGGTGCGCTGACTGCATCGCGACAGCCACTCTTCGATTTCCAGCTTTCGGCTCCAAATGATCTATTGGAAGTGCAGATGGTCGACCGATAAGGCCCTATTCCGGTAGCGGGGCCCATCCATTCGCATTGCTCGATCCCGCTTAAGGCCGTACATGGACTGCGGGAGTGGACGCGTACGCACCCATATAAAGCTTGCTCCTCGGGAGGCGTTGGAAGACGGGCCTTGGGTCGGCCTGGTAGGCCCGCTGGCGCGCTGGCACTGTGTTTCTGATTGACGCAAGGCCCGCGTTCGATCGACAATTGATCAAGCAAAAACGCAACCAAAGAGGTCACAGATTGCGGCAAGAGTGCGCGAAGATATAGGTTCGAGTAGCCAGGTCAGCATGCCATGCCACGTTCACGTTCACTCGTCCCGGCTCGGAATAGGTGTCTCCGCGCAAAGTAGGAAAGGCAAAACTCACCGGCGGTTCACGAGTGCGTCCATGGCTGCTGCTGATGCTACTGCTATTGCTACTGCCTGAGGGGTCCGTAACTTGCTGCCTGTCCGACGCACTTCCTTCGTTCGATCGGTTGACGATCAGATGAATCAACCTAAGGCGAGCTGGTTGGCGCAAAGGAGAGAGATGCAGGGAGAGGAAGCCTGGTTTCATTAGTGCGTGGATTTACGGGATAAGCTGTCTGTAAGTCCCGCCATTTGATATCTGCGCGCCGCGACTGGCTACCCGACACCCGCCGGCCAGCACAGCGTCAGTGAAGTCTCTGCTTGGCACTGGCGAAGAAGACCACACGCAACGCTGTCGACTTTCGCCACGTTGTGCAGAGGTATTCTCCTTCACCTCACTTCCCCTCCATCCCGCTTCCATCTGAAGGTTAGAGCATCGCCCCCACCCCGCTTCTAGCACCAAAAGGAGCAAGGAGTGCAAGTGCAAGATGGCCCACTTGTTCGCTTCCAGAGCGGCGTTCAGCCGGGCTGCCGGCAGCGCGTTGAAGACCGGCAGCACTGGCGTCAATGCGGTGAGTTGTGTTCCTATTTGTTTTCGAGGAACTTTGGCAATGTGGGGCGCTGGGTTATCTATACAGAGCTTGAGAGACCATAGGAGACGGTGCCAGATTGGTCGACGCATCGACCGGAGCTGCTCGGCGAAGCAGGGCCAGTCAGTGTGGATAGGAAGGATACTTGGACATGCATGTCTGGCAATGCCAGGCATTCTTCCACAGGTTGATGCCTCATGAGAAGGCCAGAGCTCGGCATCTCAGCATCATCGCCAGTAGAAAGGATCAAAAGTAGAACGCTTCTACCATTGCTCAATGCAAAGACCATCTATGTGACAAGCCGGGCATTAGTCAGCTAGCCTGGAATCCCGAAGCAGACGGAGCTGCTCAAGTCGAGAGCGATTCATTTCGATGCACAAGGTATTCTCTTTGACTAAATCAGCTGGCCTGGCATATAACAGCTCGCTGGTGAGCCTTGAATGCGCAACCTGTGGGCTGCAAGGTCACAGCCAATCAATCGGGCAGCACCCATATACCCGGCGTTCACAGAGCAGGAACGAAGCGATCTTTCACAGCATGGAGTTTGGGAGCCGCTGGCTGACTATCGGACAATCACTTTTAAATCCGCGCAGGCTCGCTTTGCGTCGACCCAGGCAGCGCCAGCCCAGCCCTTCTTAGCATCGCGTACTGCGGTGGCCGGCGCCACAGCGCTCACGCTGGGCTCGATCGCGCTGTACACGCAGGTCTATGGCGAGCTTCCATTCCTGCCCGTCGCACATGCGAATGCCAAGGATGAGGGCTTGCACCCACCGCACTACCCGTGGTCGCACAGTGGCATCTTTGACACTTTCGACCATGCGTCCATCCGCCGCGGCTACCAGGTGTACCGCGAGGTTTGCTCGTCATGCCACTCGTTGAACCGTGTTGCGTGGCGCAATCTCGTCGGCGTGTCGCACACGGTTGACGAGGTCAAGGCGATGGCCGAGGAGGTCGAGTATGAGGACGGCCCTAACGACAATGGCGACATGTTCCAGCGCCCCGGCAAGCTGGCAGACTACATGCCGCCTCCGTACGCGAACGATGAGCAGGCCCGCGCCGGCAACGGCGGTGCCCTCCCACCAGACCTGTCGCTGATCACCAAGGCTAGGCACGGCGGTGCGGACTACATTTTCTCCCTGCTCACCGGTTACACCGACGCCCCTGCCGGTGTCGAGGTCCCTGACGGAAGTGAGTGTGCGCGGCGGGTGCACCCTTGAGCAATCCAGCAAAGCATGCTGACGATCAAAACTTCTGCATTCTAGTGCACTACAACTCGTACTTCCCGGGGACGCAAATCGCCATGGCGCGTGTGCTGTACACGGGGCTGGTCGAGTACGAGGACGGCACGCCGGCGACGGCGTCACAAATGGCCAAGGACGTCGTCACGTTCCTTAACTGGTCCTCGGAGCCAGAGCATGACCAGCGTAAGAAGATGGGCTTCCAGGCATCGATCCTGCTTGCCTCCATGCTCGCGATGAGCGTCTATGTCAAGCGGTACAAGTGGGCTGCTATCAAGACTCGTAAGGTAAGTGAGCGATCAAGCGAGCTTGTTTGGAAGTGGGATCCTGGGCGAGAGCGTCTCGCTGACGGGCTCTTTATTGTGTGTCCACGCTCCGCTCGCAGCTTGTCTACTCGCCACCCAAGGAGGCCCACTAGATGCACAAGTGCATGGAAGGGGGGGAGGGTCGTTCCCCTCTCGCCCGATCTCGCGCCTGGTTCCCGGACGCGGAAGGATGGTGACTGCGTCAGCCAGTTGGACGGATGCCTGCCACGCTTGCTATCCGGCAATGTCGTCCTTCGCAACCCCGTCCTGTATATTCGTTGTCGTGTTCATTGTCGCGTGTGTACAAGCAAGGCGATTTTGTGAAATACATGCTGATTGCAGTCTGGGAGCTGTCGGTTCATGTGCAGTGCGGCAGGAACTGGTATGTAAAAGAAGGCGCGCGGTCGCGCTGGCTGTCGTAGTGATTTGATCGTTCCCACTGATGGGCCGTGGAGCTTGGGGCCTTTGGCCATTTGTGATACCCGATCTGCTCTGCTATGTCACTCTTTCCCTCCCATCATCGGATTGGCAAGTGTGAACGTGTGCGTGCCGTCTCCTAGGGCGATAACACAAAAAATGTCGAACAGGGGCTGCTGCGGGTGGAGTGCTATAAGCAGCAGACTCTGGGCGCTATGCTTTAGGCCTGCAGATCTAGGTACAATGCGTAGGTTCTCCTGAAGAGGAGTGGGGCCTCGTAAAAGGTGTCCAAAGATCGCGAGGGATGAGAAGGACCCGCAACAAATGCAGCTATGTGAGACACTGATTGGGACAAGGGTGACCATTCCTGTGGAAGGGGCCCCGGTGGACCAAGATAGGATGCCCAAGCATCTTCACACTCTCTACGCTGTGCGGACTTTGGGCGCTAGGCGTCGCTAGCTCTTTGTATAACTTCGAAGCGCTAGATTTTACGCGCATCCACCCTAGCTTCACCCTGTGCTGGAACTTTCATGATGTTCGATGTTGTTGCACAGGCGGTGCCACTGCGTTTCCTTCAGCCATGTGCAACTGATTATGGAATATTTGGGTAGGGCGCGCTATTAGCTCGTTTTTGTCGCCGTCCCTGGCAGCACGCACGCATCTCCTCTCTCTGTTGGTCGCTTTGTTGAACCCCAGCAGGCGTGACCAGAAAGCTCTGACAATTCGGCGCCAAACAAGCACAAGCACAAACACACGCATGCAAAGGAAATGGGCACTTCGGTAATCGAGATCCAGTATGACAGTACGTACATGGTATGTACTCTATTACATATTTCCACGAACAGCTTGTCTGCAACCGTCTGTGACGAGCAGGCTCACAGTGCTTCCGATGAAGTCAACCCGTTTCGATGAACCTATGGGTTGGCTGTCCTCAGTCGAGATGAGCGTTCATTCTTATTGCCTGCTGCTGAGGGTTTTGTTTTAAAAACGAAATATATAAGGATGGAGAACTGAAATTCCCCATGAAATCTGACTGGTGAGTTCCGCGGCCGGCTGTGCCGAAAGGCGGGTGTGGCCGGGGCTGCGGCCTGCGGGTGCGAGTCCCGAGTTCCGTGTTGGTTTGCCCCAAAAAGCAGGGCGGTTTGCCTGTCTGCTAGTTATTCTCTACCTGTTGCGCAGTTCTCGTTGGGACCAACAAATTTATATTCAGTCATTCCCATCGGGCTCCTTCGCTTGGGTGGCCCATGCGCGCCACGCCAGGTCACGTCTTGCTGGGGGAGATTCGCACTCCCCCAGGCCAAACTTACGTGATAATCGAGGATCGTGTTCTGGACTGCGAGGTTGGCTATTCCATCTCTCATCGACGTCGTGCTGCGCTTGTGCTTGTTGTGCGTTTGTCGGCTGCAACTTGGATTCCCAACCCGCCCTCTTTCTCACTCTTCCCTTTCTCCTCGCAGCTGCGGGCAGGCGTTTTGGCGACCGATCGTGGCTCACCATCGGCTCGTAACAATCCATCTCTTATCCCTCCCCTCTCTTCTCATCACCCAATCCTGCACAGCGACTCTGGTCGACCCCACCTGCCGGTCGAAATCCAAAACTCGGATCGAGTGCGAAAAACGTAGAGACCAGCACTGCACTCTGGTACTGTGTCCGTCGTCTATACGGTATAGTGCCCTAGCGAACGCCGACGCTCGACATCTGTTCGAGTGCAATTTGCTCGTCTAACTCTTATATTCTCAATCCCATCGACGCCGCTATATCCCTCTCTTTCCCTCCATCATCCCGCTCCCAGCAAGTGTCTCTGCTTGCGTCCAGTCTCCGAGCTAGCGAGTGAGCTTCAGCACCACTTTTTGCTGTGCCCTCTGGCCTCCTGACGGATAGAACAAAACGGACGGACGGGCCAGGCTATCATCATTCATCCTCTTTCGTCCTTCCCCCATCAACGCGTAAGCAAGCCAAAGAGGCCGAGCAAGCTGCCTTGTGGAAGGCTCTTGAACGCGACAGGTCACTTCTTCCTGCCGTCGTCTGTAGCAAGCAGCAGTAGATTCTAAGAAAGTACTCGTGCTCATCAAGAGTCCGAAAATTATTCATCACCATGCCGGTCGCTGACCATCAAAAGGCGGCGCACTTTGTCGGTGAGTACTGTGTCTGCTTGCGCTCTTTCTAGCTCGGATCACACATCCAGGCTACATGTTGACCCCGCCCACTCTCTCTTTCCAGGCGGCAACCCGCTCGGCAAGGCGCCAGAGTCGCCCGTCGCCGAGTTCGTGCGCAAGCATGCCGGGCACAGCGTCATCACGCGTGTGCTCATCTGCAACAACGGCATCGCTGCCGTCAAGGAGATCCGCTCTATCCGCAAGTGGGCCTATGAGACCTTTGGCCAGGAGCGCGCCATCGAGTTCGTCGTCATGGCCACGCCTGAGGACCTCAAAGTGAACGCCGAGTACATCCGCATGGCTGACCAGTACGTCGAGGTCCCTGGCGGGAGCAACAACAACAATTACGCCAACGTCGACCTCATCGTCGACGTCGCCGAGCGTGCCGGCGTCCATGCCGTCTGGGCTGGCTGGTGAGTGGACCACGAATGGCTTCCCGCTTTTGGGCTTCGCGATCTGACGCTGGGGGGTCGAAATTTGCCGCCGTGGTACAGGGGCCACGCGTCCGAGAACCCGCGCTTGCCAGAGCAGCTGGCGGCGTCCAAGCAAAAAATCATATTCATCGGCCCGCCCGGTTCGGCGATGCGCTCGCTCGGCGACAAGATCTCATCGACGATCGTCGCGCAGCACGCCGACGTACCCTGCATGCCGTGGTCCGGCACGGGGATCAAGGACACGATCATGTCTGAGGAAGGCTTCCTCACCGTCAGCGATGAGGTGTACCAGCGCGCGTGTATTCACTCGGCCGATGAGGGCCTGGCCCGCGCCGAGACAATTGGCTACCCAGTCATGATCAAGGCGTCCGAGGGCGGCGGCGGCAAGGGCATCCGCATGTGCGCCAAGGCGGACGATTTTAAGCAGCTTTACAATGCTGTTCTCGGCGAGGTGCCTGGCAGCCCGGTCTTTGTCATGAAGCTCGCCGGCAAGGCGCGTCACCTCGAGGTGCAGCTGCTCGCGGACCAGTATGGCAACGCGATCAGCATCTTTGGTCGCGACTGCTCCGTCCAGCGCCGGCACCAGAAGATCATCGAGGAGGCACCCGTCACCATCGCGCCGGACCACGCGCGCGAAGAGATGGAGCGTGCCGCTGTGCGTCTCGCCAAGCTCGTCGGCTACGTCTCCGCCGGCACCGTCGAATGGCTCTACTCACCCGAGGACGGCAACTTCTCTTTCCTCGAGCTCAACCCGCGTCTCCAGGTCGAGCATCCGACTACCGAGATGGTGTCTGGCGTCAACATCCCTGCCGCCCAACTCCAGGTCGCCATGGGCATCCCCTTGTACCGCATCCGTGACATCCGTACGCTCTACGGCATGGACCCCAAGGGTAGCGAGCTGATTGACTTTGACTTTGAGGACCCCGCCAGCTTCGCCAAGCAGCGCAAGCCACAGCCCAAGGGCCACGTCGTCGCCTGCCGCATCACCGCCGAGAACCCGGACACCGGCTTCAAGCCGGGTATGGGCGCGCTCACCGAGCTAAACTTCCGCTCGAGCACCTCCACCTGGGGTTACTTCTCTGTCGCGAGCAGCGGCGCGCTGCACGAGTATGCCGACAGTCAGTTTGGCCACGTCTTTGCCTACGGCGCCGACCGCAGCGAGGCGCGCAAGCAGATGGTCATCTCCCTCAAGGAGCTTTCCATCCGCGGCGACTTCCGCACCACCGTCGAGTATCTCATCAAGCTACTCGAGACCGATGCATTCGAGAGCAACAAGATCACCACCGCCTGGCTCGACGGCCTTATCCAGAACCGCCTCACTGCCGAGCGCCCGCCCGAGCAGCTCGCCATTATCTGCGGCGCAGCCGTCAAGGCGCACCTCCTCTCGACCGAGTGCATCAACGAGTACAAGAGCATCCTCAACAAGGGCCAGGTTCCCCCGCGCGGAACGCTGAAAACGGTCTTCTCGATCGACTTTATCTACGAGGGTTCCAAGTACAACTTTACCGCCATGCGGAGCTCCAAGAGCGACTGGACCCTCTATCTCAACGGTGGCCGCACCCGCGTCTCCCTCCGCCCCTTGACCGACGGTGGCTTGCTCGTCGGCCTCGCCGGCAAGTCCCACCCGGTCTACTGGCGTGAGGAGGTCGGCATGACGCGCCTCATGATCGACAGCAAGACCTGCCTTATCGAGCAGGAGAACGATCCGACGCAGATCCGCTCCCCTAGTCCCGGCAAGCTCGTCCGCTTTCTCGTTGAGAGCGGCGATCACGTAAAGAGCGGACAGGCCATCGCAGAGATCGAGGTCATGAAGATGTACTTGCCCCTCGCCGCCGCCGAGGATGGCGTCGTGTCATTCGTCAAGTCGCCCGGCGTCACGCTCGCCGCCGGCGACATTATTGGTATCCTCTCCCTTGACGACCCGAGCCGCGTGCAGCACGCCAAGCCCTTCGCCGGCCAGCTCGATGATTACGGCCTGCCAGTCATCGTCGGGAGCAAGCCGCACCAGCGCCTTGATTACCTCATCGGCGTCATCCATGACATCCTCGACGGCTATGACGAGTCGTACATCATGCAGCCCGCCGTGCGCGAGCTCGTCAAGCTCCTTCGCGACCCCGAGCTCCCGTACGCCCAGAGCTTCCAGGTACTCTCCACCCTCTCCGGCCGCATCCCCGGCCGCCTGCAGGACATGCTGCGCAACACGATCGACATGGCGCACAACAAGCAGCAGGAGTTCCCTGCGCAGCGCCTCCGCAAGCTTACAGACAACTTCCTCCGCGACAGCGTTGACGCCACCATCCGAGGACAGATGAACACCGTCCTCACACCCCTGCTCGTCATTTTCGACGGCTTCAGCGGCGGCATGAGCCTCCACGAGTCCGACGTCCTCGCAGGCTTCCTGCAAAAGTACTGGGATGTCGAGTCGCTTTTCACGGGCGAGGCGGACGTTGTGCTCAACCTGCGCATGCAGCACGCTGGCGAGCTCGACAAGGTCGTCGACCTGCAGCTCTCCCACAACGGCGTCAACCGCAAGAACGCACTCGTCCTCACCCTGCTCGATAAGCACATCAAGGGCTCTCCGCTCCTCTCATCGCGCACCTACGTGAAGTTGGCAGAGTCCCTCGCCGCGCTAGCCAGCCTGGCCGGCAAGCTAACCGCGCCCGTCGCACTCAAAGCGCGTGAGGTGTCCATCTCTGCCAATCTACCCTCGCTCCGTGACCGCAAGGCACAGCTCGAGTCCATTCTCAAGGCCTCCGTCACGTCCTCCACGTACGGCGGCAGCAATGAATACCACGCGCCTTTGCTGGACGTCCTGCGCGAGGTTAGCGACAGCCAGTTCAGCGTCTATGACGTCTTGCACTCGTTCTTCAGCGAGAGGGAGCATCACATGGCGTTCGCTGCACTTGTCACGTACGTCATGCGTGCCTACCGCGCGTACGAGGTTGTCGACTTTGACTACTCAGTCGAGGACATCGATGCAGAGGAGCGCGCCGTCCTCACGTGGGAGTTCCAGCTGGCCAAGGCCAACGCTCCCGGGCTCGTCAAGAGGATGGAGAGGCAGGCGTCTGAGGGTGACCTGAAGATACTCAAGCAGGCCAACGGCTCGACCGAAGGGTCCAGTGCAGAGCTTCGTCGCGGTGTCATGACCAGCTGCGGCAGCTCCGAGGGCGTGGCCGATGCTCTCACCAAAGCTCTCCGCATTCTCGGAACTGCGACCGGCGAGCGCAGAAACGTCATCAACATCGCCATCACCGACGCCACGCAGGTCGACGAGCAGGATGCCCGTCGTCAATTTGTCGAAGTCGCCAACAAGCTTGCGGGGCGCCTCGACGATGCGCGCGTTCGTCGTGTCACCTTCATGCTCTGTGTTCCTGGCGTCTACCCTTACTTTAGCACGCTGCGTCGATCGCCTGAGGGCAAGTGGGCAGAGGAAATGGCTATCCGCAACATCGAACCCGCGCTCGCGTACCAGCTTGAGCTCGACCGACTCACTCAAAACTTCCAAATCACCCCGGTCCCCGTCCCCTCGTCGACGATCCACCTCTACTTTGCACGTGGTATCGCCAACCCTTCGGACGCGAGGTTCTTTGTCCGCTGCCTTGTCCGCCCTGGCCGCAGCACTGGCGACCTGTCCGGATACCTCGTTGCAGAGAGTGACCGCATCATCAATGACATTCTCAACATCATCGAAGTCGCGCTCGGTATGCCCGAGTACTCGACTGCCGATGCTTCGCATATCTTCATGTCATTCATCTACAACCTGGATGTCAGCCTGCAGGATGTCCAAGCGGCGTTGTCTGGCTTCATTGATCGTCACGGCACGCGCTTCTTCCGTCTCCGTATCACTGGCGCCGAGATTCGCATCGTGATCAAGGAGGATGGCGAATACATCCCGATCCGCGCGTTCATCACCAATGAGACTGGTTTCGTTGTGCGCTACGAAGCCTACGCTGAGAACGTTGCCTCCGATGGCACTGCGCTGCTGCACTCTATCGGCGGGTCCAGCGATGCAGCTCCTCTGCACCTGCAGCCGGCGCACGCACCGTACCCCACTAAGGTCGCTCTGCAATCTCGCCGTTCTCGTGCGCATGCTCTACAGACCACTTTCGTCTACGACTTCATTGATATTTTGCGTCAGTCCGTTCGCCACTCATGGAAGCAAAGCGGTCTTTTGCAGCGCCCTGCGGAGCCGATTAAGTCCGTATCGGAGTTGGTTCTCGATGACGCGGGTATTCTCAAGGAAGTGAAGAGGTTGCCTGGCATGAACACCATTGGCATGGTCGCCTGGATCATCGAGTTGCTCACTCCAGAGTACCCGGAAGGTCGCTGGCTTGTGTTCATCGCCAACGATGTCACCGTCCAAGCCGGCTCGTTCGGTCCGACAGAGGATCAGCTCTTTGCCGCTGCATCGCAACTCGCTCGCCAGCGTGGAATTCCGCGTCTGTACATTTCTGCGAACAGTGGCGCACGCATCGGCCTCGCGACGGAAGTCATGGATCTCTTCAAAGTCAAGTTCATCGATGGCAGTGCAGAGAAAGGATTCGAGTATCTCTACCTAGACGATGCTGCCAATGCCGAGGTTCACAAGAAGGCGCCAGGTGCTGTCATCACTGAGGCTCGTCAAGCTCAGGATGGTGCCACGCATCATGTCATCACTGATATCATCGGTCTTTCCAAGAACGGCCTCGGCGTCGAGTGCTTGTCTGGCAGTGGTCTCATTGCGGGAGAGACTAGCAGGGCGCGCGACGAGATCTTCACTGTGACGATCGTCACGGGTCGCTCCGTTGGTATCGGCGCTTATCTTGCGCGCCTAGGTGACCGTGTTATCCAGGTGGAGGGTTCACCATTGATCCTTACCGGATACCAGGCGCTGAACAAGCTTCTTGGTCGCGAAGTATACACCAGCAACCTCCAGCTCGGTGGTCCACAGAGTGAGTCCTTCGAAGGTAACGCTGTTCCCTCGCCAGTTCCACTAACATTTTTTCCTTGACCAGTCATGTACCGCAATGGTGTCTCGCACTTGCTCGCTGCCGATGATCTCAGTGCAATGCGTCAGGCCGTTCAGTGGATGAGCTTTGTGCCGGCACGCAAGAACGACTTGCTACCACGCTTGCTCACTAGCAACGACTCCTGGGACAGGCCGATCGGATACTCTCCTCCCAAGGGCCCATACGACCCTCGCTGGCTCCTCGCTGGCAAGGAGGAGGGTGACTCGTACCTTTCTGGTTTCTTCGACAAAGGGTCATGGCAGGAGACGCTTGGAGGCTGGGCCACTTCAGTAGTTGTCGGACGTGGCCGCCTTGGCGGTATCCCGATGGGCGCTATCGCAGTCGAAACCCGCACTCTTGAGCGCGTCGTTCCCGCTGACCCAGCCAACCCTTCATCGCAAGAGCAGCGGATCATGGAAGCAGGCCAAGTCTGGTACCCCAACTCCGCTTACAAGACCGCACAGGCCATCGTCGACTTCAACCGCGAAGGTTTGCCGCTCATTATCTTCGCAAACTGGCGTGGATTCTCTGGTGGCCAGCAAGACATGTTCGACCAGATCCTGAAGTACGGTTCGTACATTGTCGATGGTCTCACATCGTACAAGCAGCCCGTCTTTGTGCATATTGTACCAAATGGAGAGTTGCGCGGTGGTGCCTTCGTCGTCGTCGACTCGAAGATTCATCAGGAGGGGCTCATGGAGCTCACCGTCGATGAGACTTCGCGTGGTGGTGTGCTGGAGCCTGAGGGCATGGTCGAGATCAAGCTACGTGCTACTCAACAGCGTTTGCTCATGGAGCGCATGGACCCACAGTATCGCGAACTCAAACAGGCCGGTTCGGATGCCGCGTCTCTCAAGAAGCTCGCTGCGAGGGAAAAGCAGCTGGCACCAGTCTTCAACTCCATGTCAGTTGCCATTTGCAGTCTCAGGATAGCCCCGTGGTCAGATTACTGATGCCTTGCCTTATTGCTCATCTTCCACAGCGCTGTCGCCTATGCCGATGCACACGACCGTGCAGGCCGTATGCTGCACACTGGTGTCGCTCGTCAAGTGCTGAGCTGGACCGAATCGCGTCGCTACTTCTTCCAGCGTCTTCGTCGCCGACTCCTTGAGGTTCGCTTCGACCGTAAATTGGCGGAGGCTAACCCTTCTCTGTCAGCTGCCGAAAGGAAAAACGCCCTGCTTTCGACATTCCAGCTGAATGAGCAGCAAAGCGATGCGGCTGCTGCAGACGCTCTCGAGCGTGACGCGGGCACGATTGATGCTCTGGCTACTTCGCTGAGGGAGCAAAGCCTACTGGCGCAGCTGCAAGCTCTATCGCCCGAGGCTCGTGCGCGTGTTGCGGCCAAGCTATCTTAGAGAAATCAATACGAGCCATCAAGTTGCACGGCATTGCATCCCACGTCACCAGTCTCTCATCGCTCTCATCCAATTGTAAAGTCGATCATTGTCTTTTGTCCATTTCTTGCCTTCGCCAATAGATATTCTTTCTCCTCGACGTTTCTGCCACAACATCAAACCATGTGTCTCTTGCTAGCGTGGATGCTATGCACATGAGCACGACCTAGAAGTACATTCAAAACTAAGTACAACTACAGGTGAGCGGGAGCTGATGCATCCGTCGACGAAGGCTTGGATTTGTTAGCCGCAGCTTTCTTCTTTTTTTTCATAGCTGTATGGGGGGGGCGTCATTTCAGAGGGATCCAGAATGATGCAGACCGGTATTTGAAACTTACCAGCTGCAACTGCACTTCTTGCGTTGGTGATGATTTCCTTGCTTTGCTCCAAGTATTCATGGTCTTCGAACCTTTCGGCTCGTTCCACTGCTGCAGGTCGAGAGCTTCTTGATGACGGTACTGCTCGACATGCTGATGTCGATGGCCCAGCTTCATTTTCAGAAGCGGGAGCCTCATCATTGCTGTCAAATTCATCCGCATCCTCCAACGCTGCTTCGTCCTCTCCCATCTTGCGCGCCGCCTCTTCAAGGTCTGCTTGACCCTTTGGCGTACGCCCAAGCATCTTCTCCAAACGTCTGTATTTAGCCTGCATGCGCTCATCCATCGCTTTGCGCCGCTCCGGTTCCTGCTCGAGGTACGCTGCAAGCTTGCGTGCTTCTTTGAGCACGGACAAGCGGCGGCCATTGAGATCGCGGCAGGAGTCTGTGTTTTCCTCGCCTCGTTTGCGCGCCGCAGAGGACATCTTGCCGCCTGCTGCGCGCAGCATGGAGCCGAAGCCTCCTTTGCCGCCCGGGAGGCGCGGGAGGAGAACAAGAGTGAGCGGACTCTGGGTTGCATGCGAGCGGCATGATGGGGGCTGCACGAGGGCGCTGAATGGCAAGGAGAGGCAGGGGAGCGTGCTGGAGGATGCATGGTGCACCAAGCGGAAAGACCTGGCGTCACAGCACAAGATATGGCTCAAGACGAGGAGAAGATCGGAAAGTGTTGCTGAAGCAGCGATTGCAAGAGACACAGAGCCTGTGAAAGGAGAAGGTAGCTGTAGTAGAAAGGGGATCGAGCTGTCGGAAACAAGGCAATGTCAGTGCTCTGCTTTGCAAGGAAGCCGACGCTCCCACCAGCCAGCAAGTCGATGTGGTGCGTAGGAGAGCGAACACTAGGGGCACCACATCGACATACTGTCAGGAAGAACCGGAGGCAAAAAGCACCACGAGTCAAAAGCGCGCCTCATCAGCGTCACTTCAAGCAGCCTCCGACGTTGCCTGGAACGTGTAGTCCGTATGGTGGGTGGGGCTGCGTGCTGCGCCAAGGATGTGACGCAGCAGCGATGAAGATGCAGCAATATCACTCACTTTTCAGGCCCGTTGTTTACCGCTAGACTCGACACAGCCACGCGCAGCCGTTGCACCATCCCAGCAAGGCGAGGATCGTGCAATGGCGTTGCGCACCGCAGTGCTTGTGGCCGCGCTGGCTGGGCGACGGTGACTGACATGGTAGGAGGAGCTTGGAGGGTCAAGAAAGCACTGTGGATCTCTTGCGGCGATGTTCGGCTTGCGCGATGCGTGAAGTAGCTCGACAGCGTTGAGTCTGAAACGAACGATGGTGGGGAGCTGAAATAGCGGTAAAGACTGACGGCCAAACAAGTTTGGCGGTGAAAACTGCACTTGAAACAACCCACAAAATTAATCGGAATCGAGCAGAGAATCCCCGGATCTTGCACCACATTTCGCATCTATTCCTGCTGATCATTAACACATGCCAATTCGAAGCGGTTTCCAACGCCCAACTGACACTGTCGTTTCGCAAACGTAATAACACCTACATAATAGCATGTTGAGGTAAGTTGGCCATTGCGGGTACATAAAGCACAGCCAAGGCTATAGTTGAAGCGTCTCCTCCGCTCATGGGCAGCAGCAGGGTACATTTGATGTGACTGGAGATCCAGAGCTTCGTGAGCAAGTCAAGCAGACCCCCCGCGGATTTTTACAATGCTTACACTCACGATTCCCCGAGAAGCCGCTATATTTCCGGGGTTATCTTCATTTATTAAGGATGCTCTTGTTTCCATACATTCACCGGATTCCGTATAATTAACTCTTGAGAAGCTCATGCGCCTTGGCTTTATCCCTCCACTTGATCTCGTCACTCACGTCCATTTCCTTAATTGACGGACCAACCTACTTTCTTCCAACAAGGAGTGATGATGAGGAGTCGTCGGGTCCATATATGGGAAAATTGCGCTGGCCCAGCTGGTTTGGGGAGTGCTCGAGGGAGATCCAGAGTTCCGTCCATGACGTCTCGCTGTGCTCTGTATGTTTTAGGAATATGACAATCGGCACGACCGAATGATTCATGGGGTCAAACAATGCAGGCTCAAGCAGCTTCTACTCGACTTGCTCGCAATCAATCCCATCTTAACTCCTCGAGTCATGCTTGTACTCTCATACGATGAACATGTCAAAGGCTGTCGGCGGGGCCTTTGTGTGCTGTTCGACTCGATCAATCAATTGGGATCAGCCGGAAAACAAGGGCTACGTCCTGCAGTACACTACGCTTCGGATTGGAGACAAGTGCGTTCAAAACCGACGTCGTTTGGTGCGCAAAGAGCACACAGCCTGCTGCTCTTAAGATGAACGCTGCCGAGCCACGAATCATTTCGCAGCTGGCGACGCTGACAGGCCTGGGTGAGTGTAGAAGCGCATAGCCAAAATTTCCTGCAATGACTGCTCAGAGTTATCGCGTTACAGACCATGGAAGCGTCAAACAGCAGTTGCTGCCCTACATAAATAGCCAGAGCACAGCTTCTGAAATCAAGGATCATCTGCAAGGATTGCTCGGTGACTCGTCTTCCTCCGCAGCCCTCATTCGCGAAATCATCTCGAGCCGTGGATTGGGCCTGCCATCAACATCAACAAAGCCCTCTTCTTCAGGAAGCTCTCATTTTCCTTCTGCTCTGAGTTCGAGATCAGCGATGCCGGTCGTGGCAGGTATCAACGACAAGCCCGCGCCGCGCAAAGTCAAGGGGGCCAAGAAAAAGAATATCGGTCTCGCAGTGCCGCGGGAAGTGACAGGAAGCCCATGTGGCACAGACAGCTTGGCGGTTGCTTTTGGAAGCTCCGGAAGCATTTATCGCAAAGATAAAGGTTTCGATGATCTGGAGCTGCAATATGCTGCGAAACCCAAGGCATTGGCCTCGGCGCCAGCTGCATCATGTTCAGTGGGCGCTACCCCGGCTCAGTCCAGAGGACACTCTCGACAGGGCAGCGATAGTGACGATCCATCTGTGCGGCCGCCAGAAGTGACCAGCATGGCGGCAGTTCCATCTCAAGAGAAAGTATATACCAAGGAGCCAGAGCCGCAGAAAGAAAAAGTTGCGCCGACGGCCGAGATGCTGCAGCTAGATTACCTCATTTCGCAGCTCACCGCGACCACGACCTCGACTACTGCAGCTTTCAAGGGCAAGCGACGAATTTGCTTCTGCGGCGGTCGGCAGCATGTACCAGATCCAAATGTCCCACTCTGCCCCAGCTGCCACCTGATTATCTGCTCGCAGACGATTCCGTCTCCCATTCACGCCACCGCATCTTCTTGCCCTTCTTGCTCTCGCTCGCCACTGCTGGACGACGCAGCGCAAGCGCGCCTACTTGCACAGCTGACAGCCCAGTACGAACGCCTGGAAGACGCGGAGCGCGAGCGTGTACGACTCTTGCGACTCGAACGTGAGCGTGCTCGCACGGCCAAAGCAGCTGATCGAGAGCGCGGAGCCGGCTTGTTTCCCGAGCTTGTGAGCATCACAAGTACTGAGGCGGCCAAGAGAGCGCAAGCGCAGCATGCGCTCGGGCGTGGAGGAGCAGTGCCGGGCGGTGCGGCTGAAAAGAGCCACAAAGTGTTTAGCCTTGACTTCAAGACCCATAAAGTCACGGAGCAGCGCGCAAAGCCGCAAGGTACCGTCGGCGGTAAAGCAGCGGCGACATCCGGGAAAACTCAGGCCAAGGCTAGTGGAAGTGCAATAGAAGTTGAAGACGACGGGGAGGCTGCCTCGGATGTTACTGAGATTATCGCAGCAGACGAGACGGACAATGGCTGGGCGAAGCATGCAACTCCGCGCGTCTTGCGCCGTCTGCCAGCAGACAATCCTGCGTTTGGTGGTATCTTGCATGAGCGGCCTTGGGCCAATTGGACGCTCGGCGAGGTGCAGATGGAAGGGCTACGTTACATTCCGCCCACCGAACGTCACTGGACGTTGCCGATGTGGAGTAGCAGAGCGCAGAGTCTTCAGGCCGGTGAGCAAGGCACTCCTGCGGACTTGCGCCAAGATGAAGAGGCACAGAATGGAGCTCCGGCCGGAGGTTCGGCAGGTGTGGCCAGGCGTGTGGTCCCAGGTGCAGCGCGGCCAGAAGTAACATCGAAAAAGGGAAAGAGCAGGCGGGGAAAAACAAAAGGCAAAGAGAAAGCTAGCGATGAAGACAAAAGTGTACCCTGACGCACCAGTCCATTCTACAATGCCATTTGACCGCCTTCTGTGTTGCGGCTGCAGAAATGACCAAGTTGCCGGGTAGGGAGGTCATCTTGTCTGACAGGATGCCGCTCTGCCGTTATCAGCGGACAGCAAGGGGTCGTATGTGTAATCGGAACGAGAGGCCCGTCGAACACCTTGAACAGAGGAAGCATCTCCTACCCCTTACTTTGCCAGTCCATTGCCTTCGCTCAGAGCTAAGTTCAGCACATGCACCTGCGCGGAATGTCACGCCTATGCTCTAGATTCAATTGTCCAGGAAAGCGAGATTGGTGGTGCGAGCCACAAATGCGCTGCATTGCCAAGGTATCGGGAGTACCTCTTCCGAATCGCAACGACCACATCCATGATTGTCAAGGGATGCCAGTAAAATACTGACGGTGGGTTGGGCGCCTGACCGAGCGAAGCTGCAGCTGATCACTTAGCCTTACCATTGGCGGCTCGGCCAGATGTACTCTGTTGTTGCGGTGGAGGTACTCTTTACGCGGGTATACCTCCCAGTCACAGAGTGCTTAGAGTGTTGAATGGCCTCATATTACATACGGAAAGGTCCCTCAAACTCCATCGTTTTCGCGCCATCCGGGATGGCGGGGTGCCGACATTGCCGATGCTTCTGCCCAACAAGGGTGGGTCATGTGTATCTACTGCCATCCAATGACATATCGTCCGGAACCACGACTGCGTATTCTGGGAATTCAATCATTTGCCGTCCCACGGCCAGCATTGCGCTCCTGCGTATGAGCGACACGATTCGTCCAATTGACCTAGAGCCCCTCCCCCGTCTGGGTTCTCATCGGCGTCGGCGTCACCGTTGCATCAGCATGGCACGCACCTCGTAATCATTACGCCGGTTGCCATCTAATCCTTTCCAAAACGCAAGACAGGCAAAATGTCGGCTCCCCGCTCGCACTACATGCGGGAGATATTTGTCTCGCACCTGCAAGATGCATCGTACCTGCCGCAGACGACTTCGTACGTTGCGCTTGAAGAGCAGGCGCGCAAGAAGTTAACGCCCGAGGCGTACGGTTACGTGGCTGGCAGCGCTAGCAGCGAGAACACCAACAAGAGTAATATGGATGCTATGCAGGACTGGCAGATCGGTGAGCATGGTGGCAGCTACGTTGCCGAGAGCTTTGCCGGTGACCATATGTGAACATGTGCCCAGTCCCGCGCATGCTAGCGGGGGTCGACCTCGACAACTTCGACATGAGCACGACGCTTTTTGGACGTAAGTTCGCCACACCGTTCGTCATCAGTCCCATTGGCGTCCAAGGGCAGCTGCATGTAGATTCAGACCGTGCGACGGCGCGTGCAGCGTGCAAAGTAGGCGTACCCTTCACGCTTAGCTCAGCTACGTCTACGCCGCTTGAGGTCGTCGCGCAGGAAGGCGGCTTCGCCAAGGCACGCGAGGAAGCCGAAGGTTGCGACGGCGAGGTCTCGGGCGCTGAGCCGTGGTTCCAGCTGTACTGGCCGTCGGACGATGACATTACGCGCTCGCTGCTCGACCGTGCAAAGAAGAGTGGCTACAAAGTGCTCGTCGTTACGCTCGACACGTGGTCACTCGGCTGGCGTCCTCGCGACCTGGACATCGCTTACAATCCTTTCCTCAAAGGGAATGGTCTCGCCAACTTGTTCTGTGATCCAGTGTTTGTCGAAAAATATTGTGAGGGAAAAGTAAGCGAACACGCTCATCAATTCATTACAAAGTCTCTAGGCCTTTCCCGCACTACTGACAAGCCATCACTCTTCCCCGCGGACAGTCTCCGCTGCGCAAGGATACAACCGAAGACGATGTCTTCCAAGCGGCGCTGGCCTGTATCTCGCTGCTGTCTCCGGGCAACTCCCGTTCCTGGGCGGACCTGCCGCTGCTGCGCGAGCTCTGGGGCGCCTCCGCAGACGGACACAAGATCGTCCTGAAGGGCATTCAGTCCGTCACGGACGCCGCGCGCGCGATCGAAGCGGGCGCCGATGGCATCTGGGTCTCCAACCACGGCGGGCGGCAAGTGGACGGCGCGCTCGGCTCGCTGAGCGCGTTGGCGCCGATCGCGCGCTACGTGCGCTCGTCCGGGTGCGCGCTCACGCGCGGTGGCGAGCGGCCGACGCTGATCTTCGACTCGGGCGTCCGCACGGGCGCGGACGCGATGAAGGCGCTCTGCCTCGGCGCGGACGCTGTCGGCATCGGGCGCCCGTACGCGTACGCGCTCGCCCTCGGCGGCGAACAGGGCGTCGAGTGCTTGCTCAAGGCGATGCTAGCGGACTTGGAGCTCAACACCGCGCTCGCGGGGTGTAGAGGCGTCAAGGAGATGGGCTCGCACTTGCTCGTTAGACGCGGCGAGGAGAGCAAGCTGTGAGGGGCCATGTCTCATAGCCTGGCTGCCTAGCTGGTTGGCTGCATGCTACATAGGGATGTTGTGCAATCGGATTTGACCCACACTCTCCGTGTTGGTTGTTGCGGAGCATTTGTACTTGGTCTTAAAGTGTATGTCACTATCATCTTGGAGGATCGTTGTTTGGCATAGTTGAATTTATTCCTTTATTGTTTTTAGTGATGCTGTCCAAAGCTGCACAGCAGCTTCCGACGTACATCTTTGCACGAGTGGTACACATCGCGCGGGTAGATAGATGTGTGCTGCGATACTGGGATAGATAGATGGATGGAAAGCTGGATGAATGTATGTATGATAGGGCACGCCAAACGAGGTCGGAACAAAACAGGAAGGGGAAAGCAAACCAGCGCTTTCCTCCTTCCACGCATCTTGCCAAAAAGAAATGCCTCCAGACACGCTGCCAGACGAAACCAGCGAGGCAAGACGTGGGTCTGAAGAGGGACAATGTCAACGCTGGATGCGAGTCGGAAGAAACGAGAAAAAAGAGAAAAAGGAGGGGAAGTGGTTTCTTTTGCGTGAGCCGTGCTTCGGCTTTTAGATGTTCCCAGCCATGAAGCTGTAGATCTCCGACTGGTACTGCGGGTTTCCGCCCTGGTCGAGTGGGCCTGACGAATAGTGTAAGGGGGTCAAGGTCTGTGCCATCTACTTAAAGTGCATTCGATACGGCTGTGCACTCACCATTGTAGCCGCGCAGCGCCTGCCAGAGGTTTCCGCCGCTGTTCTTGCAAAGGGTAGCCATATAGCGCGCGGCGGCCCAGGCGGCGTCGCCGTCGTTGAGTCTGTTTCCGCCGTTGCCGTATTCGTTCCAGGCGCCATCATCGCTGAACTGGAACATGCCCCAACCGTTGCTGTACGCGTTGCCATCCTGCCCCCCGGTTGACTCGGCCCACGAGATGGCGACAAGCAGCTGCGGGGGGATGCCGACGGACGAGGCGGCCGACTTGATTGTGCTGCCGATGGCTTTGACCTTCGAAGACGACTTAGACAGCAGCTGGTCGATCGGCATCGCGCTCAAATCCGTGCCGCACGTGTTGCCACTGGAGCCCGAGCCCGAGTTGGAGTTAGCGGAAGGCGAGGGGGAAGTCTGGGCGGACGACGACGAGGAGGAAGCCTGCTTATTTTCCTTGCTGTTGCTGTTGCTGTTGCTGTTGCTGTTGCTGTTGCTGTTGCTGTTGCTGTTGCTGTTGCTGCTGTTGTTGCTGCTGCTGTTGCTGCTGCTGCTGCTGCTTCCGGGCGGCTTGCTGTGGGTTTGCTGCGATGTGGCCACCTTTACAGTCGCCTTTGGCTTGGATGAGCTCGACTTCGACTTGGATACAGAGCCCGAGGTGGAGCTGGAACCCGAGCAGTTGCTGGGGTCAGGCAGGCCGCCGTGCTGGCTGGCAAATGTATCGAAGTCGGTCACGTCACCGGCCTGGACGGCCTTTTGCCACTTGGTGCTCATGGCATGGAAGGCGTTGTTCCAGCAGTCGAGGCTCGCTTGATCGGACTGCTGATCGCGCGCGACAGCGGGGGCGTGCTTGTTGTGCTGCGAGCGCGGGATGCGGTGCAGACGTTTGTGCGCGGCGTGCACGTGCGCAGAGCGCGCGTGCGCACGCGCTTGCAGGGCGATCGCATCGATGCCGCTCACGCCCGCGGCGGGGCTGTCGGCTACAACGACGGTCGAGGCGCTCAGCGCGACGAGGAGGAGAGAACAGGTGCGTGAGAGGGTGAGTCCGAACATGATCGTTGTCTGCTGGGTGAGGTGTGTGTTCGAGCTTTTCAAAAGCTGGTGAAAGGCAAGACTGAAGAATTGATCGACGCTTGCTGGGAGGCTACGCGAGGCGATGACTGCTCTGTTCCGCAGTACCGTACGATGTGAGATGAGCCCAGGACCAGACGTTCCACGCTGGTAGAAAGGGGGAGGGGGATATGTAGCTCGCAGATCTACTGCGTGGGTAGGTGCGACTGGAGGAACTTTGGGGGCGAAAGACTTGCTTTGCTATCGAAGGGGGGAGGCGAGAATGAATAGAGTACGTAGCAAATGGAGAGGGCGACGGTACGCCTAGGAAGGGGGGTTGATTGGGAAGGGGATAGGTGGATAGGTTCATTCGGTAGCAATAGCAGCAGGGGTTCCTCTTTCTCTCTATATATATCATATCCGCACAGCCAATCCAACGAGGAGGAAAGCCGACCCAATAAAGGGATGGAGAAGAACGAATCGGCTCATGCGCATCCCGCGTGGCAGCACCACACCAGTCTCAACTCCAAGCTCCGTACATTGCCCAAGCGATGCAATGCAGTGCACGCAATCCCGCAGCTACATCGGGCAAAGGCAGTACAGCAGTCATGCGAGTTCCATTCATACTGCGTGTGCCCAAGGCAAACCGCTCCCATGGGGTACAGCAATTTCGAGGGGCCTCTGTGCATAGCGCGCAGGCGCTGTTGCGTCGCCGGCATTGCGGGACTCTGCCGGAAAACGGGGTACAACAGCTCATAGTCAATGCCTCAGGCGTAGTGTCGGTGGACACACCACACCAGGGGGTCGAATAGCGTTGAGGGCACTGCAAGGGAACCTCGGCTGCCGACAGTGTTTTCTTGTGCGGTCGCTTCCGGGAAGCGGGTGGGGTGGGCATCGGAGGGACCAGCGTTGAAGGTTGCACCGATTCTCATACAACATCGTGCGCACAGCAACAAAGATGGTTCAACCTCACATAACCATCGCTGTTCGCTCACGACGATGGGGCAGGATGGGGAGCAGGCGCGCGGGCAGTGATGCCTTTTCATGGATGGCATGGGAGAACAGTATGCTGCTTCCAACAATAAGAGCGGCCATAGCGCCAAAACCACCTTTCAATACACGTGCACATACGCGTCCTTCGTTCGCATCGGCCCGACCAGCCACCGCCTCATCCGTAAAATAGCTTCACTGCTTCTTGCCCATCAGGTTTGTCCTGTCATCGTTATCTGTACCGCTGTCAATTGTCCAGTCAGCTTGCGGTTTTTTCAACTGCGTTCTGAACTTTGGCGCTGACCTTCGCTCCTGATGGTGATGGCGCATCCGTTGCGCCTTCCGCGCTTTCATCGACACTTTGCTGATCGGGCGGCAGCATCATCTGCCGCTTGGCATTTTCGGTTCTGGCTGCTGCTGCTACATATTCGTCCGGGCTCACACTGTCCGCGTGCTGGGTGGGCGGAGTTATCATCTGTCTCGTGAGAATGCGTGCGACCCCGCCATCGGCAATGGCGTGCAACTTGACATCGTCGCGTTGACCTTGGCCTTACATCTGCCCTCCTGGAAGGCGCGCAGAAATGACTAGCATGCGCGGATCGACGGCGCGTGTAGGTTCTGTGCAAAGCGCGCGGGTGAGTAAGAGCAGTAGTGCAGAGAAGAGGACAGGGAGCGGTCGAGAATGTGAGGACTGCATGGTCAGCGTGGCTAGCAGCAGCATGAGAGTTAGTGCGGAGTGCAAAAATGATTGTTGTGTCTTGAAGGTCGGCCGTTCCGGCGACAATGGAGACAACCTCTTGCGAAGCTAGCAAGTGAGCCGGAGAAGAAGGCAGGTGCAGGTAACGTCCTACTTGCACTTGCAAGCGGGCTGACGTAGTAAGGGGATAGCACTAGCAACACATTGGGGGTTGGTGAAGTCGCGAGCCGTTTATATATGCGAGGGCTTGTCGCATTGTATCCTATGAACATCATTGACTCCGGTTTGGGTCCCTAGCTCCTTCCCGATCTCTTGATTAGCCATATGTCTCTCAGGTTGGGCGCCTGCTGGGTGAGAACTGCGCATCCATAACCTCCATCTCCAGCATTCGAGGGAATATAAAAGTATGGATCCTAGTAATCAGCACCGTCTTCACCCCCAGATGATATTTCGCCAAACCAGACATAAGAACCACTTGGAGGGCGTGTAGCAGCAGCACGTTCGCTAACTGCAATCAGCGAGTGTATTTCGAACCATTGGCATTTCGAGCAGCGGTTTGTCATTCCCAGCGCTACTTTACCTGAGAAACTGTTCTACGGCCCACTGATGTCTTGAGTTTCGATTTGAAACTGCTGCGTGTCGTGAAGACCCTTCCTACGCGACAACAAAGCTAGCAGCTGCCCGAAAGTTTAGTGCACAACTACAAACCATACGCATGCGGAATTTGCGCAATCAGCGTGCCAGTGGCAAAGAAAAATATATCTGTCATATACACGACGTATGCTGAATTGCAGCATCCCTCGAAGTGAGTGTCAGCAGCTCACCGTAATGCCAGAAACCGCCGCAAAAAAACAAATAACTTCCGGCAGAGGCTCGAAGGAGCACTCGGCCTTTGGTCTTCTGCATTATTTGACCCCATGTCGACCAAAACTGATACATCTCGTTCGCCATCCATTCTGTTCGGCGACTTTCAAACAACTCCGCTCACATAAGGGTCGTGGCCGACATGGTACTGATCGGCGTCGAGATTGTAGTCATCTGGTAGCCAGAGCGTCCAGAGATAGCCAGATAGAGGTGAATGCAGCTGAACACGTCCAGCGGAAAGCTAACAATCTTGTCGCATGTCCACCGCCAGCACAAAGCGGGTGCCTACCTAATGTCGATGTCCCGAGCCGGGGTGAGATCCACAAACGCAGACTTGCGCAGACCGCCGTGCAGTGCATTGTCGGTGCTGCGTGCACGTGTCGACGCTGTGAGTCTGTGACTCGGACTCTATGTCCCGACTTGATCGACCTGCATACATTTTCTGCACACGGGGAGATGATTGCTCCATTACAAGGTGACCTGTGAGCGAGACCAAGAACTCGGAGTCTCCGAACTGGCATTAAGGAAGTGCGCATGTCAAGCCTTGACGATGGGCCGAGCATCCCATCAACCCACGACTCCGGCCCTGGTCATGTTGGCGGTACTCGTCTCAATGGCACTTGGGCCTTTTGCGTCTTGTTCTCCGAACTGGGCGCAGTTGTGGATACGCCTACGTTGCACAATGGAGAAAGACAGGACGGCCGATCATTCAATTGTTCCCACCTGGCGATTAGAGGAATAGGCGGGCGTTTCACGAGTTCCCAGACCAGACACTAGATTTTGGCAGACCATATAATCGATCACGATTTACGTTCTGGATGACCTGACAGAGCCCGTCTATAACTGGTTTACGATCGGATTGACTTTATTTAATGCCGCATGACACGCTAACGCCTGGAAGGCCGATGAGGAGGTATGCTTTGCTGGACCTCAGCTAGAATTACGCTGCGTCTGACAGCGAAAGCAGCTCCCCCGCGCAAGGCCTGCTTTCCAGCTCCCCCTATCCCGATGACTTTGCTTTCAGTGTGGCTACGGATCTGCGTGTCTGCTGCCGACGCAGCTTGACATCAACGCCAGCTAGCAGGAACCCCAAGTGAGCACCTCCGGTTTCGCAGCCCAGTCTGAACAGTACCTGTGCATGACTCTTACATGCATTTCCTAGCTTCACACCCGCCCAGTCCAAGCAGATCAAGATTAGCTGATCTGAATTTATTGTGGCATTAGATTAAACCTCGTGCAGAAAATATGCTGGTCTTCAGCCCTTAAGCGATGATGCGACGATGGGATTCCCACCGCAAAGTGGTCACCATGGGATGCTGAAATATCGACGATACCGCATCGATGTTCAAAGCATCCCATCTTTCCTTCAAGACTCTTGGTTTCTCAGCTACGTTCGATGTCACATCTTGCGGCCAGCCTAGGGCAGCTCCGTGCAGGATAAGCATATTCTCTCCAGCTAGAACGCTTGCCTGACGCACACCTTCACTACGACTTCACCCCGTCACTCTTACAACGATTTTGTCTCCTTATTTGTCTTGTTCCCTTTTGTCTGCACCTTTTCCATTTTATTCAGTTGCTCGACTTCTCGCCAAGATGTTGCTCAAAACCCCCATTCTCCCTTCTGGGCCCACCTTTGTGGCAACTACGACTTTCGTTGCCAACCCCGCCCAAGCCGAGGGCATCGCTCGCCGTGCACGCAATGTGGACAACACGAGGATGCATAGGTCAGGATTGCCGCGCATGACTACTCCGGCGACGTCCAAGCCGCATTGGACTGCCAGGCAGCCGTGCAGAAGCAGGCCGATCAGGCTTGGAAGGCGACTACACAGGCTGCTCTGAATGCTGGCCAACCTCCTGCGGAGCTGCAACCAGGCTACTCGTGAGTTCAGCTACTGCAAAGTGCGCCCAAGAATCAACTTCTGCCACGCCTGCGATTGCCTGAACCCAAATAACCCCCTGCTGTTTCTCAAAGTCGGAGTCTAAAGACCAAGAACTTCGATGATCATGACTCTGCCGATGACGTCCAATCTCCTTTGGACTCCCAAATCAGCATGCAACAGAAAACCAATCAAGTATGAAAGGCAGTCGTCCAGGGTGCCCAGAGCGCTGCTGAGACGCCACCGGCGAAACCCCAGCCTAATTACTCGTGAGTGATGCCTTGGGTCATCGCACTTGATCAACACGTGCAGTGATCAGCAGGTGAACTCGGCAGCTTTGCACCCGGATGCAGTACTTACACTGCTGTGCCTTGGAGGCGCAACGTCAACGCCCTCAACCACAGGAGGGATCCGAACCATAATGGACCTTGGAGCCTGCAATGCGGATTCCATAGCAGATATGACATTGGTAATCCACACGGTCACTGAGGTGGCCAACGCACCGGAGGCTTCGGTGGCCCACATGGTCCTCCTAGCGCCTCAGGCTTTGCTTCGAGCAGCAAGCCTACTACTGGCTCTAGTACTGGCTCCAGCACCAGCACCAGCAGCTCCAGCGAAGAGGCTACTGGCTCGAGCACTGGCAGCGCTGCGCAGTATATGCTTCACGTCGTGGTGGTTCGGGCGCTGTTCAGAAATGGTAACAACTCTTGGCCAATGCTTCTTCGTCGGTTCTATTTTCTTGGGCGCACAGATGGCCGCGCTGCTCGCTGCCTATGCATCCTCCTCTCTTGTATTATATCCACTTATACTACACGCTGGTTGTACCGAGCAGGATGAAGACACGACACGCACGGCCGGAAGAAATTCGTTCACTCGATGTTGATGTGGTGGCCTAGGGAGACGCCATTGATTATGGGCATAAAGATTACACTAGGTGTGCAGAGAAAAAACACGGTAGAGGCTGTGGCAGGGGCGAGAAGAGCGAGCGGCGGCAGTGGTGAAGCGGCTGAGGAGGTGCCGCTCCCATTAGGAGATAACAGCGGTATTGGAGCACTCGCATGGAGTCAATAAAGCACAAAAGTTAAAGACAACGTCGCAACCAGTCACTTGACGGTAGCGCACAAGGGGCCATGTCTTTTTCTTGTTGTGGATAGCGCTGTCAAGCGCTGCCGCAATGCGTTTCTAGGTGTCTGGTCGATGAGGTGGCGTACCAGATGAGCACGTGTACCAGAGCGAGAGCCAGCTCACATCTAAAGCTTGGGCGCTTTGGTTTGAAAAAAAAGAAAGAAGCAGAAAAAGAAAGAAATGAGAAATGGGTGACGCGGACAGGTGGATGTAACGAGTCGATCAAATCCATCATGGAGAACGTAATAGGAATTGCGAAGGTTCGTGCTGCAAGTCGTTCTGCCTCTTCTTTGGTTCATCCCCCAAAGATACAACCTACCTGCTTTGGACACCCTCGTGGTTTGTGACCGACTGTTCAGAGTCTCGATAGTTATCATGTCCGAAGTCAAGCGACGCGGCAACGCTGCCGGTGCGGAAGCCGACGACCTCAAAGGAAAGGGTAAAGCGCACGAAGAGGATCCATTTGCCGTCCTCGCTGAGAATGCGTCAGCTGAGCCGCTGAACAATGAAGGTGCGAAGCACACCATATCATTCCTTTGTTCTCGAGATCATGAATTACTAATATCCGATGCTTTGGCAAAGCAGAGCAACAAAAGATCATTGAAGAGCTCCGAGAGCAAAACAAGAAATGGAACTACATTTACCGCAGCGCCGTTCTACTCATGCAGGGCCTCTTGTTTATCTTGTGAGCACTCCAATTAGATTTTCAGCCGTGAGATGGGCTGCGCTCTGACTCAAGTCGAATTCACGTCTGTTAGCTACTTCACTCCGCTCCCGTCGTATATTGCAGGGACACACCCGCAGAATCATCTCATCGTCTTTTGGGGTAGCGGGCAAGGTACGCATGATGACTTAATCTACCTGCCGGCGCTCCCGTTCTACATTGCGTTCCTCCTCATTCAAGGAGGACTCCTATACATGGTAGCTTTCGAGACGGCGGACGCGATGGAAATACCGGCCATCATCAAGCGCCGCAAAAGTTACGCCTTTCCCGCGCAGCCGCATCCTTTCGGCACTGCTCCGAACTTTCTTGTCCCTCCACTGAGCCAAATCAGATGGGCTCCCAGCGGCGGCAGGGCCGATCAAGACCATACCGTAACGGAGGGCCAACGGATCGCCGCGACCACCAGCCCAAGGCTGATGTACCTCGTTGTCCTCTGCGTCGCCAGCCTACCTCTTCCGCTCATGACCTTTGGCGCCGGTAGCTTTGGCAATGCTGGCTGGTGGGCCCTAACACCTCTTGTGATTGGAGTTACATGCTGCATCGAGCGATCTATCTGGTCCAGCGAACGCCAAACACATGGACTTGCCGGCCTTCGCTACAATTACAAGGGCGCTTGAGCGCAGGAAACTGCTTTAGTTACTTTAGGCACTCGTTGACGCTCGCTGCATTTTCATTGAACCGATGAAATTCGCGATGCATCCTGTAAACCTACATGATTGAAAGTCGAAAGACGATGCCGTTCCGCGCGTCCTCCTCATTTGATCGATATCTCGCTGGAGGGTACATGATAATCGTCATTTATGGCGCACACAAATCGCTGAGATGACAGTCACGAATCACGATCCCTCGTCGCACATCAGCCGTGGCCCGATTTTACCACATGTTGCATCATCTTTCGAGTGGGCTTCATCGAACATCGGGTCTTCAAGATGAGCGGCTGGCCACCGACAAATCTTGATGCATCGCTCCTGCACGCGGAAGAATGGTCCTTCCTGGCTGAAGGGGGACAAAACCTGCTTCTCCGTTACACTGGCCCTATCGCATCCAGCCCTCAACAGCTTTCATCTTCAGTCGGTTCCCCTTTCTTGGGAGAGGAAGGAGCGCTAGCTTTGCGCGTGAAAAAGCAAAAGCTCAAATCAGGGAAGAATGGCAAGCCGCAGACGCCTCAAATCGATAGCCAAGCATTTCAGAGCAAGGTCATTGTTCCCCTGCTTGGGCTGTCAGATGTACTACCTGCCAGCATTCCCATCGAGCTGCCTTGCTACGAAACAGCTGACATACATGCACAGGGACATCCTTTCGTAGAAGCCATTGCTCGTCGTATAGAAGAATCCAGGCCGGAGCGGAGGAGACTGATCGATGAGATCGATCCCTCCGCATCTCTCATCTGGGCTGTTGAGGACTTGACTTCAAGCGGACATGCCGTCACAGCATCGAGAGCTGTTCCAAGGCGAGTACTTGCAGTCGAGATCAAGGTGCGTCAGCGCTACTTGTCTATCCATTGCGTCGTTTACCTGTGCACTGACTTAGATGAACGGTACAGCCCAAATGGCTCTTTCTACCGGCGTTAGTGGAAGCAACCGACAGGGAGGTAAAGGCCACATTTGACTTCAAGAAGAACATATCCCGCTACAAAATGCATCGCATACATCGAGATCCGAGTCTGTCACTAGCAGAATGGCAGCAGCTTTACGACCCACTTGATCTCGCTAGTCGGGATCCCGCTCGCACACGACATGCTCTTGAAGCACTCTGGAACGAATGGAGACGCACATCGGATGCAATTCCTACAGCTGGCAACGAAAGTGACGATATTAACGGTATGGATAACGGGGATGCTGTTGCTTCCTCTGCTTCAACCCAGCAACACATGAACAACAATCTTCGAGTGTACTTGAACGGAAACTTTCTCTGCGGCGAGCAATGGGCCGAGCTTACGGAATTTCTGTCTGTCGAATTATCCGAAGATCACGTCAAGCAGGCCTTCCTCGATCTCCTGCTCTCACACCTGCATGCATCGCCTTTATTGGAACGCCTGGCTGTATGTCAATCTGCGGCGGACATTCAGCTACTAGGCCAAGGTTGGAGCGACCTGGAGCGATCCGAGCCTGTCAGCGATGTGGGAGCCTCCTCTGCCGCGCCTTTCCAGCTCAAGGACGGGAGTTCATCTGCCGCTGCTACCATCATGAAGGAGCCCACTCTGCAGGAGCTCATCGAAGCGGTCATGATAGCACCTGGAGCACAAAGCAACAGGGCCGCCAGACTCTTGGCGAAAAGTCACCGCGCTGAGATTCTTCAGTACGTTGTCAGTGCGACATTCAAAGACTGTTCTATGTTCTTGCGATTCATACGAAACTCCGAGCACGACGGGCCCGAATGTTCCATCAGGCTGATCGACTTGGATCCCAAGCCAGTCGGCAGCATGTACAAGTGGTGGAAGATTGACCAGGAGATCGTAGAGAGCTTCAAGGCTTGGGTCGAAAAGAATAGATTGGACTGGGACAAGAGCACCACGCCGTGGAAACTGGTACAGAAGACATAAGTATTGTAAAGTATTTCATCATCGTCTTCTTCCTAAGACATTGATTCGGTAGCATACACTAGAAACTATGTATTTTTGCTGGTTATCACGGGTTGTGGTTAAACGCCGGTTCACCGGCGATAGACTGAGAGAACTCCGAGATTTCATACATCATCCTCTCAAACCCCCGTGTTCTGGTGGCAAAACTTGAATATGCAACTCGTTCTCCCGCATTCCTTCGATTTTACCTCTGATATTCTCAGTGCGGGTTTAGACATGCAGAAACCGGCAGTTCCTGGCTCATGCAACCACAGTCGGCTTTCGGACCGCGACGTGATACAATTTCCTGGTATATCGTCGCATAAGCTCAACTGTGGATGAGACCAGGAGCGCAGAAAGCTACCATCATTGCTGTTCCCTTCAGCCTGTACCGTTTAGCGCTTGAAGGCGCGATTCCGTCACCGTGGAGTGTCGTCGATTCATCGGTGAGCTAGTCTTACGACCGCCTCGAAATCAGTTTTGAGCGGCCTCCCCTAATCACATCCAGTCCAAAAATCCTCACCATGACAACTCAATCTGCGTTGGCCTCTGCGAGCGACTCCAACGGAGTCACGAAAGTGCACCTTACGGTGTTCGTTCACGGGCTGTGGGGAGATCCACAGCATGTTTCGCTCCTAGCTCGAAGTCTTGCTAAGGCACACAGCTGTGTCCTTTCGCCTGCATTGGACGCTTCTGGTTCGTATCCTCTGGATCCTTCAGCATCTAGCTCTACGGTAGAGGAGAGCATGAGAAAGAAAGCAAGCTCCAAGAACGAGAAGACAGAAGCTCAACAGAAAGCGCAGCGTGAGAAGGAGGAAGCACAAGTGCAAAAGGCCCTCGACGAGGTGGAAGATATCGATGCCCCTGAGCCTGGGTGGAAACTGGTCCTGCTCAACACCGTCAGCAACAGGTGGGTCAACACTTACGACGGGATAGACTTGTGCGCCGAGAGAGTAATTCGGGAGATCAAAGCAGAAATCAAGAGAATCGAGGAGACGGGTGTGGATGAGGATGCGGACAACAAGTCCGCGGCCTATCAGGTTCGACGGCTGAGTATCGTCGGCTATTCACTTGGTGGCCTCATTATTCGATATGCCATCGCCGTGCTTTGGTATCAAGGGTACTTGACCAGTTCTCCGATAGCATCCAAATCTCAAAACCACGGTCGAATTGAGTCTTCCAGCATCTACACATTTGCGACGCCCCACATCGGCGTCCCACCTGTCAATTCACCTTTTGGGAAACTGGTGCATTACGTCGGTGGCCAGATCCTCAGCCGCACTGGCAAGCAACTATACGCGATAGACGAAGACTGGGGTACACATGGTGACTCACAAGCACTGCATGACTCTGAGCATGCGAAATGTGTGGAACAACGAGGCCTTCTCGAAGCCATGAGCGAGCCTGGATCAGTGTTTATGAAAGCGTTAGGAAGTTTCAAACATGTCATAGTTTATGCCAATAGTCTCAGTGACTTGACCGTGCCGTTCCGAACGGGCGCGATCGAGTTTGACGACCCCTTCCTGCTCGAGGGCACAACGGTGTGAGTAACATGATTTGTTCATTCTCCTTCTTTCCTATCTGACGATCGATGGTTGTTGGCTGCAAGCAATACGAGCCCTTCCTACCCTCACTTGATAGAGAGTTACAACCCGCAGCGGGCTATTCCGTCAGATGAAAGAAGCACATTGGCACGCCTAAGCGCTGCCGTGCTCCCCTCATCTCTACCTATCTTCCTCCGCCCGAGCCTATACCCATTCCGGCCACCATGGAATTATCTGTCCATGCTCTCGCTCCCTTTTCTTTTACCGGCTCTCTTGTGCATCCTCGCGGTCAGATCTAGAGGGCAAGGCAAATTGTCAAGGAAGCGCATCCAGGAGGAAGAGGAACTTTGGCTGAAAGAACAGAGCTTGGCCGCAGAGCAGCCAAACACTAACAGTCGCATCCAACGCATGCTCATCGCCGCTGGAAACGCCCTGCAAACAGTTACCGAGGGAGTTTGCGCAGAAGAGGGCGAAGGGGACAAGCACCCGGTCCTCAAGAATATCATCCAGGGCAATGGTGCGCCTAAACGGGATCCATCTAGCAGCGACAGAAATTGTGCAACCAGCACGTCAAAGCCCATGTCTACGCGTATCGAGGGACCTTCTCTCACTCTACAGCGCGGTCGTTACGCAGGCAGTAAACTAGCATCGTTGAGCGAGAAGCAGAAGCTCATGGTTGCACGTTTAAATGCCCTTCCGAATCTCCGCAAGCACTTCACCTATTTCCAAGACGTCACGAATTCTCATGGTACCATCATCTGTAGGACCACTGCCATCGGGATGCAAGTTCTCGGCAAGGACGTTGTCCGTCATTTTGCCGAGACATTTGAGCTATAGATTAATTTTTCTTCACTTGCGTTCGCACAAAGTTACATTTCAAGATGGCCACCTAAGATACATAGAAAAGACCTTATGTTGCACCAGGGGGAGCGTCTATCCAAGTCCCATTGTAGAATGCCGTCGCGGCCTGGGTGAAATCTCCGTACTGACCCTGCGAGACGTATGCTAGGCGAAGGTAGTGCGGCTCCGATGCGAGTTGCTGAGATAGCGATACGACAGATACATCATTAAGCGAATTGGTCAAGTTCTTGGCCGCGTCTGATTCGTAGTCGGAGAGGATCGAAGAGATATTGAACGACGTTGCCGTGCCTTGGTAGCGCAAAACGTCATCCACAAGCAAGGCGAAACTGTCCCAGCTGCTGGTTAGATTGACCGGGATAGGTGTCCAGGTTACGGTGCCTCTCGATGCTGTAGTATTCGTCGAGTTTGCAACCACGCCAGCCCAAGTGGCTTGTTGCGTAGCAAAGCTTGGTAGGTCTGAACTGATGATGCCATCCCCACGAACAGTAGCAACATCCTGGAGCAAGCCGTCGAAGCCCTACAAACCGTGGAATGTCAGTAAATGTTTCCACTTGTGAATATGGGATGCTTACCCATCGGCCGACACCATTAAGGAACATCCCCAGCAGGAAGGAGGAGTAGATTAGACAGAGCCTTGTCGGAAAAGCTGCGCCAGGCAGCAGCACGAGAGAAATGATGTAGTGGTGCAAACGAAGTGACTCTCCTGGCACAGCAGCAAGTATGCCGACAATGATGCCGCCGGTGATGTAAAGCGTGAGGTATTTTGGGAGATAACCGGTCTTGCGAACGACTCGCAATTGATTGATGACGATGATCACCACTACGATAATAATAATGATCAACGAGGTCAGAGCACCTGGTTGCGACCGGAGGTCGGATGCGACAAGCCGATTGAGGGGCACGCTTGCAAAGACGACATTGAGCAGCGTACCGAGCCAGTAGAAGCCGAGCTGCCAGATTGTCCGCTCTATTGGTAAGCGATTGAACGCCGGCCAAACGAAGCGCACTGCCAACTTCCAAATCGCATATGCCGTGAAGAGGGTTGGCAAAAAGTCTCCAAAGGGGACGCCAATGGGAGGCGGGAAATCGCGGGGCTCGGAGATCATGTTGACGTGCCAAAAGCCAAGGCAGACGAGGAGCCAAAAAAAGACGATTGGCTTCGGCTGCAGCACAAAGCCAACAAAGGAGGAGAGAACAACGTTGAGAAAGTAACCTTTCCACCGGTCATCAGAGCAGCCGGTCCCATTGTCCATGCGCTCAAGCCGATAAGAACTTGGAAAGGTTGAATTGAAAGACAAGCTACCTAGTCCGTTGGCGACCTTGGCCTCGTAATCGGAATACGTGCCGACGAGGCTGAGCACACCGCAGCCTCCTTTTAAATCAGAGAAGAGGCCAGCGTGAATGGCGGACGCGCATACCCACGAATCGGCGCGATACGTCTGCTGCACATCCCCTCCCCCGACAATGAGGGGCTTCCAGTTGATAATTTCGGCTCCGACAGCGCGTGCTGCACCTAGGGTTGTTGAACTGCATCCGTTTGGACATCTGAACGGAACTGAGACGTTGGAAGCAAAGGGGACACAAGACTGACCGTCGAGTCCGCAGTCTGCATTCCGTAGCCAGTACGTTGTTGTGCATCCGTAAAATTGCAGGTCGGACTGGTTTTTCTCCCCTCCAATATTGGCTGCGGATGAGTACCACAAACTCTTGCTGAGGAAGCTAAAGCCAAAAATCCAGCCAATGCATGTCAAGACAAAAATCAGCCAATGGGCAAAATTGTGCTTGATGTCCCGCTTAACTGCAGTGGCCCACCACACTGGGCCGTGTCCATCGGCATCCTCTTCTGTTAACAGCAAAGACTCTCCTTTAGCATGGTCTCTGCTGAGTTCAGCCGCGCATGGCTGAGACAGCTCGAGGGTAGATACGTCGCCACGGCTCGACTTCCAGCTACTCGGATCTTCCAGATCTTTCCACCGGACATGAAGGGTAAAATGCAGCCATGCCGCTTCCACCTTGCTAAGAGGCCACCAGGGGTAGTGACGAATCGTCATCTTTGCAGGCCGAGCGGGGCCTCTCACAAACTGGACGACACGTGACCCAATCCCGCGTCTGCCACTGCCTTGTGTAGCGGTGTACGGGAATCTGGTCGTGAGAGCAGATGACGTTGGAGGAATATGATGTTCGTTGCGGTGAGATCCTGCGCTGGAGCTGAGTATTCTCTCTTTCTCATCAGCTGAGCTACTCGACGGAGAGTTGCCTTGTGCTTGCCGAGGCAAAGACGGTAAAATGCAATCTTGCACAGCGAGCTTGCCCTGCTCATTTGCGCACTGGGCAGTTCGGTCGTCCGCGTCGGCACGCATGTTCTCTGCCAAAGAGCGTGGGTACGTGACCCATAGCAACCCTGGATCTGCGCTGCTACGACTGTGGGCGGAAGATAGAAGCGAACTGCCGAAACCACCGTAAGCATGTGATAGCTCACGCAGAAGCCATCGAACGCTTGCGACGTTGGTTGTGAGCGTGGTGATGCCGAGTGAAAAGCCCATAAGCATGCTATGTAGCGTGTGCGGCGTCTGCTTATACGCCGAGCTAGACACTTGCGCGTTGGCTTTACGTGCAGCAGATACAGAGGTGCTGACATTGTGAGGAACGGGCGCAACCTTGCTGCTGGATGTTTCGGTTGCAAGAGCAGAAGAGAGAATTTCGATGGCTGTTTGCACAAAAGCGGACGGCGGCAAGGTTGTTATCGCTGAGGGGACGGCATCGTCAATCACTTCGACTGGCAGCCGCAATCGACTACGCAATTGATGGTCATTTTTGAATCTGCTGTCCGCCCAAAGGAGATCGAAATCTTCGGAAGAGCTGCCAAAAAGCGCAAGAGCACGCTGCTTCTCTTTTGGGCCTGCTACGAACTCGAGAATGTCTTGGAACTTTTGCTTTGCCGCTGCAGTGGTGCAGAGTTGTACTTGTCCCCCGTTTCCGTGGAGTGTGGAATCGATCAAGCTGCGAATAAAAGCTGTACCGCTCGATGCCATTGCAACTTCCCGTTTCAGTTGCAGTGCAAGTGCTCTCCCTTGCGTCAAGCCGCCCTGGTCATGGCCGGCGGCGCCCTTGCCTTTGGGGAAGACACTTGTAGTATTCCCCCGCAAGCCGGATTTGGAGGAACGAGAAGTGTCAGCCCCACTTGCGCTTAGCAGCTCAGCACCTTCTTGATGGGCTATATGCGGAAGCTGTTGGGTGAGGCGCAGTCGCTGTGCCTCTGCACCTCTGTCTTTCCACGGCGGGGCACGTTTAAATGCATCCAAGAAACGCTGCTCGACATGTCCGCTCTCGTTTGGATTGGCGTCAGCGTGCCGTACAGCATCCGAGTCAGGGCTGAACAAGTCTGGCGCTAGGGGCATGTGCGATACATCGCTGACGAGCGCCACGAGTGCGCTGAGGTCAAGATTGATCCTGCGCGTTGGGTGAAAAGTTCGCAGAGAACTCAGCGGAGGGCGCAAAGGAACACCTGGAAGGATCGCTAGTGCGATATTGAAACCCGGGTTGCGCAGAACATCTGCGCCATACTTGCCGTACGCAATGTCAGAGGGGAGGAATACCTCCTTTGCCATAGATTGCTGCTGCTGCAACATCCTCAGTCGCGCTTCCCGTTCGAAGCCGCTGACGAGTTCAATACCAAGCTCTTGCGCCATCATTTGCAAGCGTGTGAGGCGGTGGGTATAACGCTCAGCCTCTGGGAGGGCATACACTTGCTGTGGGCTGAGTGCCTCCGGCTCCATAGAGGCCTTTCGACCGAGTGGCGGTATCGGCAAACGCGAGAGGATGATCTCGACGAACGGTCGAAGCGAGGTGGCAGCTCTTACGTCTGCTGCTGCGCTCAATTCGCAGATGAGCTTGTATAGCGAACAATTGCACAATGCGATGTCCAACTCTGCTTCTTCACCTCGCCTTTTCTCGACTTCTTGGTCACTGCCATCATCCGGCTCGATGTAGCTTTCCCACAGCCTGAATTCGGAAAGAAGAGCACTCTCTTTAATAGTGACGATCTTGACCCAACGCTGACGTATCAAGCCAACGGGAGCGAATTGCTGGTTGTAAATTGCGTCGACTTTGGCAATGGTTGAATCTTTGCCTTGCTGTTTGCTATTTTTTGCTGCTTGCCGCGCTTTCTTGCCTTTGAGCTGTTTGCCTTCAGATACGCGGACTGGAAGAGTGGCACCGAGCTCGCTCAAACATCCTGAAGTGAGAGCAGGAAAAAGAAGGTGCTCCCAGTGCGCGCAGAGCGATGGGGCGTTCGAGCTTGCCGGGGCTTCTATGCCCGTGAGGTACGTGTCCAGCGGTGGGGGTGCGGCGTCGTTATTTCCAGGAATAGCGTCATCTCCTCTCTGAGACGATGAGAAAAGTATGTCGGACGGATCGGTTGCCGGCATGGGAGGAAGCGACTCATGCATTTCGAGGTACCGGTCGAGAGCGAACTTGAATCACGGCCGCAGTCGCGCATGATCAGTCACAAAGGCGCACCTGAGGCCAATCACCCGCCACCTCACCTTTTCCAGGTACTCCAGCTCGCGCTTGATGCTCAGACGCAGACATCTCAAACCCTTTATGCCCTCTGCGCGATGCCGCGACGAGTGGTCTTCTCGTATCTCATTCCAGACATCACCAATGATGGGGACGTCGAGATTCGGCGACGGTGACCCTGATAATGGGGACGGAGGTGGCGGGCCGTGCACTAGCCCTGGCGCAAGGGAGCTCCAGTGTGCATAATTCGCAGAGAGCTGCTCGATCGAGTACAGCGTTACTCGCAACGCCGTGTGCAGTGTACCGATGGTGATGGGCCCAGCGGTGGCGTTTACCTCCATAATAGCAATTGGGGAACAAGTGCCGACGGCACTCTCTCCAGCTAGTTCATTAGGTGCGCCGCAGAGACTTGCACAGTGAGGATGTGTCTTTGAATGCAAGCTCGTCTCGACCCCGCTTGCACCCGGCGGTGGTTGTGAGCGGTGAGGTTGGATGGATCAGACGGCTGTGACACCATTTGCTGTTGAGACAGCGCGCTAACCCGCCACTGTCGACTCGACTTTCCGCTCCTGGGTGTCTATTTGCATTCGCTTCGAGGGGCGAGCGAGGGCTGCAATCTGATTGTATCCTGTCCAACAAGGCGTTCAAGTCATTATCATAGATAATCGAGTTTGATGGTGGGCGTAGCTCGCAAGAGCTTGGCCCACCGGCTTGGCTCAGTCATATCCTCTGTCACTTGCGGCTCGTGGCAGCCCTCTCGGCCGAGAACACAACGATGTACAACCAGGCGGTTGTAGCTTCGGGTTGAAGAGAGATGTACATCCATCGAACAAAGTTGCGGTTGAGTTTCAGGTTCGACCTGAGTAGCGCATCAACTAACTCAACCACCTTCACTCGTAGACGAGCACAACTCACAGGCATTGCCTTTCCGCGATCTTCCCCGTGCCCCGTGCCCTGGCTGCATATCAGCCTTCGCTCGAGATCCTTTGGTCCTCTCCGAAACGTACCCGGGAAAGGGCGTGCGCAGATCACGGCCCGAAGGGTTTCCCGGCCCCCCCTTTACTCGACCGGAAGCGCCACAGGGAGATGTCGACGGCAGGGACAGCAAGCCCACCGAGCAGCAGCCACACTATCACCCCTTCCTCACCAGACTCGCCCCTCTCTGGTACCGCTGCCCCAGACATGAGCAGCACCTCTACTGTGACTGCTCCTGAAGGCGCAGGATCGACCACTGCTGTGGACTCAGGCAGCAGCGTGCCATCAGGGCTAGCACAGCGACGGGGTGGCAGCGGCGCAAGTGCTGTGCAAGCGCCGGTGGGCGAAGCATTAGTGGGAGCGTCGAGTGTTTCCAACGAAGGCGCAGTAGCAGCAGGCAGAGCGGCAGATAGGGTGAAGCATCATGTGCGGCTTGCACCGGTCAATACCTCCGCTGCGGCGATCAAACCAGGAGAGGGCCGGCCAAGGAGCTCCTCGCTGGTGCAAGTGACCAAGGTAGAGGAGACTACAGAGCAGCTGCTCGATCAGAGTGCCGGGTTCAATGCCAATGCAGACTGGGTCAACTACAAGGGTGCTTCTTCGATTAACTCCGTTCGTCGGGATGTGCATGTGTGCTGATTATGCTTTCCAATCCGCTTTTGCGTCTGCAGGCGCCTGGGTCATCCATGTTGTGCTAATCCTCCTGGCCAAGATTCTGCTGGATGTCATTCCTGGGATGCACCAAGATATGAGCTGGACGCTCGTCAATGTCGGCTACATGGGGGTGAGTGTGGCCAGGATCCACCCCAATAGAATGATCTATTGACGTGCTTGTGGTCTATTCGATTTTACGCTCCTACACTGTTTTAATCGTCCCTTCAGATCTCGTACATCATGTTTCACTACGTGACAGGCACCCCATTCGACTCAAATTCCGGCGCATACGACGATCTGACGCTCTGGGAGCAGATCGATGACGGAGCACAGTACACACCCGCAAAAAAGTGGCTCACGAGCGTTCCAATTGGACTGTGAGTAGTGCACCATCAACATTGCGGGTTCTTTCAATGGCTGGGAGGTGAATAATGACTTGCATGCTCGGCTCTGTGCAGCTTTTTGATTTCAACGCACTACACGCGGTACAATCCATGGCTCTTCAGCTTGAACTTCTTCGTCACCCTCTTCGTCCTCTTCCCCAAGCTACCCATCCTCCATCGGTTGCGATTCAAGATCATGCCGCGCTCGCCGTACCCTTCTTTGCCGCCGACGCCGACGCACAGCAGGCCTAGCACCCCTGCTTTCGCTCGGAGGTGATCGAGAGCCACCGCGCTGAGGCAGGCAGCTTTGTCTTTTGCGACTCGCGGGCAATGCAAATTATTGGTAAAGCGCGTCTCATGGCACAATGCCACAGAATAGAATGAGGGTTGGGCAGGTATAGACTGCACACGATCGATCGCAATGTTGATTACACATGGTTTGCCTCTCTGCCGCTTCATCAACAGCTGTCCTACATGCGTGCCGAGAACCAAAGCAGCCCAGCGATTCTGCGTAACTGGTCCACTGCGAAGCTGAAAGATATTTGCGTTGTATCTAAGATGAATGGCTTGAACCACACGCCGCACGCGGAGTCTCGACCTTGGAATTTCGGGGGGGGGGGGTACACTTGATATAAGCAGAGCTTCTCTTTTCCGTGCGCTTCTCTTTTAGACTTGGACAGCATTGAGCGCTGCAGATACCCTAAACCATAATCAAACCCACTCTCCAGCGTTCTTCTGCGTGGCCGAGGTCAGATTTCAGTACAAAACGCTGAGTCCGACCACCGCACAGTTCTGGGCTCTTGTACTCGGAAGCTGTGACGGTATCTAAGAGCTTTTGCTGTAACCAGACACTCTCAACGGGACAGTGAGATGGGTGTGGGGCCGATGATGACGCTGAGCTGGGGTAGCTTACCCTGTTTGCGCCCGAGTCGACCTTTTTGATACCGACAGTGGACGTGCCTTCTGGGCACCCGCAAACAAGCTGGGACCCTCGAACGAAGCAAAGGATTGTCGTCGAAATTCTCGGCGTTCGGATGCACCCATTTCAGACGTCCGAGTTAGGGATAGCTCCTGGTCAAAGGGTTTCCGAGCCCAGGGACGTCGCCTAGCCAGCACGTTGGCTGCTTGGACAATGGGACTGCATGGTGCTCTAGCGGAGGAGTCTGATCCCCATGCATCGGCATCTCACTCAACCAGTGGTAGCGACTCTCTAACAGGGCATGTGTCTTGAGATCCCTTCAACGAGGTAGTACCAGGTAATCAAATGGAAGATCAGTACCCGACCTGAACGTTCTGGTCCATGACAAGGCTTGAGCGATGTCGAACAGCGCCAGAGCGTATGAGGATGGACGCTTGGCCATCTCCAAACACTGATGTAATTTGATATGTCAAACTCAACGAGAGGACTGAATGTGAGGTCTCCGGGGATCGCTCCTCCCGTATGACATCCTGCGACCACACTGTAAACCACGGGGACACGGAAGCATAAGAGTTAGCGAATCTACGGGATGTTAACCGGTGCGAGTCAACCAGGTTGCTCCCGGTAAAGGCGTCGCATCGGGGACGCTGCTGTGCCAAATCATGCGCGGCTGCATTGCTTACGGTTTCACCTTACCGAGGCTCCCGGTCTGACTCGTCAGTTTCCCGTATCGGTTGCGTTTATCACGGACATTGACTCTCCCATACAAAGCCTTTTCTTGGAGCGTCACGCCCCCAATCAGGGTTTGGTGTGAAAACATGGAAAATTCTATTTTTCTTAAACTCTACATGAGCACGAGCGTTTCCTTTGAGAAGAGCCTGTTGAAGACGGACGAGGATTCTAAAGGGGTGGAGAAATGGGGAGGGGTGGGGGCGGATTGAAGCGAGGCAAAGGGAGGTGTGTTGATGAGACTTTTTCGGAGCACAGGAGACGATAAGCTCAAGTGGTCCTTCTTGTGCCAATTATGTGTAGGAAGCGCGAACACGATGGGAATGATCAGGGCGCTATGACTTGGAAAAAAACACAGCCGACGGGGGTTTGCCTACCTAAAGCCAGACTTTGTTGAATTTGATGAAGGTACTCTTTGCCACCTGGACGATGATGATGTACGCAAAAATGTAAGGGAAGAGGAAGGCATAGAACATATGCTCTGGGATAGCCATCCCGAGGGCGTTGCGGAGGAATGGAATGTAGGGGAACGCCATGGCGGCCATGGCGATGAGAAAGGTCGTAACGGAGACCATCAGGCTGGCGCGACTCTGCAAGAAGGGCAGCTTTGCCGTTCGGAGGACGTGGACGATGGCCACCTGAGTAAGGCAACCCTCCAAGAACCAGTGAGTTTGAAATTTCGCCACCTGGCTCGCGTTGTCGGCGTTTTGGTATCCGAAGTAGAACCAATTGACGATGAAGGTGAAAATGTCGAAAGGGCTCGACAGCGGGCCGATGAAGACCATGAACTTGAGCATGCTTTTGGTCGACCACGTGACGGGTTCGAGGATCATTTCTTCGTCGACATTGTCCCACGGGATCGAAGCCTGCGAGATGTCGTAGAGGAGGTTCTGAACGAGGAGTTGCGTTGGGCTCATGGGCAGGAAAGGAAGCCAGGAGGCAGCTACAGTGACTGAAAAGACGTTGCCAAAGTTGGAGGAAGCGGCCATTTTGATGTACTTGAGCGTGTTAATGAAGCTCATCCTACCCACGATGATGGCGTCGAGGATGACGTCGAGCCCTTTTTCAGTGAGGATCACGTTGGCAGCGTCCTTGGCAATGTCGCAGCCTGTGTTGACCGAGATCCCACAGCTAGAGCCTCGTAGGGCAGGGCCGTCGTTGACGCCATCACCAAGGAAGGCAACTTGGTGACCCTGCGTACGGAGGCATCGGACTACCTCTAGCTTCTGGATTGGGGTGAGTTTGGCAAAGACACACTTATTCTCGACGGCATCAGCGAACTCCACAGGGCCGAGCTGGGCAAGGTCAGAGCCAGTGATGCATAAGTCGCTTACGCCGTCGGACTCGGGGATCATGTCCAGAATCTCGCAGACGCGCTGGGCGGTCGGAAGAGCATCGCCCGTTAGAACCTTGGTGGTCACGCCGAGCTTCCGCATGTTGGCGATCGCGGTTTTGGCGTCAGGCTTGGGAGGGTCGAGGATCGAGATGAAGCCTTCGAGCACCATGTCAACCTCGAGGTCGGGGGTTGCTGCATTGTTGACCAGTTGGCCGCTGTCCACCCGACGTGTTGCGACTCCAATGACTCTCTCTCCTCTCTTCGCAAACTCAGCGGTGAGGTCAGCGCAAACTTTGTAATTGATGATAGAGATTTCGTTGCCAGCTCTAGCGTGTGTGCAACGACGGATCACCTCCTCTGCAGCTCCTTTGCACACCAGTGTGAGTTTCTCGGACTCTTGGGGCTGGAAGAAGAGAACAGAGACAACTCGGCGGTAGAAGTCGAATGGGATGTCGGCAACTTTGCTCTTGTTGTTGAGAATGACTGAAGACGGAGGCAAGGTGTCGCCATCCTTCCTGACCTCCTCGACACGAGCCAGGATGGCGCGGTCGATGTTGTTGACAAAGTCGGACGTCTGAAGTTTGGCATTGACGTAAGCGAGTTCGAGTGCGGTATTGAGAGGTTGTCCGTCAGCGTCTGCGCTGGAAGCAACACTGACGTGATCTTCGGTCAGTGTTCCGGTCTTGTCACTGCAGAGAATATCAATAGATCCGAGGATCTGGACAGCGTCGAGCTGTTTGATGATGGCTTTCTTGCGAGCGATGAGGATAGCGCCACGAGCCAGGTTGGCAGTGGTGACCATGGGAAGCATTTCCGGGACTAAGCCCACGGCGACGGACAAGCAGAAGAGGGCGGCATTCTTCCAGTCCTTCGTGACGAGACCGTCGATGATGAGAACAGTTGGGGCCATGACGAACATGAAAGCCAGCAAGAGCATTGAGACCTGTGAGATGCCGCGCTGGAAGTCATTCTGAGTCTTTGCTTCGTTGGACACCGAAGCGACAGTGCCAATATAGGTTCTGTCTCCCGTGGCGATCACGAGAGCATCACCATGCCCGCTGACGACATGTGTTCCCATAAAAAGGACGTTGGGTCGGTCGATCGCGTTAATGGACTTGTCGTTTGACTCCCACGAGGACGCAGTGGGGAGGGGGTATTTCTCCAATGTGATACTTTCCCCAGTCAAGGTGCTCTGTGAAACGCTAAGCATCTCGGATGAGATTACAAGGCAGTCGGCTGGGATGACCGAGCCAGTCGAGATCCTGACCACGTCGCCGACGACAAGTTGGGCTCGGTCGATCTTGTGGGGGGAGGCATCAGCGTTGGCCCTTCCTAGGACGAGGCATGAGTTATCGACCAGAGCTTTGAGAGCATATATATCCTTAGCAGATTTGTGCTCCTGGACGAATCGGAGCGTAACGCTGAGAACGACCATAAGCATGAGTATGGTGAAGGTGGCATAATCCTGGGTAGAAATAGCAATGACAGCGAGCACCGTGAGGATGGCGTTGAAAGGGTTGAAGATGTTATCGATCAGCATGCGCCACCACGGGAGCTTATTCAAGTTGGAGAGCTGGTTCGGACCGTCGGACTTGAGGCGATCGGCAGCGAGCCGAGCGTCGAGACCAGTGGCGGAAGTACGGAGCTCTTGGAGCGTTTGCGAAACAGGTCGTAGCGAATATTGCATAAGCTGGTCCAGCACGGCATTCTCCTTAGCGAGTGCCGCGGCGTTCTTGGAAGCTTCCAGGGCCACCGGAATGCGGAAGAGGCGAGCGACAAAAGTGACGGAGAGAAACCGTCGGAGACGTGAGAGCCTGGAAGGACCATCTTCTAGCAGGGCGGCAGCTTCGGGGTCGCATCGCTGAGGCACCTGCACGCAGGGTTGTGAGACATCGACGGCCTTGTTGAAAGAGGTTCGCATTGGTTCGGCAACATTGATCGAGTCAACGCCGATCAGCTCGATGGGAGCTGCGGATGAAGCAGACATTGCGAAATAGGCGGGTGAGATGCTCAAAGTGCAAAAGGCTCAGGGGACAAGCTTGGAAGCGCTTGGTCAGGGTTGAGAGTCTGAGATGACGTTAGAATCGACTTCGCGGATGACACAGTGAAGTTTGGACCAGGAAGCAGTTGGATTGCACGCTGGCGACCTCCCAGGGAAAGGAAAGAGGGAGCGGGGAAGGCGGTGAATAGGAAAAGCTCGGGGGCCATGTGGAAAGAAGCGTGTGGCATAACTGTAAGAGGTGGAGTCGAGCTGAGCGGCTTGAGTGGTATGGATGAAGGGTGAGCTGTAACGAGAGAAGACAGATGGAGAGAGAAGGGAGCAAGGGGATAAAGGGAGTTGTCAAGGTGCATTTAGAGATTGGGCTCGCGTATTATATGAGCGGGGATTTTGATGAGAAGGATCTCTAGTGCTCGAAGCAAGGTTCGATGGCGATTTCAAGTGTAAGTTGGGAACGCATTCTGGAGATGATGTTTTCTTTTAGAAAGGTCGGGAGGCGGACAAATTGAGAAGGATGGAGGCGAGGGAATAGTATTTTGGAAGAGACAATTTTTTTTTCGAAAGGGATGGGTTAGAATTTAAAAACTTGATTGTACAACAAGGGTTAAGGGTTTTCGGCATCTCGGCACTAAGAAGGGTTATGGCTGAGAACGAGCTGTTGAAGAAAGGTTTAAGGCCAGTTAAGCATGGGTTTAGGGCCAAAGAGGCATGAACCAATGAGAAAGGAGCGTTGTATATTACCACAGATGAGTGTTGGAAGTGTGGTGAGAAGAAAAAAGTCATAACCACGATGGGAACTGATGAAGCTTAGTGAATGGGGAATGAGATTGGCATGGATGCGTGTTTGAAGCGCCTTTTTTTAACCTTGGGTTAGGGTTAGGGGAGCTCCGCGAGGAAAGCCGCTGGTCTGCGGGTAGCGTGAACTGCTTCGTTCCTGGACGACCCACTCGTCTGACTGGGCAGTTTGTGACGAGCAATATTCCAACATCAAAATTGCTGCGGCCACGCCTCCATACAAACTCACAACCGTCCAGCATCCAAGGCACTGCCTGTGCTGCACCGAATACCACCCTCACGAGCTCATGTTGCACTCAAGTCAACGGCACCATGGCTAGCCAGCAAGGCATGCAGTACTGCCA